GTATGGAGGCCGGCTGTAACTGTAAGTGTGACGGGACAGGCTGTGGACACTCGAAGGGAGGAGGAGGACCAGTAGAATGCGGGAGACCAAGAACCTGCTGAAGGAGCGGAACAAAGTACGGCCGAGGCCACGTGGCGACTCCAGACACAGCAGGGACAGCACTAGTACCCCTAGCGGCAGCACCAGCACTAGCAGCACCTCCAACTCCAGTACCTCCAGAGACAGGAGACGACACGAGCAGGGGGAAGACTCAGGACCAGACCTGGACGCTGCAGCAAACACCTGACCCGACGCAGCTACCTGACTAGACGCAGTGACAGGAGGAGACGTAGTGGTCAGCGTGTACAGGCTCGACCCCGGCCGACGTGTAAACGTGGCCAGGTGTCGGCCTGTCCGAGCGTCCGTGCAGTGGGTCACCCGCTGACTCGCAGGAGTGAACTGGTGAACCCCCACATCCTGTAGGTCAGCACCACTCACCAAGTTTGTAGAGAACGAGGGGAGGTAAAGACCAGACAGGGTGCCAGAGGGGGCCGCCGGACACGGGGGGGCCAGTGGAGAAGTGAGCAAGGATAGGACCCCCAGAGGGGTCTGCCAGAGAGACTGCAACTGGCCGACCAAGCGGCGTGAGTGTAGTGCGGTCTCGAAAGAAGGAGCGAGAAGCCCCCGAGTCAAGAGTGAAGGTGTGAGAGGCCGAAGCCAACGTGGTACCTGAGAGAGCAGACTCACCCGCACCTGAGGAAGCAGACTCACTAGCACCTAGAGCAGCAGCCGCACCTGTACCTGGAGCAGGAAACTCACTAGCACCCAGAGCAGCAGCCTCACCAGCAGCTAGAGCAGCAAGCTCTATACCTGGGTTAGGCGGTACGCACAGGTGATCGACACGGTCAACACTAGTAGGCAATGCATACATGGCAGTGAGAATAGCATCATAGTCAAGAGCAAATATATCTACCCTCTGCCTAAGCAACTCCACCCAGTCGGGGAGCTCAGCCTCGTTGCCAAACTCGGTACGTCAGGCGTCGCTCAGACGGGCGAAGCAGCGGGACTGTGTGTGACTAGGTGTCCCACAAGGCTGACCAGTCCGAGCACCAGTGCGAATCACGTAAGAGCAGCGAACAGAACTGAGAGACCCTCTACTCTGAGCGTACCACTCACGAAGCTGCTGGGGCGTGAGAGACGCGCGTGGGCGTCGCAGGAGCTGCATCTGGCCGCCGCTAGTAGTAGTAGCAGCAATAGTGGTAGTAGTAGCAGCGCCGCCACCCCTACAACCCCAACCAGCGTACCACTCACGTAGCTGCTGGGGCGTGAGGGACTCACGCGGACGTCGCTAGGGCTGCATCTGGCTCCGCCAGTAGAAGCAGGAGCAGGAGTAGCAGCAGTAAGGCAGGCAGCCAGGCAGGCCGAAAGGCAGGCAGGCAGGTAAGCAAGTGGCGGGCAGCGCGCTAGCAGGGCAGGGGCTCACCAGTGGTGGGAAGAGCAGGCTCGGCGACTCGGCGACTCGGCAACTCGGCGGTGCGGGCGGCTCGGGCGGCTCGGTGGCACGGCGGCTCGGCAGCAATTGCGGCTCGGCGGCACCTGCGGCTCGGCTCCTCAGCTGCTCAGGCGGCTCGGGCGGCTCGGGCGGCTCAGGCGGAGCCGTAGATATGGCGACGGGCAGCTGGGCGGCTCGGCGGCTCGGCTGCTCGGCTGCTGGGCGGCTCGACTGCTGGGCCGAAGGTAGACGGCGAGGCCGAAGGTAGGCGGCAGGGCCGGAGATGGGTGGCGGGGCCGCTGATAGGTGGTGGGGCCGCAGGTATGCGGCGGGGCCAGAGGTAGGCGGTGAGGCCGAAAGTAGGCGGCGGGGCCGCAGGTATGCGGCGAGGCCGAAGGTAGGCGTTGGGGCCGCAGGTATGCGGCGAGGCCGAAGGTAGGCGGCGGGGCCACAGGTAGGCGGCGAGGCCGAAGGTAGGCGGCGGGGCCGCAGGTAGGCGGCGAGGCCGCAGGTAGGCGGCGAGGCCGAAGGTAGACGGCAGGGCCGCATGTAGGCGCGTTGGGGCCGGGAAGGGCAGCGCCGAGGCCGAAGAGGTAGGCGACGGGGCCAGAAGAGGCGGCGCCGGGGCCCGTAAGGGCGGCGTCGGGGCCAGGAAGGGCAGAGCCGGGGCCGCAGGGGCAGGTGACGGGGCCGCTAGGGCAGCGGATCGAGGCCGCGAGGGCGGCGCGACGCGGCCGCTAGGGCGGCGCAACGAGATGGGGCCGCGACGGGGTAGCGGGGAGTGGCGCGCCTAGAAGGAACGGGGCCGCGCGCCTCGGGGCGCGCGCCAGAGAGAAAATCACCGGTCGCACGCCACGGGGCGTGCGACAGATCGAGTAGTAGCGGAAGCAGTAGTAGGGCCCACAGGCCAGTAGCAAACGTGCTCTGAAACCATGTGAAAATGAACGAGGATGATTGCACTATGAAAGAGTTGGGTACAAGTACTAACCATAATTGGGTTGTACCCCATATAGGCTATCTCACTACAGCCTACACAAAAGCATAAGCTATAATGTTCTGACAGCGAATTCCAACATCGCGAGCGAGTCTTCCCAGCGGGCAGGTCAGGGCAGTTTGTCCTGATCAGCTGCTCCATGGTCTGATTGGTCCGCTCAGTTTGACCGTCCGTCTGTGGGTGATATGCCGATGAGAATTGTAGCTTCGTGCCGTACTGCGCCCACGTCTCCTTCCAGAACTTGGATGTGAACTTCGAGTCTCGGTCGCTGATGATCGCCGAAGGGATGCCGTGCAGTCGCACGACCGTTGAGATGAAGAGGCACGCAGTTTCTTCGGCTTTGATTGTCGTTCGGCATGGTGCGAAGTGCACCATTTTTGTGAAGCGATCGACGACGACAAGAACAGCGTCGTTGCCGGACGGCCCAGCTGGCATCCCCGTGACGAAATCCATCGTCACTTGCTGCCACGGTCGTTCAGGTGGCTCGAGGGGTTGCAGCAGCCCAGCTGGTCGCTGACGTGTCGATTTCATTGCTTGGCACACCCTGCATGAGGACACATAGCGCTGCACGTCGTTAGATGAATCAGGCAGTAATATTGACGGTGCAGTAGTTTCTGGGTTTTATCAACCCCGAAGTGTCCGGAGAAGTTTGAATCGTGGATTTCCTGGATGAGAAGTTCACGCAGCAGTCGGTAAGCGGGAACCCAAATCCGGTCGGTTCCGGCTTGAAGGTAATAGTCCCCTTTCTGCATCGTAGCCTGCTAATGATTTCCCGTCGTGAAGAATGGGTCCGTCGTGTAGCCGTGGGTAAATAGTCCGGTAAGTAACGGGTTCGAGTGGGTGATGATAACTGCAACGGATTGTACTGTCGGCCGGGTCAGGGCGTCGGCGATGTTATTAGCCCCTTTTTTGTACGTGATGCGGTAGGTGAAGTGGCTCTCCATGTAGTCCAGCCACCAAATCTGTCGTAGGTTGAGGTTGGGTTGAGCTCGCAGGTACTGTAGGGAGTTGTGGTCCGCGCGAACAGTGACGTCGGCTCCCACCAGATAGCATCGCCATAATTTAGACGCGTGTATGATGGCGAGCATCTCCTTGTCGTGGATCGGGTAGTTGCGTTCCGCTGCCTGCAGCTTGCGTGATTCGTAGGCTATCGGGTGCAACCCGTTCCCAAAGTCTTGGAGAAGCACAGCTCCGATGGCGAAATTGTCAGAACATTATAGCTTATGCTGTTGTGTAGGCTGTAGTGGGGTATCCCATAGGGGGTACAACCAATCATGGTTTCATATTTGTACTCACTTCATTCATAGTCCATCCATTCTCGTTCGACTTTCCTCATGGTATCGAGCAGGTTCCCCCGTGGGAACTGTGCCTAGGGCCCACCATATCGAGAATTTTTTTTCCTGCCCGAAGCGCGCTCCCCCCCCCCCCCCCCCCCGAGTCGCGCCTCGGGCTTTCACCTCGTCGAGCCGCCCTAGTGGCCACTACGCCCTAGCGGCCCTCCATCTCCTGCGGCCCCGCTGCCCTACGTCGCGGCCCTGCTGCCCTACGTCGCGGCTCCGCCGCCCTACTCCTGCGGCCCCGCCGCCCTAAGTCGCGACCCCGCCGCCTTTCTCGGCGGCCCCGCCGCCTTGCTTCTGCGGCCCCGCCGCCCTACGTCGCGGCCCCACCGCCCTACTCCTGCAACCCCGCCGCCCTACGTCGCGGCCCTGCCGCCTTTCTCGGCGGCCCCGCCGCCTTTCTCGGCGGCCCCGCCGCCTTTCTCGGCGGCCCTGCCGCCTTGCTCCTGCGGCCCCGCCGCCCTACCTCGCGGCCCCGCCGCCCTACATCAGCGGCCCCGCCGCCCTACGTTGCGGCCCCGCCGCCCTACGTCGCGGCCCCGCCACCCTACTCACGCGGCCCCGCCGCCCTACATCAGCGGCCCCGCCGCCCTACGTCGCGGCCCCGTCGCCCTACGTCGCGGCCCCGCCGCCCTACTCACGCGGCCCCGCTGCCCTACATCAGCAGCCCCGCTGCCCTACCCCTGCAGCCCCGCCGCCCTACGTCGCGGCCCCGCCGCCCTACCTCGCGGCCCCGCCGCCCTACTCACGCGGCCCCGCTGCCCTACATAAGTGGCCCTGCCGCCCTACCCCTGCGGCCCCGCCGCCCTACGTCGCGGCCCTGCCGCCCTACCTCGCGGCCTCGCCGCCCTACTCCTGCGGCCCCGCCGTCCTATCGCAGCGGCCCCGCCGCCTCCTGCTCCTGCCGCGCCGCCCTACAGCGGCACTACTGAGCCGCCCAGCAGAAGAGGAGCCGAGCCGCCCTGCTGCCGAGTTGCACTGCAGCCGAGCCGCCCACCCGCCCACCAGTCGAGCCGCCGTGCAGCCGAGCCACACAGCAGCCGAGCCGCTGAGCCGCCGAACCGCCCTAGCAGCCGAGCCGCAGAGCCGCCGAGCCGCCCTACAGCCGAGCCACCCGAGCAGCCTTGTCCGGTGAGCACAGCCCCTCTGTCACTGCGTGCCCTCACCCTATTGTTTGCACTGCTAGGCGTCTTTCGTCATGGCTACCCCCAGTGTCCTCACTTTTGACGCTGAGGGTAGGGCCATTGACTTTGAGTTCTGGGTAGACGACCTGCAGCTGTTCTTATAGTGCGATAGGGTAGACGGCCTCTCTCTCTTTGACCTTACCTCTAACGCTTCCCCTGCCCCTGCTGCTGATGCTGACGCCACTGTTCGCTCCCAGTGGGCCACGCGCGACGCTGCTGCACGTCTTGCTGTGCGTCGCCACCTCCCTACCTCCGAGCGTGCGCACTTTAGTCAGTACAAGAGTGCTCAGACCTTGTACGACGCTGTAGTCGCGCGCTACTCCTCCCCTGCCACTGCTGCACTGAGCCGTCTCATGCTACCGTACCTCTTCCCTGACCTTGCTGCCTTTCCCACCGTGGCTGACCTCATTACGCACCTCCGCACTAGTGTCACTCGCTACCGCGCTGCACTCCCTGCTGACTTCTGCGCCAAAAACCCCCCCCCCATGTACATCACTCTGTACTTCCTAGTCACTCGCCTTCCTGACTCCCTTCGAGTAGTCAGGGACCACTTTCTCTCAGTCTGTCCCACCACACTCACTCTCAACCTCCTCGAGAAGGCCCTCTTAGCAGCGGAGAAGAGTATAGTTGATGTAGGAGCCTCTCGAGGTGACCCGCGCACCCCCATCTTTGAGGGGCGTTCCCCCTCCCCCCTGCTGCCCTTTGTTGCCTCTGCTGCTACGGCCGACCTCCTTGGTCTTGAGTCGGTCGGTGCGGCGTCCACCCGTAGCGGGAGACGCCGCCCTAGCAAGGGCAAGGGGGTCAAGGGAGCTGGAGGAGCGGGCGGTGGAGGTGGAGGTGGAGGCGGTGGGGGGAGTGGGGGTGGTGGTGGGAGTGGAGGTGGGGGTGGGGGGGTCGGTGGCGGCAGTGGAGGCAGAGGCGGCGGCGGCGGTGGCGGTAGGAGCGGAGGTGGCGGAGGAGGCGGCGGTGGAGGCGGCGGCGGAGGCGGCGGCAGCAGCGAAGGCGGCGGAGGCGGCGGAGGCGGTGGGGGTGGCGGTAGGAGCGGAGGTGGCGGAGGAGGCGGCGGTGGAGGCGGCGGCGGAGGCGGCGGCAGCAGCGAAGGCGGCGGAGGCGGCGGAGGCGGTGGGGGTGGCGGTGGAGCTGGTTGCGGGTCTTCGCAGAGGAGTGGCTCCGGTGGTGGCTCGCGCCAGCAGCAGCAGCGCGGTCATGAGACCTTGTCCCCTCAGCAGCTCCGTGAGTGGTACACTGCACGCCAGCGGGGTGGGGGTTTTGGTCCGTGCACCCACATCCTGCGCACCGGCGACCGTGCGGGTGAGCAGTGTGAGGGCACGCACCCCACCCAGCGCTGCTTTGGCCGCGTGACGGACGCGTGGCGTCACCAGTTCCCAGAGGCCTCAGAGATCCCTCGCTGGGGCGAGCTGTCTAGGGCGGGTGTTGCCATCTTTGATCTTGACTTTGATGCTATTCTCTCTGCCATGTATTCTGTGTCTACTAGTGATGAGGGTGACTGTTACCGCTATTTCCCGCCCGATCCGGGCATTGAGTCTGTTGCTCTAGGTACTGGTGCGGCTGCTGCCCTAGGTGCTTGCGACGTTACTGCTCTAGGTGCTAGTGTGTCTGCGTCCTCACGTACTGGTGAGTCTGCGCTCTCAGGTACTACGTTGGCTTCGGCCTCCCTCACCTTCACCCTTGACTCTAGGGCGTCTCGCTACTTCTTTTGGGACCGCACCACATTCACGCCGCTCAATCGGCCGGTTGCGGTGTCTTTGGCTGACCCCTCCGGGGGTCCTGTACTGTCTCGCTTCTCCACAGTCCTCCCGTGTCCAGCGGCTCCCTCTGGCACCCTGTCTGGTCTTTACCTCCCCTCGTTCGCGACAAACCTGGTGAGTGGTGCTGACCTACAGGATGCAGGTGTCCACCAGTTCACTCCTGCGCGTCAGCGAGTGACACACTGCACAAAGGCTAGCACAGGCCGACACCTGGCTACGTTCACCCGTCAGCCGGGGTCGAGCCTGTACACTCTGACCACTGCGTCTCCTCCAATTGCTAAGTCTGGTAAGGTAGCTGAGTCGGGTCAGGTGTTTGCTGCGGCGTCCAGGTCTGGTCCTGAGTCTGCCCCCTGTTCGTGTCGTCTCCTGTCTCACGAGACTCTCCTCTGGCACCACCGCCTTGGCCACCCCTCACTGCTTCGGCTCAGAGGCATGGCCTCTCGTCTTCTTGTGTCTGGTCTCCCCTGGTCCCTCCCTCCCCTTCCTCAGGGCGGTGGCCCTACCTGTGTCCCCTGTGTCGAGGGGCGCCAGCGTGCTGCCCCTCACTCCTCCCAGTTTCCTCCGACAGACGCCCCGTTGCAGACGCTTCACATCGACGTGTGGGGCCCAGCCCGCATACGTGGACAGGGTCACGAGCGCTACTTCCTGCTCGTTGTTGACGACTACTCGCGTTACACCACAATCTTCCCCTTGCGCAGCAAGGGTGATGTCAGTGAGGAACAGATCGACTGAATCCGCGCTGCTCGTCTCCAGCTCAGGAAGAGCTTTGGCTCGGACTTCCCTGTTCTGCGTCTGCACTCGGACAGAGGCGGAGAGTTCTCCTCTGGCCTTCTGCGAGCCTACTGTCGTGGACGAGGCATCCGTCAGACCTTCACGCTTCCGGACTCACCGCAGCAAAATGGGATTGCTGAGCGCCGCATTGGCATGGTCATGGACGTCGCTCGTACGTCTATGATGCATGTGGCTGCCCCCCATTTTCTGTGGCTGTTTGCGGTGAGGTACGCGGCGCATCAGATCAACCTCCACCCCAGAGTCTCCAGGCCGGAGACCTCCCCAGCCTTGCTGTGGACGGGGAAGGTTGGCGATGCGTCAGTGTTCCGGGTCTGGGGATCTCGGGCGTTTGTCCGCGACTTGTCTGCGGACAAGCTGTCCCCTCGTGCTGCTCCTTGCGTCTTCCTGGGGTTCCCCCCTGACGCGCCTGGGTGGCAATTCTACCACCCCACCTCTCGACGTGTTCTGTCCTCCCAGGACGTCACGTTTGACGAGTCGGTCCCCTACTACCGCCTCTTCCCCTACCGCACTTCGTCCCTCCCCCCACCCCCACTCTTCCTTGTATCAGGTCCCCCCCAGGTAGACTCCCTTCCCCCTCAGGGTCCTGCCCTTTCAGGTGTGTCCCAGGTAGACGCAGTCAAGCCTGTCGAGGTCACTGGTGACTCTGGTGCTGCAGGGGGTGCTGAGCCTGGGGGCGCTAGACCTAGGGGTTCGGAGTCTGGTGGTGCTGAGCCTCGGGGTGCTACGTCTTGGGGTGCTGAGCCTGGGGGTGCTGAGCCTGGGGGTGCTGTGTTTGGGGGTGCTGCGACTGGGGGTGCTGAGCCTGGGGGTGCTACGCCTGGGGGTGCTGAGCCTGGGGGTGCTGAGCCTGGCGGTGCTACGCCTGGGGGTGCTGAGCGTGGAGGTGCTCCGCCTCGAGGTTCTCCGGGTGCTTCTTCTCGCCGGGAGCCCCTCTCTCCACAAGAGCTGCGTGAGTGGTTTGCCCGGCGCTGGCGCCGTTCTGCTAGTGCTGGAGGTTCTTCGACTACTGAGGGTGTTGCGGTCGCGGTTCCCGGAGGTGCTCGTACTGGGAGTACTGGAGCTGCTGGGCCTACGGGTTCGACTGGAGCTGGTGCTGCTGAGGGTGTTGGTGCTGAGACTACTGCTAACGGTCCTACTGGGGGTGCTTTTGGTGCTTCTTGAGGTTCTCGAGTTGCTGGAGGTTCTGCTGGGGTGGGTGCTCCAGCTGAGGGTACTAGTGCTGTCCCTGCTGCTTCTGGCGTCGCCACGCGGCCTCGACCGTACTTTGTTCCACTCCTGCAGCAGGTCCGCCTCCTACCTTAGAGTGTCCACAGCCTGTCCCGTCACAGTCACAGCTACAGCCTGCCTCCCCTTTGCCTGCTCCTTCTCCCTACGCTGGTCCTACTGGAGGTCTTACTGAGCGTCGTGAGCCTGCGTTTTGTCCTGCGTCACCTGTTCGTGCTGCTCACACTAGTGGTTGCGGTTCGCGCCAGCGTCCTCCTCCTGTCCCTGGCACGCACCGGATGTCTCTGCGTCCGTCTACTGCTCCTCTGCGTGCCCCTTTGCCTTCCCCTTGTGAGTCCTCTCTTCCTGCTCTTGCGGACCCTGAGTCGGACTCTCTTCGTGCTGCTAGTCGTACTGTCACGCGTCTCCTTGCTACTGCCATCACTGACCCTTCTTTCGAGTCTACTGCTGCGTCTGCTCTCGTTACTGAGCTCGTCGACTTTGCTGCTCGTTGTCGCTTAGACTACGCCACTAGTCTTGTCGCTGAGTCTGAGTCTGTCTGCTCTCCGTCCGTCGGGGGTGAGTGTGCTCTTGGCACGGACGTCCTTGAGGATAGGCAGGAGGAGTTCCAGAGTCTGGCGGCTGCTTCACCTCATCTCATGTCCGTATTGCTTACCCCTGACGGAGACTCGGATGCACTTGACATCCCGACTCCGCGCTCTTACGCGGAGGCGATAGAGGGTCCCTACTCCTCTCAGTAGAAGGCAGCTATGGATGCAGAGATGGCTTCCTGGAAGTCCACAGGCACCTACGTTGACGCTGTCCCCCCTCCTGGGGCGAACATCGTCAGCGGCATGTGGATCTTCAGGGTGAAGCGGCCGCCGGGTTCTCCGCCTGTCTTCAAGGCGCGTTACGTGGCTCGTGGTTTCAGTCAGCGGCAGGGAGTTGACTACTTTCAGACCTTCTCCCCCACCCCGAAGATGACCACTCTTCGGGTATTACTGCACGTTGCTGCTCACCGTGACTACGAGCTGCACTCTCTCGACTTCAGCACAGCTTTCTTGCAGGGCAGCCTGCACGAGGAGATCTGGCTGCGCCGCCCACCTGGCTTCATTGGGTCTTTCCCTCCTCGTACCCCATGGAGTCTCCGGCGTCCAGTCTACGGTCTCCGCCAGGCGCCACGAGAGTGGCACGACACACTGAAGACTACACTTGCGGCTCTTGGGTTTGCTCCTTCTACTGCCGACCCGTCGCTGTTTCTACGCACCGACACCTCTCTGCCGCCGTTCTACATCCTCGTGTACGTCGACGGCTTGGTCTTTGCCACAGCTGATTCTGCTAGACTCGCCTACGTGAAGTCCGAGCTGCAGAAGAGACACACGTGCACTGACCTGGGTGAACTGCGCAGCTACCTTGGCTTGCAGATCACCCGGGACAGAGCACGCCGCACCATTACCCTGACTCAGTCACACATGGTGCAGCAGGTCCTTCAGCGCTTCGGCTTCACGTACTCCTCGCCTCAGGCCACTCCTCTGCCTACTCGCCACTCGCTCTCAGCTCTGCCTTCGGATGAGTCCGTAGAGTCGAGTGGCCTTTATCCAGATCTTGTTGGCTGCCTCATGTACCTGATGACCTGCACACGACCTGACCTTGCATACCCTCTTAGCATTCTCGCACGCTATGTTGCTCCTGGGAGACACCGACCAGAGCAGATGGCTGCAGCGAAGAGGGTGTTGCGCTACTTGTGCAGTACGTTGGGCATGGGGCTTGTGCTTAGAGGGTGGAGTCCAGTGGTCCTCACTGGACACGCGGACGCTTCTTGGGCTGACGACCAGGCTACGCAGCGGTCGTCACAGGGTTACACCTTCAGCCTTGGTTTCGGTTATGTTTCGTGGCGGGCTACTCGCTCGTCTTCTGTTATCGGCTCCAGTTGTGAGGCTGAGATCTACGCCGGGGCCATGGCTGCACAGGAGCTTTGCTGGCTCACCTACCTGCTGATCGACCTTGGAGAGCCGCCTCGTTCTCCTCCAGTCCTGTACGTAGACAACAAGGCCATGCTGGTCTTGTGTCGAGAGCAGCGAGTGGAGCACAGAACAAAGGACATTGCTCTCCGCTACTTCCTTGCTCGTGAGCTACAGCAGCGTGGACAGTTGCGGCTTGCGTACGTGGCCTCTGAGGCCAACACTGCTGATGTCTTCACCAAAAGCACTTGCGCCTTGTGATCATCAGCGCTTCTGCACTCAGCTTGGTCTTGTGCCTGTCTTGCCTCACTTGCCTGTTTCTTGACCTTGCTTGTACAGTCACTTCTATATACTCTTGCTCTTGCTTGTTTAGTCTCTTATATATACACATGCTCCTGTATGTGAACTGGCCTTCTGGCCTTTGAACTTGTGCTCGGAATGTGTGGTGACTTTGTGATCCAATCTGAGCCTTGCTTGCTTTGCTTGACTGGTCTTGTGACCCCTTGTTCTCCCCCACTTTGCCTGTGGGGGCGAGTCAGAACATTATAGCTTATGCTATTGTGTAGGCTGTAGTGGGGTATCCCATAGGGGGTACAACCAATCATGGTTTCATATTTGTACTTACTTCATTCATAGTCCATCCATTCTCGTTCGACTTTCCTCAGAAATCTGAGGCGTCGGTTACAACTTCGAACGGCTTCAATGGGTCGGCGATGCGCAGCACAGGAGGGGAAACGAGGAAATTCTTGAGTTCCTGGAAAGCCGCTTGTGCCTCCTCCCCCCACACAAAATTCTTCTCCTTGTGTAGCAGGTCGGTTAGCGGGCCGGTTATCCTTGCCATATTCGGGATAAACCGCCGGACGTAATTCACGAATCCTAGAAAACTCTGGAGTTTCGTGACGTTCGTCGGGGACTTCCACTCTTGTATGGTCTTGATTTTCGCCAGGTCGATTTTAATGTCGTCGCGCGAGATGACGTGCCCCAAGAACTCCAACTCCTGCTTAAAAAACTCGCACTTAGAGCCCTTGGTGATGAGTCGGTTCTTCTGCAGCCGCTTAAACATTACATACAGGTCGCGGAGGTGCTGCTCCCGTGTCTTGCTAAAAATCAGGATATCGTCCAAGTAGAAGATGACACATCGGTCTAGAAGATCCCGAAAATCTCTGTTCTGTGAGAATAGTAGCTATAGTGAGGAGCCACAGCTAGGTAAGTCCTAGCTAGGCAAGAGAGAAATGAGCAAAGGAGGGGTTTGCACTAGCAAGCAGTAGGATACAAATAGGAAACCCTAAGGGGCTGTACTCGCTATAGAGTACCCCACTGCAGGCTAGACAAGTATTATATTCTGACATGTTCATGGTCAGTTGAAAAGTCGAAGGCGCGTTCGTGAGGCCGAAAGGCATCACTGTAAATTCGTAACTCCCGTAGCGTGTGCGAAACGCAGTCTTGTGACAATCGTCGGCAAAGACTCGAATCTGGTGGTAACCGCCACGTAAGTCAATCTTTGAGAAATATCGAGCGCCGCAAAGTTGGTCGAGGAGGTCGTCGGTGTGTGGGATTGGGTAGCAAGACCTGATGGTGACCCGGTTGAGCGCGCGATAGTCGATACACATGCGAAGCCCGCCGTCCTTCTTCGGGGTGAATAGGATCGGTGCTGCGAAGGGAGATGTGCTGGCCCGAATGAACCCTTTCTCCAATAGTGCGTCAATTTGAATTCGCAGCTCCTCAAGTTCCGGCTGGGTCAACCGCCATTGTGTCCGAACAGTCGGCTGCGCGCCAGGTTCCAGCTGGATTCTGTGGTCCTCATGTCTCTCGGGTGGCAGTCCAGGTGGCAGGTCGTCGGGGAAAATGTCCGGGTACCTCCGAATCAGCTCCACTAAATCCGGTGGTACAGCTGCACACAGCTTCTCGATGTCCTTTCCGTCGGTGTCAACCGCCAACTCGCGTAAGCAAACAGCGAACAATTGCGCACCTCTGTTGAAGTTGCGAGCTATAGTGATAGCTTTGACGCACGAGGCTTGGATGTAGTCAGGCGTCCATGGAGGTAGTTTAATTAGCCCCTCGTGCTTGTGGATGTTGCACGATCCCGTTGTCCAGTCGATGACGGGGTTGTGCCGTCGCAGCCAACCACGTCTTAGCAGCACGTCGCAGTCGTCCAATGTTGTCGCGATAAACTTCATGATGAAGCCGAAATCGTCGCCGCATTCGATCCTGACCGTCCGTGTTTCTTCCGTTATCGCCAGAGGCGTCCCATCCACGAGGCGGGCGTCAATTTTGGGCAGACACCTGTCAAGTTGCAGCTTGCATTTGTCAGTAAATCTGCTCTGTAGATGCCCGATTGATCCTGGAGAGGGTTACAGGCGCATTCGCCTGGGGGGTTATGGGCGCACTGACCCGCTACTGAAACAAGCCCTTTTATCCCAGTGGTCTAGTGGTTGGGATTTTGACATGGTATCAGAGCAGTCTCGGGTTCGATTCCCGGTGTATGCACATGTAGGCCGTTGCCGCTGTGCTTAGTCCTGGGCCTCTTAGTGGGGAGGGGTGTCAGTAGATCTGCACTGTGGATGCCCGATTGATCCTGGAGAGGGTTACAGACACATTCGCCTGGGGGGTTATGGGCGCACTGACCCGCTACTGAAACAAGCCCTTTTATCCCAGTGGTCTAGTGGTTGGGATTCTGACAGCATTTTTTTGCGCTCGACAAGTTGAAGAGGCTATGGCTGGCACCTCCATCGATGAACATTTTCATGTTATTTTTTAACACCTTGTCAGCGACCAGCACAGGGTGATCCACATGTGTATCCCCGTTATTCGTCCGAGTGAGATCGATTGCATGAATCGGAACCACGACTCAGTGGGGATGGTGGAGTTCGGGCTGTCAAAATATTATGCTCTAGCTTGTAGTGGGGTGCTCTATAGCAAGTACAACCTTTCTAGGGTTTGCTATTTGTATCCTCATTCTTGCTAGTGCAACCCTCTCCTTTCGTTTAAACTTTACCATGCTATCAGAGCAGGTCGATCCCCCTTGGATCGATCCTGTGGGTGGGCTCACCACCTCGTTGCTTCCGCTGCAACTTCCACTGCTACTCTCTGTGCCGCACGCCCCGTGGCGTGCAGCAGTTTTTCTTCCCGCCGTGCGCCCCGAGGCGCGCGGCGGTTTTCTGCTCGCCGTGCGCCCCGTGGCGCGCGGCGGTTCTCTGCCCGCTGTGCGCCCCGAGGCGCGCGGCGGGCTTGTGCCCCGACACTCGGCGCGTCGCCCTCGGGAGGCGCTGCGACGGGCGACGGGGACCCGCGCGTCGCCCCTCGACGCCCGTCGTGGCCTGCGCGCGGCCCGTACAGGCTGCGCGCGGCCCGTATGGGCTGCGCCAGGCCCGCGCGCAGCTCGGGCCGCCTGCGCGCGGTTCGGGCGGCTGTTCCAGGCCTGTGGGCGGCCCTTTCCTCGCTGCCCCTGCCCTCCCCGCTGTCCCCCGTGCTTCTACTGGCGCCCCACCCCTCCTACAGCCTGTTAACTGAATTAGGGTTTGGGGGTGAGGGGTATGGGGGTGAAGCCACTGTGTGACGTTCCCTGCTCCTCCTCCTCCTCCGTCTCCCTGTGCTGCAGCTGCCGCTGAGGGGGGGTGGACTTGTTGGAGCCGTTGGAGTGGTACTAAGGGGGGGTGAAGGGGGAGTGGAGCTAGCGGTGTAGCAGCGAGTGTGTGTCAGGGGGAGTGGGATAGTTTGGGGAGGTTGAAGGGGGTGGCCGCCGTGAAGCCAGCAGCTACAGTCGCCCGTGAGACCGTTGCGCCAGTCGCCCGTGAGCCCGTTGCGCCAGTCGCCCGTGAGCCCGTTGCTCCAGTCGCCCGTGAGTCCATTGCTCGTCTGCCGCTACTTTTAGCCGCGGAGCCAGTTACTCCAGTAGCCCGTGTGCCAATTGCTCCAGTTGCCAGTGTGCTAGTTGCTCCAGTTGCCCGTGTGCCAGTTGCTCCAGTTGCGCCGTGTGCCAGCAGCTTCAGCTGCCGCTCACTACCTCCTCTCCTCTCATAGTCTCTTTCCTCCTCCTCACTTGCCCGTTGTGACTACCACTAGCTTTGCTCATAATTGTGAACTTTAAACTATTGCTTCTTGAACTTGTGCTAAGAATGTGTGGTGACATTGTGATCCACCCTGAGCTTGTACTGCTTTGCTTGCTCTGCTGATTACACCCCACTTTGGCTATGGGGGTGTGTCAGAATGTTATGCTCTAGTCTGTAGTGGGGTGCTCTATAGCGAGTACAACCCTTCTAGGGTTTGCTATTTGTACCCTCATTCTTGCTAGTGCAACCCTCTCCTTTCTTTTAAACTTTATCACGGGCGACGGAGCACGGTTAGTAAAGGGCCCGCTAATTACTGACTTTTCCCATTTCCCTGCTCCTTCCTATCGTTCCCCGTCAGCGGCGTTTTCTCGTGGCATTCTCTCCTGTAGTGACTCGTCTTCCCACACCGGTAACACGGTCCCTTAGGAGGGCGACCGGGTGTATTGACGGCGTTGATCGTGGCCCGATGGGTCTGGCCACGAAAGCGGTTTCCCTCCCGGGAAGCTGCTCTCGCGTACTGCATCAGCGCATCTGTAGACTCCGCCAGCCGTAATGCTGCAAGAAATGACGTCGGGCGGCCTCTGCGAACCTCGTACTGTATCTCGTAGTTGAGGCCGCTGATGTACTTATCTAACCGCCCAGCTTCTGACATGTCATCAACTTGGTCGGCGAGGCCCATAAATGACGCCGTGTAGTCTTGGACAGAAGCCATCTGCGACCATGCACGCAGCTTCATGCGAGCTTGCTCCGAGGCGGATACGTGCTCGAAGCGATCTCGTAAGGCTGCGCCCCACTCCTTCCACGTGCGTATCGCGGTCACTCCGAAGATTGATTGTGCCACTTGATTAGTCACTGTTGAGGTCTGGTCTGCCGCATGCGTCACACCTGTCGGCATCCATGTTTCCAAGGTTCGGCGCCACCACTCAAGCGCTGCACCTCGAAGAAGCGAAACCGCGTAATTTATACGCGTGGCGTCGTCATTAACTCTGGCTGCAGTAAAAAAGACCTCGACCCCGAACAACCACCCTTTTACCGTAACCGTCCTGTCCGTAGGATTAAACGGGGGCGGGTTAACGGGCTTGATCTTGATCGTCGTTACTGCAACTGGCGCTGCTGCCGCTCGTTGCCTGTCCTCCTCTTCGAAGTCACGTGTGAGCGCATCCAGCGGATTGCTCATCGCCTGACTTTTGCCCTCGCCTTCGTCCACAGGCGACTCCTGACGCACTTCACCTCGCGTCTGGCGTAGCTCAGCGTTTTCCTCTCGTAGTGTTGTCACTTCCGCCATTAATCTCCTCATGCTCTCCTGCATTTCTGCCACTTGCGCCATCATCCTTTTAACCGCCTCTTGATCCATGTGCCTAGCGCTACGTCTGGTGGGCAGTTGGGTCTCCGTGGCCTTCAGGCAAGTGAAAACACAAACTATCTGAGTCGGGCAGGATTGAATCAACAATCCCTGCAGCCAACCGTCGTGTAGTCACTAAACCAGCCACACTCTATGCCACCAAACTACCCTCGGAAAAGCGGGGTGAACTAGGAAACTAGCTCTGATACCAGGTGTTATGAGTTGTAAAAGGGAGCAGGTAAACGAATGACGAGACTGAGATTGATCAACTGAGAATACAATGAAAGCATAGACTAATGTAGGGCTAGCCTAGCTAGGAGGAAACCTCGGACGAACGAGGTTGGGTGCAGGATTGGCGATGGAAATGCCGAAGGCGGTGCGAGGAGCCTCGGCAGCGTTGAAATCGACCGAGCGTGCAAACTCCGAAAATCGGGTTGTACGCGAAGCAGTTAACCCCAATAAGGAATTCGGGAAAATTCCTTACAGCCGTCAATCAACTCGGGATTGCTTGCCATACCATACCACCAACAGATAGCAACCTGACTAACCAACCACCCTAGCATGGTTCATTACAGTATTTATTACAGGAGGGCTAAATGGTTCTCTTACACCCCATGCAAAGCTTTGCATTGCATCGCTAACTCCAGGGAGTGTGTGTGCGTGTGAGCTCAGCTCGAGGACTCCCCCTATCTTCGTCCTGCTCGCCGGGCTTTCATATTCAGATAAGCCTCAACAGCAGCAGGACTAGCTCCCGCTCTCACCCTCAGTTTCGTTTGCGCTGCTTCAGCCGGAGCATTGACAGATGCCCAAGCAAATCCACTTCCGCTTTCACTTAAGAAAGCCTTTTCAGGCCTTTCTTTCTCCTGCACCACCACCGCCCCTTCCCCGATGCCCTTCATACCGTTGCCCATCGTGCTGCTCGCCTCCTGCCCGGTCTTCTCGATCTGACTGATAGAACCTGGCGGCGTCTGCCCGGGTAGTAACACGTATCTGAAAATTGTTTTCGGGCTGCCCGTGTTGCTCCGGACGTGACGAGCTGCTGCCGAGGAAGCAGCAGAGGAAGTGGAGAGTGCAGTCAAGCTGGCATGGCGAGGAATCAAGGTGGCGGGATCTGCGGAGCCTGGGGGGGACGCACCAGGCAGGGATCTGGATGACACTACAGGAGATGATCCATGCGACGACCCAGGGTATACAGATGATTCTTCAAGCGACGATCCAGACGTGGCGGTTCCAGCTGAGTTAAACGCGTCCGAAGAAGAATCCTGGTGATTCACGTGGATTGGACTCGAAAACACCATTCCTGAGACAAATCTCTGCGCTGGAAAAGCACCAACATTCGCAACAGTCGCAGCATTCGCAGGAGTCGCAATGCCTGAACTTCCGTCACTGCATGTGGAGCCGAACAAGCTCCCACCACTCTGCATGCCGTATTTACTCCGTCCAGACGACGCCACCGCGGAGTCGCTTTGCGATGAATGCATCTGCATGGGTTGATTGTGGGGATTTTCCGAAACGCTTTTCGAAGAATGCAGCAGATGCGGTTGGACGAGAGACGGGGACGGACTCCCCATGGTTCTGCCGACAAATCCCGAGGTCGGAGGAGTGCTGTTTCGCGCTGCTCCGCCCGCCGCGTGAAGCGGGGAATGGTACGAAAAGACGCTTCGAGCCGCCGACGAGGCAGCTGCATTCCTGGCTGTGGGCGACGAAGATGATGCTTCGGCGGCCGATGATGCTGCCGCGGCCGATGATGCTGCCGCGGCCGATGATGCTGCCGCGGCCGATGCTGCTGCGGCGGCTGCGGCCGCGTCACTGGTTGCACTACCACGTTTATTGTGACGGTCCAGCGTGAAACTCCGTCGTCGAGGCTTCGAGTTGCCTCCAGTCGGAGTGTTGAAATGAGGAGAATCTTCGTCGCCGTCGACGTATGATGGAGAGTAAGTCACTGAAGTGATAGTGACCACTGAAGCTGGATTCGACACGGTCGCTGCGCGGGACATGAATGCGGTGACGTTTCTGGGACCGTTGCTACCGCCGCCCGCGAAATCGCCGTCTGCGCTTGCAACATCGTCGCTGCCGGCGGCGCCGTCGATTTCCAGATCTTCGAGGAGCGACGTGAGATCTATGCCGTCGATTCTTGCATTGGAGGAGTCCATGGCTTGGCATCTCTTTTCAAGATCTGCGAGGGGAGCATGCCATTGCTGTTAGCCTTTACCACAACGCTGATCCACCACGTCAATCGGATAATGTTACATGAGCTGTCAAGTTGCTCGAATCCTTGTCAGAACGCCCAAAACTCTTCGAGAAATAAAAATAATGCTGAAGAAAGCTACATTGCACACAACACGAAACGGAGAACGTGTCATCTGCGAGAAGATTCAAGTCGTGCTGTGCTCACCTTCCCAGTTACGAGCCTTTGCTTCCTTCTGCGAATAGCCTCTGTTAAGTAGCAGGCCGCGGTTCCCAGACGCATGGTTCACCATGGCGGAGCTCATGATCGCAGCGCGTATACTTTTTAAGCGCGTCGTGCACTCACCACAAGAAGAGCGCTTTGTGCAACGTCGCGAGAGAAGATCAGAGTGACCAATTCGGCGGCCTGAAAGATGATAAATGGTTATGGGGAATGGGAATCATGTCTTATTTGTTTTAGCGCCCCAAGGCTGTGACGGAAGGTCGAAATTCAGTTTGTTCTGAGCAACACTCCTACAAAGCGGTTTGAAACGGCGTAGGTTTTTTTTTTTAACGGTTAACCTGGTTACAACATGGCGAAGTGACCCCTCCGACCTTGGAATGAAATCGGTTGGGATGTCAACAGTACTGCAATTCAGTCGTGCACCAAAGTCTCCACTAGCGAGAAGCAGTTACCAGACTGTGCCGTTCTGGAAACGTAGGCACCAGATACAACCGTTCTGAGATGTGTCAAAAAGCCACCCTCGAAGTGAATCGTACAGTAGGTGCATAGCAGGAGCACGTTGATCGAAGGAAGGCGCCAGACGAAGTGAGAAATGGGAGGGAGTGTCCGTGATCAAGCCACTGAATCGCTCATCGGAATTGAGGGTGACGCACCCCTTTTGCCTGGGACGACGCAGGGGGGTGACGGTCGACCGAGCGTCAGGGCGGCCAGCTCCCTCGCATGAGTCCCCCGCCAGGCTGGCGCGGGGCGGGGCTCTGCCAACGCCCCCCGCCCCGGCCCCCCACGTTGCAGCCGAGGGGTGGCGAACTCGCGCGTGAGCGACGAGGGGACGCACTTGTTTCCAGGTCGGCTCGGGTGACAGCTGGGTCATGTCCAATCGCGCGTCGTCACATGTGACGGCCTTGCTCTACACATGTGTGCTGTATTCTTGACGTTGATGTGGCGTTGCCAACAAACCACTAGGATACTGTGGTCGAAAATGGATTTCTGGTTGCATAACCACCCTGGACAGGTTACTGCCTGATAATCCTGGAACAACAATACAATCCTCGTTCACACTCGGTGGAATCACGATATGGCCGTAGTAATTACGGGAGATGGTGTGCACAAAAATATCCTGCACCCTCCCACTTTTGCATTCGGACTGGGCTGTAGGAGCTTCACGATTTCGGAACATACAGCAAAATATTCTTTTGGACCGCTTCTGGCAACCATTTCTAGATCTGTAATGTGTACTGCATACACCTGATGCCCTTTTCAAAAATATCCATTTTCTGGCTCCTCCTTATCAGTCGACACACTGCATTCAGAGCTTCAAAAAGGCTTGCAGTTCTTCGACATGTGATGATGTTTGGGTAGCCAAGCCTGTTTTTCCTCCAAAACTTGACAACCTTACACGTGATACAAAACAAAGCGTTTTGGCATGGGCTTCCGACGATTGAGCCGCCTCAACCATTGATCTTTCCTGCCCAGAAGCTGTGGCTTTGTTTCCAAAGAGATGTTCAGTGTAGTCCACAGTAAAACCAAGTGCAAACTCTCCGAAGCAGTACACGAAGCCTCTTCATTCGAGCCCGCGTTTTCGTCGCGAATGCTGCAACCAAGCAGCCAATCGACACTTGGCTCTAAACGCTCCAATAAATGATCACCTCTGTGCACCAATGACGACTTGCCAGGTTCATCCAATCGAGTATGTGTGGTGTGGATCGAGTCGGCTCGTCGTCTTGTCTGGTCTCGTAAGGAAGGGATTGCTGTTGAAGCAGGGCAAGTGGTTGGTACAACTCACTTTTTGACCTGAATACGCGTACAAGCTTCTCAGTCAGCAAAGATAACTACTGCACTTCATGATTACTTATAAACAAGTTCTGTAGTGATGTCCTGCAGACATGCAGACATGCAACTACTACTTGCAGATGCTCTTGCAAGCATGTGTATTTGTGTGCATACGGTGTTTACCGCAATCCTAGTTCACACACTTGCGCTGGAATGGGCAGGACATTGCTTAGTCAGGTGCCTACCTTGGCAAATTGCACACTAAACAATAACAAAAAAAATCAATGGCTGATGAAGGAGAAGAGGGAATGGGTGGGAGGGGTTGGTGCACTGATTACTGGAGCATATTGCGTGTTTCGGGCATTGCAGGAATTGAGGGCCAATGCAGTAACTGCAATGACCCTCGTACCCATGATATATCATGGGTGGACTAGGAGTAATTTATTGCACAAGAATGCACTAGATACTAATAATGGACGGACAAAGAAGTAGTTATTGCATGAAATGCATCACATGGCGACCTTATTCCTTTGTTGCAACTGCACTAAAGTGGCATAAGCACCATTGGGTACACTTATGAGCTCCATGTGAGTGCCCTGCTCCACCAGCCTCCCACCCTACAACACAATAAGCACTTAGTTAAGAGACATGATACAATGTAGATACAGTATATAAGCATTACCACGTCGGTGGGAAATGAGAGCCATGGAGCTACAGCAGCAAGCCCTTCCCATCTCCCACACCCTCCCCCCACCACACAGTCACTCAACCCACCACACACCCCATCACTCTGCTATGCAGGCCAACACCCCTCCTCCCAATTCCCTCCTCCTTCACCTGCAGCACAGCAATGCTGTCGGCACGGCAGATGGTGGAGAGGAGAGGCGGCGCAATGCACACCTCGCTACTCTGCTACTCAGCCCTCCACAACCATGCCACCCGCCCCCCATCCCCAACCCCAGCATTTCCCTCACCTGCAGCACAGCAATGCAGTCCGCATGGCAGATGGTGGAGAGGCGAGAATCACTCAGGCACTCAACCCTCCACACATCCCATCACTCTGTTACTCAACCCAACAGACACACTCCCTCTCCCTTGTCCATCCCCCCCTCCACTCACCTGCAGCACAGCAATGCAGTCCGCGTGGCAGATGGTGGAGAGGCGGTGCGCGACGACAATCGTGGTGCGGCCAATCATGATGCGGTTCAGCGCTGACTGGACCGCCACCTCAGACTCCGCATCCAATGCTGACGTGGCCTGCAGGGGAGAGCCATGCAGGATGGAGAAATTTGAGGCAACGAAGGACGTGTGAGTGAGTAAATGAGTAAGGAGTGAGCGAGAAATTGGGGAGTGAGTGAGTGACAGGGGAGTGAGCAGGTGAGTGAGGGGGGACACTTATGAGATAGACACTGCACCTCAACCAGCAGCAGCACCACTGGGTCTTTCAGGATGGCTCTGGCAGAGATGGCACCGCCTTTCAGGATGGCTCTGGCGATGGCAGAGAGTGTGCTCAGCTCACTAAGACTGCTATGAGCACTCCACCCATCACCACCGATCACCACCCACATCACCACCCACCACCACCGTACCTCATCCAGCAGCAGCACTGCCGGGTCTTTCAGGATGGCTCTGGCGATGGCAATGCGCTGCTTCTGCCCTCCTGACAGCTGCACGCCCCTCTCTCCCACCTGCACGCACATTGATATGGGGGAAGGGAACGGGCGCTGAGGAACCCAATCCAACCCAAACAAACCTAACCCAACCGAACCCAACCCAAACTGAGCCGACTGCTCGGCTCCTAACACCACGCCACCGGGCACGCGTACAGATGAAGAGCAAATCACCAAGCGAGCAACCCCCTATCCCTCGGGCAGACTGCTGATGAACCCATGCACGTTGGCTGCTCGTGCTGCTTCCACCTCACCAGGTAAGGCCACATCCAACAAGCTCCCCACCGCCCCCCCTTTCTCACCTGCGTGTCGTATCCCTCGGGCAGCCCACTGATGAACCCATGCACGTTGGCTGTCTTGGCTTCTTCCATTACACCAGGTACGAGCACCTATCAGCATCCCACCCACGCCTCCCTCCCCCCCCCCCTTCACCTGCGTGTCGTATCCCTCGGGCAGACTGCTGATGAACCCATGCACGTTGGCTGCTTGTGCTGCTTCCACCACCTCGGCCTCGCTGGCGCCTGGCTGGCCGTACAGGATGTTGCCGCGGATGCTGCAAGGAGCACAACAAGGCGTGGAGACATGGGGTCATGCAAGGATCGGGAGGCATGAAGCCTATTCGAGACCCGCCTCAAGTACATGCCTCCTCAAGCTGATTCCACCACCTCTGCCTCGCTGGCGCCTGGCTGACCGTACAAGATGTTGCCACGGATGCTGGGAGGAGAAGATGGAGACACGGGGACATGGAAGGTAACGAGGTCACTTTTGAGTCGACTCTAAAGTGACACGGGGTATCAGTGAGGCGCCTCAACCACGCGCTGGGTATCAGTGAGGCGCCTCAACTACGCGCTGGGTATCAGTGAGGCGCCTCAACCACGCGCTGCTTCCACCACCTCTGCCTCGCTGGCGCCTGGCTGGCCGTACAGGATGTTGCCGTGGATGCTGGGGGGACGTGGAGACGTGGGAGCATGGAGGCATGGGGCCATGGAGGGGTGAAAAAGAAAGAGACCACAATGCAGAGTGCTTCGAGATTTCTCAAAAACACCACATTGCTTACGTGGTAGCAAAGAGGGCGGGTTCTTGGCTGACCAGCCCGATGAAAGATCGCAGAGTCTTCAGATGAACGGTCCGGATGTCCTCCCCATCCACCCGCACACTCCCAGCCGTCGGATCGTAGAACCGCTCCACCAGAGCCACCACGGAACTTTTTCCGCTGCCCGACGGGCCCACCAGCGCCAGCATCTTCCCCGGCGCTGCCCGGAGAGAAAGGTCTTGCAGCACGGGCGTTTCCGGGCGGGCCGGGTAGGCGAAAGAAACCGATCGAAACTCAATCTCTCCGCGAACAGTCGAAACCACCTCAGCCGTCGGATCGTCAGAAAGAATCTTGGGCGTCCGATCTGTGGTCTTGAAGACCGATCGAACGGCCACGCTTCCTTTCGCAATATCCGGAGCGAGAGTAATGCTCTCAGCTATAGCCATCGACGTCATTATAAGCACCATAAATGACTTAAGCACATCACCATATGACGCTGTATTGGGAATTAAAGTCGACCCGTACCATAGTGCTAACGCATACGACCCATACATGAAAAATTGGCTCAGGCCGAAACCTGCCCCACCAACCTGCCCGCGAAGGAATGAGCGCCTGAGGGGTCCTGCCAGCCTGGCAGTGAACAGTGCGAGGATTTTGTCCTGTGCGTTGAATGCTGCTACAGTGCGGATGTTGGCTACCGCCTCTGCTGCTATGGTGGTGGCGCCCGCATGCGATGAGTTCTGGTTGCCCGCAAACCCTGCCAGGAATTGTTGCTGCGAGGGGGGAGAGGAGGGGAGGGGAAGAGGGGGGTAGAGATGAGATGGAGGTTGTTGGTGCTACAGTGCGGATGTTGGCGACCGCGTGGGATGAGCTCTGGTTGCCTGCAGCTCTGGTTGCCTGCAAACCCTGCCAGGAATTGTTGCTGGGAAGGGGGAAAGGAGGCGATGTGGATGGGAGGGGCGAGAAGAGGAGGGGTAGAAGAGGGGTGATAGGAGGAGAGGAGGAATGAGAGGTGGAGAGGAAGGGGTTCGACTCATGCATGGCTGCACACTCAAAAGACTGTCAGTGACTGCAGAGCATGCCTGTCAGTGACTGCAGAGCATGCCTGTCAGTGACTGCAGAGCATGCCTGTCAGTGACTGCAGAGCATGCCTGTCAGTGACTGCAGGGCATGACTGTCAGTGACTGCAGAGCATGCAGGTTCTGCGTGGCGAGAGCTACGCTATCCCACTCCCCCTCCTCACCTCCATAAGCGCTGCAAATATCAGCAGAGGGAACGTGGCGATGACGACCAGTGCCACGCGCCACTCCACCACGAACCCGATCACAAACGCGATGACACTCACCAACAAGTTCTGCGTGGCTGCAGGGCGCGCATATCCGCCTTCCCACCCCCTTACCTCCATGAGCGCAGCGAAAATCAGTAGAGGGAAAGTCGCGATGACCACGAGAGCGACCCGCCACTCCACCACGAACCTGATCACAAACGCGATGACAATCACCGACAGGTTCTGCATGGCTGCAGGGCGCGCATATCCGCCTTCCCACCCCCTTACCTCCATGAGCGCAGCGAATATCAGTAGAGGGAAAGTCGCGATGACCACGAGAGCGACCCGCCACTCCACCACGAACCTGATCACAAACGCGATGACAATCACCGACAGGTTCTGCATGGCTGCAGGGCGCGCATATCCGCCTTCCCACCCCCTTACCTCCATGAGCGCAGCGAAAATCAGTTGAGGGAAAGTCGCGATGACCACGAGAGCGACCCGCCACTCCACCACGAACCTGATCACAAACGCGATGACAATCACCGACAGGTTCTGCATGGCTGCAGGGCGCGCATATCCGCCTTCCCACCCCCTTACCTCCATGAGCGCAGCGAATATCAGTAGAGGGAAAGTCGCGATGACCACGAGAGCGACCCGCCACTCCACCACGAACCCGATCACAAACGCGATGACAATCACCGACAGGTTCTGCATGGCTGCAGGGCGCGCATATCCGCCTTCCCACCCCCTTACCTCCATGAGCGCAGCGAAAATCAGTAGAGGGAAAGTCGCGATGACCACGAGAGCGACCCGCCACTCTACCACGAACCCGATCACAAACGCGATGACGATCACCGACAGGTTCTGCTATCCTCTCTCTCTCCTGAGCTCACCTCCATGAGTGCCGCAAATATGAGCAGCGGGAACGTTGCAATCACCACGAGCGCAACCCGCCACTCCACCACGAACCCGATGACAAACGCGATGACAATCACCGACAGGTTCTGCGTGGCAAGGGCAATGCGGTCCGCCACGGCCGCTTTGACTAGCGTGGCGTCTGTGGCGAGACGAGAGGCGATGGCGCCGCTGGCGTTGGCGTCCCGATCGAACCATGCCACCTCGTTGCCTAGGATGGCTGTGGGGGGAGGGATGAGGGAGGAGAGGAGGAAGGGAGGAAAGGAGGGAGTGCCATGGTTGGCGAGGTGAGATGCGATAGCTCCGCTGGCGTTGGCGTCCCTATCGAACCCGATCGATCATTGCCTAGGATGGCTGCATGGGGGGGGGGGGGGGGGGGGGAGAGGAAGGGGGGAAGGAGGGCGAGAAGGGGGAGTGGGGTCGGTGGCAAGACGAGTTAACGTCTTCTCGTCTTCTCCACTGGTGATGACTCCACTGGTGTTAACGTCTTCTCGTCTTCTCCACTGGTGATGACTCCACTGGTGTTAACGTCTTCTCGTCTTCTCCACTGGTGATGACTCCACTGGTGTTAACGTCTTCTCGTCTTCTCCACTGGTGATGACTCCACTGGTGTTAACGTCTTCTCGTCTTCTCCACTGGTGATGACTCCACTGGTGTTAACGTCTTCTCGTCTTCTCCACTGGTGATGACTCCACTGGTGTTAACGTCTTCTCGTCTTCTCTCTGACTCACTTCACCGCAGCTTCCCCCACCACCCCAGAGCTACAATCCTGCAAGGAGTGCCACTGGCAGGGCATGCCCAGAGCAGGGAAGACCAAAGCCCTACCGATCCCAACCTGGCTTTGTTCCCCCACGCACCTGCAAGCATCTTCTCTCTGACTCGCTTCACTAGTGCTTCTCCCGACACGCCAAAGCCGTAGTTCTGCACCGAGTGCACTGGCAGCGCCAGCACACTCAGAGCCGTGAATCCCCTCCCCCTCCCCCTCCTGTTGTGATGTTCCTATGTTACATACCTTTGAGAATATTCTCTGACTCGCTACACCAGTGCTTCCCCCAACACACCAAAGCCGTAGTTCTACACTGAGTGTACTGGCAGGGCCAGCACGCCAAAGCAGACCCTTCCAGGACAGGTGCTTAAGATGTTGACACCCTTCCACCACCCACGCACCTGCCAGCATTTTCTCTCTGACTCGCTTCACCAGTGCTTCCCCTGCCACCCCAAAACCGCATTTATGCACTGAGTGTACTGGCAAGGCCAGCACACCTGGAGCCGTGAAGACCAAATCCGTACCTTTCCCAACCTGGCAATGTTCCCCCACGCACCTGCAAGCATCTTCTCTCTGACTCGCTTCACCAGCGCCTCTCCCGACACGCCAAAGCCGTAGTTCTGCACCGAGTGCACTGGCAGCGCCAGCACGCCGAGAGCCGTGAAGACTATGGCCCACTTGTTGACCTCCCGCTTCATCTCATCGGTATCAGGGTTGTAGAGAGCCGCTATCACCTGCAGTGCGGTTGGGGATGGGAGGGGGATGGCACAATGTGGGTGGAGTAGTGAAGACTATGGCCCGCTTCATCTCATCGGTATCAGGGTTGTAGAGAGCCGCTATCACCTGCAGTGCGGTTGGGGATGGGAGGGGGATGGCACAATGTGGGTGGAGTAGTGAAGACTATGGCCCGCTTCATCTCATCGGTATCAGGGTTGTAGAGAGCCGCTATCACCTGCAGTGCGGTTGGGGATGGGAGGGGGATGGCACAATGTGGGTGGAGTAGTGAAGACTATGGCCCGCTTCATCTCATCGGTAACAGGGTTGTAGAGAGCCGCTATCACCTGCAGTGCGGTTGGGGATGGGAGGGGGATGGCACAATGTGGGTGGAGTAGTGAAGACTATGGCCCGCTTCATCTCATCGGTAACAGGGTTGTAGAGAGCCGCAACCAGCTGAAGGAGGGAAGAGGAGTGGTCGAGATGGGGGGGGGGGTGTGGAGATGGCAGAATGTGATAGGAAGGAGCAGTGAAGTGTAAGTCCCCATCGTCCGTGTCATAGTCTATGTTGTGGGTCTTACAGAGCTGATATGACCTAGAGAGTGGTTCAGAAGAGCGGGAAGGGAAAGACAAGGCAAGGTGATTACTCCACTGCAATCCCACTCACGTTGCAATCACGCTCACATCACAATGCACTCACAATAAAATCCCACTCACATCAATGAACGGCAGAGCATACACGGGGTTGAACGCCGCAGCAATCACAGCACCAGCGGAGAAGACTTTTAGAGGTGAATTCACCAGCAATCACTCAACAGGTGAATTCACCAGCAATCACTCAACAGGTGAATTTTGAGCCGACTCAATAGACTTCTGAGACGTCTCAAAATTAGAGAACTCAACAGGTGAATTTTGAGCCGACTCAAGAGACCCACTCACATCAATGAGCAGCAGAGCATACACGGGGTTGAACGCCCCTGCCATCACACTCACACTCACCAGTGGCGCCCAGGGCACTGACACACTCACATTACAAACACACACCAACCCACACTACAGACCCACTCACATCAATGAGCAGAAGCGCATACACCGGCTTGAACGCCCCTGCCATCACAGCACCAGCTGCACCCAAAGCAGTGTCTCACGTTACAGCAGTGTCACACTCACGTTACAATCCCACCCAAACCACAGTTGCACTCACATCAATGAGCAGAAGCGCATACACGGGGTTGAACGCGCCTGCCATGACAGCACCAGCCGCGCCCAGAGCAGTGAAGGGCCACTCAGGAGCACTCATACGCGCTAGTCGCCACCACGACGCCTTCTTTCCCCCCACTCCTTCTCCTTCTACTTCCCCTTCTCCTTCTCCTTCTCCCTTCGCGCCCTCCTCCTCCTCTCCACTCTCCTTGCCCTCCTGACTGTTTTCCCCCTTGTCATCTCCTCTCTTTTTGCCGCCAGGGAGCAACGCCCTCAGGGGAGCTGGTAGAACCTTCCTCAGTTCCCCCCACACTCGCTTCCCTCCTCCCCCTTCTCCTCCCTCCTCCTCTTCCTCCTCCACGTCAGATCCCATTAGATCCAAGTCAAAGTCCACGTCAGCAGCAGGTTCTCTGAAGCCACGTGGAGTGGAGGCTGCTGACAGGGAGCTCAGCGCCCTGGAGATCTTCCTTCCGACGTCCTCCATGCTCCCTGATTGGTCCACGTCAGCAGCAGGCTCTCTGAAGCCACGTGGAGTGGAGGCTCCTGAGAGGGAGCTAAGCGCCCTGGTGATCTTCCTTCCCACGTTCTCTATGCTCCTTAATTGGTCCACGTCAGCAGCAGGCTCTCTGAAGCCACGTGGAGTGGAGGCTGCTGACAGGGAACTCAGTGCCCTCGAGAGCTTACTTCCCACGTTCTCTATGCTCCCTGATTGGCCCACGTCAGCAGCAGGATCTCTGAACCCACGTGGCGTGGAGGATGCTGAGAGCGCCCTCGAGATCTTCCTACCCACGTCCTCCTCGTATCCTGATTGGTTCACGTCAATTCGAAGGCGGCCGGCTGCTTTCAATCCTGGAACCTGATTGGCCAGAGCATTCAGGCTTACGTAGCGATCCTCCCCAGCTACCATCTGCAGGCGAACCAAGTTAGCATACACGCCCCCCTCTTTCCTCGCACCTTCCTTTGCACTAACCACACCCCTCCCCTCATCATCCTCCCCTCCCCCTCCCCACTCCTCCGCCCCCCCATGCGCCATCAGCTCTTCGTGTGTCCCCTCCTCCACCACCCTTCCCCCGGCCACCACAGCAATCTTGTCTGCATTCCGGATCGTGGACAGCCGGTGTGCGATCACAACCGTTGATCTGCCACGCATCAGCCCACCGTCCAGAGCCGCCTGCACCACGCGCTCTGATTCGCTGTCCAGTGCTGACGTGGCCTCGTCCAATAGCAGCACGCGGGGGTTGCGAACGACTGCTCTGGCGATGGCGATGCGCTGCTTCTGCCCTCCTGACAGCTGCACGCCCCTCTCTCCCACCTGCACGCACATCGATATGGGGGACGGGCAGGGAAGAGAGGGTGTTGGATGCGTGTGATGGTCAACGCATTAGCACTGTCACAGCAATGACAATCCGCTGCTTCTGCCCTCCTGACAGCTACACGCCCCTCTCTCCCACCTGCAGATTTGCAAGGGGGCAAAGACAAGGATAACGGGATGGGTACTTGCGTGACTGCTCTGGCGCTGCTTCTGCCCTCCTGCCAGCTGCACGCCCCTCTCTCCCACCTGCACGCGCATTCACAGCAATGGCATTGGCAATGCGCGGTGGCAATCTGAGTTCCTCCACCTCTTACATCAACTCCGTTCAGCATCCATCCCTAACCTGCATCAATGCAAACCGTCTCACCTCCATCCCTAAGCTGCATCAATGCAAACCGTCTCACCTCCATCCCTAACCTGCATCAATGCAAACCGTCTCACCTCCATCCCTAACCTGCATCAATGCAAACCGGCTCACCTGTGTGTTGTACCCTTGCTCACCTGTGTGTTGTACCCTTGCTCACCTGTGTGTTGTACCCTTGCTCACCTGTGTGTTGTACCCTTGCTCACCTGTGTGTTGTACCCTTGCTCACCTGTGTGTTGTACCCTTGCTCACCTGTGTGTTGTACCCTTGCTCACCTGTGTGTTGTACCCTTGCTCACCTGTGTGTTGTACCCTTGCTCACCTGTGTGTTGTACCCTTGCTCACCTGTGTGTTGTACCCTTGCTCACCTGTGTGTTGTACCCTTGCTCACCTGTGTGTTGTACCCTTGCTCACCTGTGTGTTGTACCCTTGCTCACCTGTGTGTTGTACCCTTGCGGTAGCGCAGTCACAAAGGAATGCGCGTTGGCGATCCTTGCTGCTTCCTCCACCTCCTCCTGTGTCGCGTCCTCCTTGCCGTACCGAATGTTCTCCAGAATGCTGTGTGATGGGGAGGGGGAGAGAGAGGGAGAGAAGGGAGAGAGAATGGTGAAGGGTGCTATACATCACACACACTTGCATCATCAATCAGCTCACCTCACTCCACCGCACTCCACCTCACCCCACCTCACCTGGTAGCAAACAGGGACGGCTCCTGGCTGACAAGCCCCAGCTGGGAGCGCAGCCACGTCAGGCTGAGCTGGCGCAGATCCGTGCCGTCCAATGAAACGCTGCCAGCTGTCGGGTCGTAGAAGCGCTGGATGAGCGCCACGACGGTTGACTTGCCGCTGCCTGATGGGCCGACCAGGGCGACCGTGGTGCCAACAGGGATCGAGAGGGAGAAGTCCTGAGAGTGTGGGGAGGGAAGTGGGAATGTGAATGGAGGAGAGAGAAGGTGAAGCGAGGTGAAGGATGAGTGGTAGGGAACTGGGGCGAGAGCGGTTCACTTGCTGCTGCCTCATGGGCCCACCAGGGTGACTGTAATGCCGGCATGGTCAAGGGAGGGGATTAAAACGACCGTGTTTAGGATTTCCCAAAAGATGATGCCAGTTGGCTTGCTGGTGGAGTGACTTTTGAGAATTCTCAAAGTCACTCCAATATAGCTGGCCTACAAATCTCTCCGGTTTTGAGAATTCTCAAAAGATGATGCCAGTTGGCTTGCTGGTGGAGAGGGATTGATGCAATCACTTGCTCACTGTTGAGGCGCCTCAAAAGTCTTAAATACGGCATCCTTAAGGTGGAAGAGCTGTCAGTAACGGACAGGTGGGCTGCGGAGGCCTACGGCATGCATCCTTAAGCTGAAACGATGGCAACGGTATCACTTGCCCACCTTAAATATCGACACTTCAGGCCAAGCCGGGTGAGTGTGTTGAGAAGTCCCAAAACTCAGTGAAAAGCAGCAGCTAGCTCACCTTAAATATCGGCACTTCTGGTTAAGCCGGGTACGCAAAGCACACCCTTTCAAACTCCACCCGCCCCTGCACCCGTGTTTCAGTCGACAAAAAGCAGCTAGCTCACCTTAAATATCGGCACTTCTGGTTAAGCCGGGTACGCAAAGCACACCCTTTCAAACTCCACCCGCCCCTGCACCCGTGTTTCAGTCGACAAAAAGCAGCTAGCTCACCTTAAATATCGGCACTTCAGGCCGAGCCGGGTATGCAAAGCACACCTTCTCAAACTCCACCCGCCCCTCCACCGCCTCCAACTCCTTCCCACCGCTCCCCCCCTCCTCCTCCCCGCCAATCACCGGCCGTCTCGCTATAGTCACAAAGATCTTATACGCTGCCACACAGCCCTTGGAAAAGGCTGTGACGTTAGGGAGGGCTTGGCCGAGCCCCAGGCTGCCAAGGGCGATGGCGAACATGGTGGTGAGGATTGAGCCTCCGTTGCCGATGCCTTGTGCGATGAGAAGGCCGGAGAACCAGAACATGAGCGCAAAGGACGCGAACATGAGTCCGTAGATTGCGCCTAGGCCCACTCCCTTGGCTAATCCGCCCTGGTAGGAAGGCCACGGGAGAGGGAGAGGGAGGGAAACGAGAGTGGTAGTGGGTTCCCCTCCCCTGACCTGCCAAGCCCCAGGCTGCCAAGGGTGATGGCGAACATGGTGGTGAGGATTGAGCCTCCGTTGCCAATGCATGGGGATATAGATAGCACACCCAGACCCAGGGTCGGATAGGCAAGGACAAGCACCTATCAACGCACCTTGACTCCCAGCTTGAACGTGTCTCTTAAAGCCCGCCCATATGCCTCCACTGTCCTGTCCTCTGCCACGTACGACTGCACTGTTCGCACCTGCCCCACCGCCTGATGTGGTGGGGGCGATGGAGGGGAGAGGGTGGTAAAGAGGGGGTGGTGAGGGAGGTTGTGGGTGGTGAGGGGTTCGTTGGGGGAACGCCCATACGCCTCCACTGTCCTGTCCTCTGCCCCGTATGACTGCACTGGGGGCACCTGCCCCACCGCCTGTCCTGTGATGGTGGAGGGAGGGGGTTTGGGTGGACAAACAGGGGGAAGGATGAAAGACCTTTTCCTCTTCTGTCCTCCTTGCTGTCCTCTGCCATGTATGACTGCCCTGTGCGCACCTGTTCTTCGATCTTTCCTGCTCCTCCCTGCCAATACCCAAAAGACAGTCGGTTGAGACACGTACCTGTTCAGCAATCTTCCCTGCTTCGGTGTAAGCCTTCTCTCCCTGAGTCATGAGGCCCGTGAGCACAGCCGCATAGATCCCTCCCGTGGCGATGATGAGCGGGCACACGGCGAGAATGACCAGAGCCAGCTGCCACACGCTGGTGAAGCCGACTATGAAGCCACACACGAACGTGGAGAAGTAGTGAATGCAGTTGCCCACCTGGTTGGGGGGCAAGGAAGCAAGGATTGGAGAGAGGATAGGTGTGTGGAGTAGGGCCAGGTGCCCTGCCACATGCTGCCACACGCTGCCACACGCTGCCACACGGTGCCACACGCTGCCACACGCTGCCACACGCTGCCACATGGTGCCACACGCTGCCACACGCTGCCACACGCTGCCACACGCTGCCACACGCTGCCACACGCTGCCACACGGTGCCACACGCTGCCACACGCTGCCACACGCTGCCACATGGTGCCACACGCTGCCACACGCTGCCACACGGTGCCACACGCTGCCACACGCTGCCACACGCTGCCACACGCTGCCACACGCTGCCACACGCTGCCACACGCTGCCACACGCTGCCACACGATGCCACACGTCGCCACACGCTGGTTCACGAGCTCCCCCGAGCAGGCCTCGAAGTCAAAGAATGCTACTTCCTGCCGCAGCAACACATATTCTGAGACGAGTTTTTAGTCGACTTAAAACTCGTCTCATCACACCCAAGCACGCCTCGAGGTAAAAAAAGGCCACCTCCTGCCACAGCAACATATATTTTGAGGGGCCTCTAGCACCAACACACCCACCTTCTCCGAGATGGCATCTTGCAGCAGCAGCACATCAGATGATACGCGGTTCACCAACTCCCCCGAGCACGCCTCGAGGTCAAAAAAGGCCACCTCCTGCCGCAGCAGCGCCTGCAGGTACAGCCGGCGCACCCGCGCACTCTGCCGCTCGCCCGTGTGCATCCAGCACGCCACCTCTGCGGGGATGGCAGGGGAAGCGGAGGACAGAGGAGGAGATGGGAAGAGGGGGAAATGTGAGTTGCAGGTACAGCCGGCGCACCCTCGCGCTCTGCCTCTCGCCCGTGTGCATCCAGCAGGCCACCTCTGCCATGGGGGAGGAAGAGGAAGGGATGGGGGAAGGCCAGGAGAGGACTGAAAGGCTGAGTACCCCCATTGCTCTGGATGAAGCAGCAGTGCCTGCAGGTACAACCAACGCACCCTTGCACTCTGCCTCTCGCCCGTGTGCATCCAGCACGCCACCTCTGCGAAGGAGGAAAGGGGGAGGAGAAAGGGAGGTGTGGGGAGTGGCGGAGAGGAGTGGAACACAAGGGCCCAGACTGCTCCTCCTGCCGAGCAGCGCCTGCAGGTACAGCCGGCGCACCCGCGCACTTTGCCGCTCGCCTGTATGCATCCAGCATGCCACCTCTGGAGAGAGGGGAAGGGGAGGAGATGGCATTTGAGGTGAGAAAAGTTAACGGGTTTTGGAGAGACATGGACGATGACGTGGATGATGACGTGGATCCCTTTGTATAAAAAATGCGGTGGTTCTGAGACTCTGATGTAAATGAATGATGAATATTACCTAGCCATCCGCCAACCAAGCAGCATAAAGCGATGTAGACCATAGCGAGGACAAACTGCCACATGCACATCCATACACATCACATGCACGTTACATGCACACACATGCACATCACATACAATTGCACATCAGATCAGATGCTCATCACACACAAATGCACATCACATGCACACGGCATGCACATCATATACACATCACACACACACCACATGCACACCACAAGTGAAAAATGTGAAAACATTAGCACAGTAGAGACGGAGAGAGCGAGGCAAGCAAGAAAGCAACGTAACCAGGCACATTGTCCGCCATACAAGCCCACTCGCCGCTGTATGATACACCCACACGTACTCGTCTTCCTACAGCATACCCCTCCCATCCTGGTCTTCTCCTCATGCCCCTCCCCTCATGCCCCTCTCCTCATGCCCCTCTCCTCATGCCCCTCTCCTCATGCCCCTCTCCTCATGCCCCTCTCCTCATGCCCCTCTCCTCATGCCCCTCTCCTCATGCCCCTCTCCTCATGCCCCTCTCCTCATGCCCCTCTCCTCATGCCCCTCTCCTCATGCCCCTCTCCTCATGCCCCTCTCCTCATGCCCCTCCCCTCACGCCCTCCCCATAATCATGCCCCTCCCGCTGACGCCTCTCACCATGTTCACGCCGGAAAGGTCGTTCGTGCGGAACAAGTCGACCATTCTCCCCAGAAACTGGACGATAACAGCAGAAGTCATTTCTGAGTCCCCAATAATCCCCTCCCCTCATGCCGCCTTCATCCATGCTTCCCGCACGCGCCTCCCCCTGACGCCCCTCACCGTATTCACGCCGGATAGGTCGTTCGTGCCGAACGAGTCCACCATTTTCCCCAGGAACAGGAACGAGATCGGCAGCGCGGCGCCGTGAAGCACGGCGCCGAGCGTGCCGACCGCCATGAGCGCCACGTCCGTACGGTCCGCGTAGGAGAAGAGCCGCCAGTACGCCACCGCCGGCTTCTTCCCCTTCCTCTCCTTCAGCTCCTCCTCTTCTGTCTCATCCTTTTCATTCTTCTCGGTCGCCTCCGTCTCCCTCTTCGGTGTCTCGGAGACGGCGACGGGCGAGTCGCCTACCATTTTCTCCTCAAGAAGTAACGGCTTTCCGCCGTGTGGAAGCCCAGAATGATCCGTGCTTTCCAGAATCCCCGCGTCTGGGTTCCCAGGATGGATCGTTGCCGCAGGGTGATCCGATCCCCCTCCATGTCGCGTCTTGGATCCGTCCGTTTCCCCCATTTGTTCTGAATCCAAGTCTATCAATAACTTAAAAGCCTTAGTGCTACCACTCAGCTTGAATAGCCCAGATACCCAGAACGGGCGTTATTACTCTAACATCATAAACTGAACCAAAATACGCGAACTGCGATTTTTGGGCTTATCACATCATTGACCATTGAGCATTTGCTTACTACGTTCTACAACGGCACGAAGGCAACGGGCTGTGTACTGCTCACCAATTTCCGCAGAATCATAGACCAGAAACTAGAGATGGCATGAGATAACGAGATAATGGCTGTCGTGTTGTTTATGGGGAATTTGTATTGTTCTGTTTGGGGGCCCTGAGCTGGCACGTCAGGTTGACACGGCAGGGGGAGAGCAGGGTACCCGGCAACATCCTGCTGGGTTCGGGTTCGCCAACACGGCGACGGTCGCCAGTTGCACTCGCCTCCTGCCACCTCCGTGGAAGCGACGACGAAAGGACACTACGAGTTGTGGTGGGCAACCCTCGCTGCCCAGAAGTCGTAAACGTTTGCATGGACGATTATATATATACGTGGCAAGGTGGTTGTCTGCCTCACCTTGGTCATTCACCTTTCAAAAGAACATTCAAAAGGTGATGGACACGGGGGCTGGGAAAACATGAATAAACAAACAGCAGCTTCGCTGACGCCAGGGTGACGTTGCACTCTTCGCAACCGTCTATGATTGGTTCAGTATATCGTCAGCATGGATTGCTGACACCACCTATGCACACATGATGAGATTGACGAATCACTGAACTCTTTGTGTATAAGAAGAAATATTAATGGAGACTCAGAGAATGACATACGTTTCAAACATAGTGAAGCCCATCATATCGAGTTTTTAGGAATCCTCCTTGTCCATCCATATCACAAAAGATACATAACTTCACGTGAAAAAGCAACCACCCATCAACTGTCCCGCGTGCCATGCGACCAGTGGCAAGGGATCATACGTTACTCCGTTTCTTTCGTTTGTAGGCCGACACCATGCGACAGAAAACCACAGACGAGTTGGAAATTGCACTCGCGAAACATCGTTGTCTTTGAAGGGACTTGGGAGAAGATCATGCAGGGGCCGAACAGTGCCAGAGGGGTGATCGACCAGGGGCCGAGAGGCCCGAAACTTACCAAACCACTGCGCGAGGAGGGACTAACAGGGGGTCTTTGTTTATTGCACATAGTTATGTTACTAGTGGCATGTACCGGCTCGCATTTTCGCTCGCGTGTCGTTTAGCGAGCCGACTCTACTAGGAACTCTAGGGCAGCCAGAAAAAACTAAAACTCATAGGTAACCTGGCTGTAATTTCGGGATGGATCAACCCTAAATAAGGGGCCCTCCCTGATATTTAGGGCTGATGCCTCCCGAGTCGCATCCGTTTCCGAATGGGTAATATATTTTTTTATTGTGCATTTCCGATCGGGTAGGGTGATATGTATCACCCAGATATATTATGTTGTTACGTACTCACGATTTCACACCCCGAATTTTAATTCCAGAAGAAGGCGACGCGCGCGTTGTAGTAGACGGTGGTCAAAACCCTTAAAAAAAAAAAAAACAATGAACATGAATTTCGGTTAGTTTGAGCAATTTTCTTTTACTCATGGTTCGGCTTGTTCGCCGAGTCGTTTGGTCAGCTCCGGGTTGAAATCCTACGGTCGAGATTTACCGGCCCTACTTTGAACACCCCTCTGGTACTGTTCGGCCCTAATATGATCTTTTCCCAAGGGACTTCAAGAATGACTTGCTTTGCACTGCAACATTTTCGTCAAGTGCGTATAGCACGCTGATTCGCGAAAGAATCTGCTTGTGGTTGTGTGTTGGTTGCCTGCGCGTTCCGCAAAAGCTTCTACGAATCTAAGCGGGTTACCCGAGACAAATCCTTGTTGGAGCATTGCTGCTTGGTCCTTATTCGGACTGAAATCAGCCAAGCAGCTTCGATGTTTGAAATGAATGCTGCAAGCATGCGGACATATGGAGACATTGCCCCTTTCACACCGACCACCGACCATGGGGGGCGGGCGGGGGAAAGGAGGTGTAGCCATTACGTACAAAAAACAAGACTTCAGTCACTCTGGTTCATGGAGACTCGGCGGCTCGCTCGGGTTGTAAGTAACGGCGGATGCGGCGGCGATAACCATCACAGACTTACACTTCGGCTGCAATACCCTCACGGCCTCGCCCTTGCAGCCACATCGTACTGTACAAAATGCCCGCGATGTATATAGGTTGCGAGGCTCCATCACTTACCAATTCAACTTACACCACTTCTAATAGCTATTCAAACCCGAAGTCTCTCAAAACGTTGAATAATCCACCATGAGTCTGTCAAGCGCCGTACTTATGCACAGCGTTGCCGTACGTTGCGCACAAAACTCGACCTGCACAAGCGATCTCCTTTCCCCAGACTCCACGCTCTCGCTCAGCTTCGAGCGCCACGACGCGGCTCGGGAGTGCGCCAACCTAATCGCCAACCCCCATACTACAACTGTCAGAGCGGGGGAGCCGTTCGAGTGCATTGACGCGAGGCCGAGGCGGCTTTCGCCAATGGAAGCTCCGATTTCTCCTACCTGTGATACCAGAATGGGACAGGAAGCAGTATACGCTCACCTCTGCACACCCCGTCGTGATGCACTCGTAGCGTTACCGGATCGGCGAGACTGCGCAGAGGCGTTGTGCCCGACCTGCTCATGGCGAATCGCAGAGCTCGCGTGCGATCCTGTGTGGATTGACGACGCTAGGTCGCGCATTCGGGGGGCGGCGCTTGCTGTCGTCGAGGCGCAACAGGCGTCCGCGGAGTTGAGCGCGCGAGTGGCGGAAGCATCTACGGAGCTTCTGAGCGCGGGAGAAAACCAACTTGGCTCTCAGAGGAGAAATTCCGGCTCTTTCTCAACCAAAGACCGTCAACCTGCGACGTGCCGAAGCCCAAGCTCGCTCGGACGCTGGTGGAGCCGGGAGACGTGTAACGACGGATCAGACGAGCTGTATGGCGGAAACCTCTCAAAAAACCGCAGTTCCGAGTCAGTTGATGCCCTTTTTGCGGACCCTGCTAGTCGGAACAGAAGCCGGCGAGTCTTCCGGAAATCAGCCACAGCAGGATCAGTTAACCTCCAAGACATCGAAGTGACAATTCCACCTCAATTCATTCGGCGAATTAACACCTCGTCGCCGCGAAAAGAGGTGGCGGATGCGACTCTAAGAGAAAGGCGTGGTGGAATAGTTGACATTGTGCGACACGCGTTTATGAAGCCCACATCCACATCGTGATATAATCAATTTAGCTGGTGTGCAATAGGTTCGTATTGCCTATAATGACAATCGTTAATAATCAATTTGATGTGCCTTTGCAGACCCTACGTTCTCCTTTGCATGCTTTGCAATATCGGGTACGACATATACACTAAATGTGATTGTAAGTTGTCATGACAGGGGCCTATTGGTCCGGTTTGTGCTGTCTGGGAACCTCGGGATTGGCTGAGTTCACAGATATTATTTGCTTCAGACTATGCTTTAGCGAACCTGTGCGAGCCGTCCATTTCTTTCTCATCCACGGATCACAGAGCTCATCTGGCAGAAGAGGCATCCTTCACAGCGAGCACTTGGACTACAGACCTGAACTTTGTCCCTGCCGAGCCGAGCCGATGTTACCCAGCCAAAACTGTAGATTCCACCAAAGCAAACCAGCAAGCAGAAGCAGCGATTCTGTGCTCCCTGTGGGAGGAAGGGGAAGTTGAATGGTCCAGTTGTTCAGTTGGAAATGGCGTCCCGAAAACGAGGTAATGCAGAACAATGCTGGTTCATACTACTGTGCTGGGGGAGGTGTTTAGGTGGTGAAGCTCTCACGCTCACATATGTGTGCAGCAGGCATTACAACAATCGAGGAGCTGTTGGCTCAAAGTTGTCTGTTCGTCTCTCGGCCAGCCCTCTGAATTTCGCGACCAGCTGGGGTTATCTCGATTGTACAGTCCACCAGAAGACTTCTACGACTATTTGACGCACTCCACACGATATCGTCAACCCATTTCTCGCATTGTTGTTGGATAGAACCCTAAAGTGCCCTGACTGTCAGGTGATCCGCGAAGATCTCTCATCGGAGACGTTGACTTTCGTAAATTTTCTGCTCGTATTCGACATAACCACCAGCATGTCACCGACATGGATAAGCCGAACTGCAATGCTTGCTCCGCCTTTTTTTGTTGGCATCTTAACGGGATTCACACTGCTAGCTGTACAGCAGTCAATGTCTACCCACTTAAAATATCAATCTTTTACGGAAGACCAGCAGCAGACGGAATATGTCGATTCGCCTCAAATGCTAAAGAATTCCGTCGACAAGAGTTCGTTTTCGTTTGAAGAACGGTTACCGATTCGTTATAATACGTCAGCGGGAATTGTGGAAGGAAAATTGAACGTCCATTTGATTGCTCATTCCCACGACGATCTCGGATGGGTGAAGACAGTTGATGAGTACTACGTAAGTTCAAGCCGCATATCGTATTTGCTTGTTATCATTCTTGTCACTTACGCTGATTCTGAGATTCTCCTCTACAGCTTGACCAAGTACAATACATCATCGAGACCGTCGTTGATCAGCTCGCAGATAATCCTGACCGTAAATTCATCCAAGTCGAACAGGTGAGCTGTCGCGTCTCTAAGATGCAGTTTTTGCCCTGATTCGCCGTGAAACGAGACATGCATTAACGCGTATGTTTCAACTGATCGTGTGGCAGGGGTTTTTCTTCTTATGGTGGCAGCAGCAGGGTGAGACAATGAGAAATAGAGTCAGGAAGCTTGTCGCTTCTGGTCAACTTGAGTTCATGTGAGTCCACAAGCTATCCAAGGGATGAATTTGGCTAAGCTGAACGTTCATGTCGCCTCAGACGTCACTGCTCATCATGCTTGTGCAAGTCCTCACATCTATGAACCTGTCCTGTAAACTCACACGCCTGACTTTTGTTGTTACATGCCAAATTCCGGCCTCACTTCGTGAGGTGTTGCCTCACATGCACGCGATTCTTCATGTGAGGCCAAAGGTCGAGAATCTGAGACACCACCTGAGCACTTGACGCCAATACGTTTCGGCACATGCGACCGTTTTCTCGCCTTGCCTGCAAGGCCATACACAGGCGCACATTTTCTGCCTGGAATAGGCTCTCACGCACTCATACCCTATCCTGCTCGATTCCCTGCTGTACGGTGTGCTGTGCAGCAATGGTGGGTGGGTGATGCACGATGAGGCGGTGTGCCACTACATGGACATGGTGCACCAGATGTCCATGCTTAGATCAGAAAGACGCGTCCTGCGTCCTGGACGCATGCGCCCAGACGCAGGACGCTGAACCTGGACCTGTAAGACGCACCAAAAGACGCAAGCCCGGGCAGGGCAAAAAACACCCCCGGGCAGGCCAAAAAAAATTGTATAGGGCTTGGGAGAGGGGGGGGGGGGTGTCATACCTCAAAATTTTCCCCAACCACAAAATTTCCCCCCAAAATATGAGATTAAGGTGAGTCACGTGTCACACATTTCACAAGGTCTCACACACATTACGTTTAATCCAACCACTTACGACCATGCATACTACTAAACTACCACTGCACTGCATCAAGTCAACCATCACGCATCCCCATCATCCTCGCTCTCCTTCTCCCCCTCTTCGTCCATCGCTTCCTGGTCCTTGTACTCGTCAACTGCCGGGTCGTCCTCGTCCACCTCCCTCTCCCCGTCCTCCTCCAACTTGTATCCCTTGGGGAGGGGAGGGGTGGGAATGTTACCCTCCACCACCCCCGCCCTCCTCACTTCCCCACTTGGCCCTGCTCCACCAGCTGCGCCCTGGTGGTGGCCGTGCACAACCGGCCAGTTGTGCGCCACGAACACTAGGTCGCGCACCTTCTCCGACCCAAGCCTGTTCCTGCGCGCCGTGTGCACCCCATCCAACACAGACCATCCCCGCTCGCATGGAGAGGCGGAAACGGCCTGTGACACCGCACGGCGCGCAAGGCCTGCCAGTTCAGGGTACTCCCAGCCATTCACCTTCCACCACGCCGCCATGGACAGTCCATGGGCCATCGTTTCATTATCTCCTCTCCCCCCACTCCCGCCTCCCATGCCCTGTGCCTTGTTTGTGTAGCAACGGCGGGTGGGTGATGCACGATGAGGCGGTGTGCCATTACACGGACATGGTGCACCAGATGTCCATGGGCCATCGCTTCATCCAGGAGCACTTCAACATCACTCCACGCGTCGCATGGCAGATTGACCCCTTCGGCCACTCCGCCACCCAGGCTAGCCTCATCACCTCGCAGGTGAGAAAAGTTTTCCGTTTTCTATGGTTGCCCTCTCCTGTTTAAGAAATCCTCGTTTGCAACAGCTCCTTTTGTAGCAACATCAACTTCCAGCCTCTCATAATATTGGTCGGAGCTGTTATTATCTGTACCCTGTTCTCGTCCGTCAGGCGTTTTGCAATCCTGTCTCGTTTACTCCCGTACCGTCTACCCCTGTGTCACGGCCAGGGTGGCTTGGACGCCTTTATCTTTGGCCGAGCGGACTATAAAGACATGGAGAAGCGCAAAGCAGAGCAGAAGATGGAGTTCGTGTGGCGGGCGGGCACAGGTGCTCCCAGGGATACGCAGGTGTTCACTGGGATTCTGTACGATGGATACTACTCGCCGCAGGAGTTCCGCTACCAGCAGACAGACAGCCCAGAGTACCGATTCAGGGTAAGCAGGTTGGTGGAGAGTGGGTGGGGGGAGGCTGGTTCGTGGCCTGAAGCATCATAGTGAGTCAGGCACAAGCTGTGAGCCTGGGACTCTTGAATCAAGGGAAATGCTACTTACAGGAGTTTTGGTACCATGAGTCAGCTTGATAGCACAATGCCCTGGTTTGGAGTTAGTGTTGGGTCGTTGAGAAGTGGTTGACGTTCTAGCATAAATGCGAAAGAACGCATAGGTGAAGCATGCTATGGCGCATAGGTGTGAGTGAGGCGTGAATGGCATGGTAATGTCACGTGCCATCACGTCACTCACTGTGTCCCCTCGTCTCCCGTTCCTCTGTGCCCCCTTACCTCTCACTGTGTGCATCGTCAGGACTGGCCGAACGAGAGAAATCCCAACGTGGAGCAATTTGTGAATTTTTTTGTTCAGGAGACATTGAACAGGGTGAGTCAGCATATGCAAGGTGAGTCATCAAGGAGGCCATGGTGAGCGAGCATATACGGGATTTGTTCCATTTCGGTCAGCTGAATGTCAAATGAGTCAAGCACACCAAAAATGCCGTATGAAGAGTTTCTTCCATGCATGTATGGGGGATCTTTCCACCTTCACCATCCTTCCATTGTCACCCCTCTTCCCCGTCTCGCCGCTCCCTCTCGCTCCACGTGCTCTCTCTCTCCCTCTTCCTCTCCATCTCCCTCTATTTCCCCCTTTAGGCGCGGGCGTTCCGCACGAACCACCTGCTGTTCCCCATGGGCGAGGACTTCTCGTTCAACGAGGCCATCATGTGGTTCAAGAACATGGACAAGCTCATTCATTACGTCAACCTGGTCAGTCGGCGTGGCACGGTGTGGTGTGGTGTGGTGCAGTGTGGTAGGGTATGGTATGTGCGGTATCGCTTCACGTGGTTCAAGAACATGGACAAGCTCATTCACTACGTCAACCTGGTCAGTCGTTGTGGCACGGTGCGGTGTGATGCAATGCGGTAGGGTATGGTATGTATGGCACCATTCATGTGGTTCAAGAACATCGACAAGCTCATTCACTACGTCAACCAGGTCAGCAGTCGACGTGGGGGTGCTGTGGCACGGCATGGTGTGGTATGGTGTGTGAGGTTGACATGCTATGGCATGGTGGTATGGCTTGGTTTGGTAGTTGTATCTGCTATGTGCGTTACGAGGTTCAAGAACATGGACAGGCTCACTACGTCAACTTGGTCAGTCACCCCTCCATCCCTCCACCCCACCACCCATCCACCCCACCACCCATCCACCCCTCCACCCCGCCACCCCTCCACCCATCCACACCTCCACCCCTCCTCAACTCCACCCATCAACCCATCCACCCATCCACCCCTCTACCCCTCCACCCATCCACCCCTCCACCCGTCCACCCATCCACCCGTCCACCCGTCCACCCATCCACCCATCCACCCATCCACCCATCCACACCTCCACCCCTCCACCCATCCAACCCTCCAACCGTCCACCCCTCCACCCATCCACCCCTCCACCCGTCCACCCATCCACCCATCCACCCATCCACCCGTCCACCCGTCCACCCGTCCACCCATCCACCCATCCACCCATCCACACCTCCACCCCTCCACCCCTCCACCCATCCAACCCTCCAACCGTCCACCCCTCCACCCATCCACCCATCCACCCATCCACACCTCCACCCATCCACCCATCCACCCCTCCACCCATCCACACCTCCATCCATCCACCCCTCCACCCATCCACACCTCCACCCCTCCTCAACTCCACCCATCAACCCATCCACCCATCCACCCCTCTACCCCTCCACCCATCCACCCCTCCACCCGTCCACCCATCCACCCGTCCACCCGTCCACCCATCCACCCATCCACCCATCCACCCATCCACACCTCCACCCCTCCACCCATCCAACCCTCCAACCGTCCACCCCTCCACCCATCCACCCCTCCACCCGTCCACCCATCCACCCATCCACCCATCCACCCGTCCACCCGTCCACCCGTCCACCCATCAACCCATCCACCCATCCACCCCTCTACCCCTCCACCCATCCACCCCTCCACCCGTCCACCCATCCACCCATCCACCCGTCCACCCGTCCACCCATCCACCCATCCACCCATCCTCCCATCCACACCTCCACCCCTCCACCCATCCAACCCTCCAACCGTCCACCCCTCCACCCATCCACCCCTCCACCCGTCCACCCATCCACCCATCCACCCATCCACCCGTCCACCCGTCCACCTGTCCACCCATCCACCCATCCACACCTCCACCCCTCCACCCCTCCACCCATCCAACCCTCCAACCGTCCACCCCTCCACCCATCCACCCATCCACCCATCCACCCATCCACACCTCCACCCATCCACCCATCCACCCCTCCACCCATCCACACCTCCACCCATCCAACCCTCCATCCATCCACCCCTCCACCCATCCAAACCTCCACCAATCCACCCATCCACCCATCCACCCCTCCCACCCATCCGCACCTCCACCCATCCACCCATCCACCCCTCCACCCATCCACACCTCCACCCCTCCACCCATCCACCCATCCACCCCTCCACCCCTCCACCCCTCCACCCCTCCACCCATCCACCCCTCCACCCATCCACCCCTCCACCCATCCACCCCTCCACCCATCCACACCTCCACCCATCCACCCATCCACCCATCCACACCTCCACCCATCCACACCTCCACCCATCCACCCATCCACACCAGCACCCCTCCACCCATCCACCCATCCACCCCTCCACCCATCCACACCTCCACCCCTCCACCCTTCCACCCATCCACCCCTCCACCCATCCACCCATCCACCGTTCCACCTCTCCACCCATCCACCCCTCCACCCGTCCACACCTCCACACCTCTACCCATCCACCCATCCACCCATCCACCCATCCACCCATCCACCCCTCCACCCATCCAACCCTCCAACCATCCACCCCTCTACCCATCCACCCATCCACCCATCCACACCTCCACCCCTCCACCCATCCACCCCTCCACCCATACACCCATCCACCCCTCCACCCATCCACACCTCCACCCATCCACCCCTCCACCCATCCACACCTCCACCCATCCACCCATCCACACCTCCGCCCATCCACCCCTCCACCCCTCCACCCACCCATCCACCCCTCCACCCATCCACCCATCCACCCATCCATCCCTCCACCCATCCACACCTCCACCCCTCCACCCCTCCACCCATCCACCCATCCACCGTTCCGCCTCTCCACCCATCCACCCCTCCACCCTTCCACCCCTCCACCCCTCCACACCTCCAACCATCCACCCATCCACCCCTCCACCCCACCACCCCTCCACCCATCCACACCTCCACCCATCCACCCTTCCACCCATCCACCCTTCCACCCCTTCACCCCTCCAAACCTCCATCCCTCCACCCATCCACCCATCCACCCCTCCACACCTCCACCCATCCACCCTTCCACTCATCCACCACTCTATGCCTCCACCCCTCCACCCATCCATCCCTCCACGCATCCACCCCTCCACCCATCCACCCATCCACCTATCCACACCTCCACCCATCCACACCTCCACCCCTCCACCCATCCACCCATCCACCCCTCCACCCATCCACACCTCCACCCATCCACCCCTCCACCCATCCACCCCTCCACCCATCCACACCTCCACCCATCCACCCATCCACCCCTCCACCCATCCACACCTCCACCCCTCCACCCATCCACCCATCCACCCATCCACCTCTCCACCCCACCACCCCTCCACCCATCCACCCCTCCACCCATCCACCCTTCCACCCATCCACCCTTCCACCCCTTCTCCCCTCCAACCCTCCATCCCTCCACCCATCCACCCATCCACCCCTCCACCCCTCCACACCTCCAACCATTCACCCTTCCACCCATCCACCCGTCCACGCCTCTTAGAGGCGCCTCTCTCCTCTGAGTGAGAGGCAGGCGCCTCTCTCCTCTGAGTGAGAAGCAGGCGCCTCTCTCCTCTGAGTAAGAGGCAGGCGCCCCTCTCCTCTGAGTGAGAGGCAGGCGCCCCTCTCCTCTGAGTGAGAGGCAGGCGCCTCTCTCCTCTGAGTGAGAGGCAGGCGCCTCTCTCCTCTGAGTGAGAGGCAGGCGCCTCTCTCCTCTGAGTGAGAGGCAGGCGCCTCTCTCCTCTGAGTGAGAGGCAGGCGCCTCTCTCCTCTGAGTGAGAGGCAGGCGCCTCTCTCCTCCGAGTGAGAGGCAGGCGCCTCTCTCCTCTGAGTGAGAGGCAGGCGCCTCTCTCCTCTGAGTGAGAGGCAGGCGCCTCTCTCCTCTGAGTGAGAGGCAGGCGCCTCTCTCCTCTGAGTGAGAGGCAGGCGCCCCTCCTCTGAGTGGGAGGCAGGCGCCTCTCCTCTGAGTGAGAGGCAGGCGCCTCTCTCCTCTGAGTGAGAGGCAGGCGCCTCTCTCCTTTGAGTGAGAGGCAGGCGCCTCTCCTCTAAGTGGCGCCGCTCCTCTTAGAGGCAGGCGCCTGTCCTCATAGAGGCGCCTCTCTTCTAAGAGCCAGGCACCTCTCCTCTAAGAGGCAGGCGCCTCCACCTTTCCACCACTCCAACCCTCCATCCCACCAGCTTTTGGCATGTTCTGGCATGGCTTGATTGAATCCTCGTTCATGGTTTTGTCAGCTGCTTGTTTGCCTGCCTTACCTACACTGTGCTTGACGATTGTTCTCCAGGATGGCCCCGTCCACACCCTCTACTCCACGCCCTGCAATGCTATGCACGCTCTCACAAACCTCTTGTGCAACGTGTTACGTGTGTTCATTCGCGCCCCCACCCCTGTCAGGATGGCCGGGTCAATGCCCTCTACTCCACACCGTCCCTCTATGTGGACGCTGTTCAAAAGGAGAACAAGACGTGGCCTCTCAAGACCGGTGACATGTTCCCGTGCGTAATGACTACGTGATCTTTCAAAAATATCAGTAATTACGATATCCATATACATGCATTCTGACCTTTCCTGTGTCTCCTCCGATTTATTGCTTCCACCCTTGTTTCTCCCTCCTCCCTCCCCTGCGGTGCCCTGCCAGCACTTGGTTTATTCCATGCTTCTTATTATTCAAGACCCTGCCATTTACTCTTATCTCCTCTTCTCCCTCCCTAACCATAAATTCAGCTATGCTGACGCCCCAAACTTCGTCTGGACGGGGTATTTCGCCAGCCGGGCAAACTTCAAGCGTTTTGCTCGCGCCTGCAGCTCCCTGCTGCTGGTACGCCGTTTTGGCCTTGAATTGACTTGAGCTGACTTGTCTTGACTTGACGTGTCACGAACCAATGTATGGTCCACTTTTTCTTGCCCGTCCTTGTCTCAGCCAAGTCAACTGTCAACCTCCCCCTTGTCTACACCCACCCACCTGTCTGTCGCCTCTCATGCACTCCTGTACTTACACACATGGCCGCTTTCTCTGCACCCCTATCACCCCCCTTTCTCTAGTTTTCTTTACTTCCAATTCACATGGGGGGTTCCCTGTGTCCCTTCCTCTCCCAGCGACTATTCTGTACTTTTCACCCCCCTGCTCCTAACTCGCCCAGGCGACCACAATTCTCGAGGCTGCGGTGGGCAAGACCGCTCTGAGGGACTGGGGGCTGAAGACCCACAGGATGATCGCTACAGACGAGTTTCTGTTTGACAATCACCTGGGAAAGAACCTGAAACCCACCAGCGGGACAGAAGGGGCCGAACGTGGTGGAGCCATGGGAGAGGGTGGGGGAGGAGGGAGTGGAGAAGGGGGAGTGGGAGGGAATGTTGAGAGTGGTGAGTGGGAGGAGTGGGAGAGGGTGGGTGCGGGTGCGAGGAGGAGGAGGGTGGCGTCAACGTTCCCTTTGGAGGAGGCAGTGGCGGTGGCACAGCACCACGATGCCATCACAGGCACGGCCCAGCAGCACGTGAATGACGACTACACAATCCGCCTGCACCGAGCCGCACAGGAGGTGAGGAAAGCGGGGGAGGGTGGGGGTGGAAGCGGTGGGAAGAGTGGTATGGGGGGGTTGGGTGGGGTAGAGCAGCAAGTGAATGTTGCCCTCATGGTCAGACTGCAAGAATCATCTCAAGGGTGGGCGAGGGGAGGGAGGTGAAAGGTGGTTGCAGTTGTGGGGAAGGGTGTCGAGAGTCTAGGCCGTCCACTTATGCCGGATACCATTTCACTCGCTGTCTATGCTTTGGTGTTCACTCCTTTTTGAGTGACCCACCTTTACACCACACCTTTCCCCTGTTTCCATCCCGTTTCTCCCCTCCTTACAATCACTCCAGGCCTCCACTGTAGTGGCAGCTGCTCTTGTTCACCTCATCACCCAAGCAGCCCCCACCACTCTCCCGCCGCGCTCCTCTTCCCCAACGTCCAGCTCAACTCCCCAAGACCCATCTCGAGCCTTCTTCACACCCACTGCTGACCCAACAATGGGGCCCTCAGACTTCCCTCCCTTCAATGACCCCACACTTGATCCTGCTGCTCAGTTACAAGCCCAGCCATGGGATCCTGTAGACCTGAATCAGCCCCAGTCGTTTCCTGAAAAGCCAACCCTCGAAACTGCCAGTCCATTTGATCCGCCTATGCCAGACGGTAGCGAGCCTGACCCGCTGTTCTCTCAACTGCACCCAGAATTGACTCATGGTGATGCAGGCTCGAATGAGGGAGAGCCGCAGCACTCAGTGGATACGCCTTCGTTCTTCCCTTACAACCGCCAAGTGCCCCCTTTGGAAGAGACACTCCAGTCGCAGCAGACAGTGCAATGGACAGATGCGAATCAACAGGAACAACCATCAGGAACCGTTGATGTTCATGCTCCACAAGAGGAGGTTTCGCCTGGGAGAAGGGGGCAAGAGATTGTGCTGAGGGGAAGGGGAACCAGCATAGCGGGAGAGAGTAGCAGAGTGGTGGGTGGGAATGGAGAGTCAGGTGAGGAAGTGGGGGGGAGTGGGATTGGTGCCGGCAGCAGCAGCAGCAACAGGGGAAGGCGGCTTCTGAGGGAGGGAGGGAGTGCGGCCGATGCGCGTCAAGGGAACGAGGGCAGCGAGCAAGCGAGCACAGAGGGTGGTGATCGAAGGAGTGCAAGCGAGGGAGGGGCGACGCACGGCATGCCTGTGCTGGACTTTCAAATGGTATGCAATGCTTTTGTTGTGTTACAGCTTCTACCGAACCATGCAGTTTCCAGGCTTTTCAGTTGTGTGGGCAAGTAGCGGCCTCACTTACTCTTCACTCTGAGAATATGTTGCCCTCACTGTGGTTTCCCATTTGAAGTAGAAATTTCCCATTTCTACTTTCGTTGGCTTAATATTTTTCCATCATTCACACTCTCCATCCCCTTCCACACCCCATCCCATCCCCTGCATTCCTCTTCCATCCCCTTCTACTTACACTTCTCCACTTCTGCTGCAGTGTCCATTGCTCAACCTCTCCTATTGTCCCCCATCTGAAACAAAACTCAGCCCAGACCAAGTCCTGGTATACCGCACCTCCTTTTCTCCTCTTCATGTCGTCCTGTTTCTAACATGCATCTCTCCTCCTGCACCGTTCAGATTCCTTCTCCACACACACTTCGTGTTGTTAATTGAGCCACGCCCCATGCTGCGTTCCCAACCAGGCAACTATGTCGCATTTTAGTCGACTGGAAAGTCAACTCTTAATTCCGCTAACAACGGACTTTCTCGTGCTGAAACCCCAACCAGGTGGTGACTGTGTTCAACCCACTAGGGTGGCCCCGCACAGAGATCGTTCGGTTCCCGGTACGCCCCTCCTACCTCCCTTTGCATCCCTCTTCCATTTTTCTCGGCAATTTTCCACCTCTCTGCATCTTTCTTTATTTCGTAACCCTGCCCCTTCCCAAACACCCCACCCCAATTCCCCACCCGCCCCCCGTTCCCTTCCACTCCCCCCAATCCAACTGCACACCCGGCCCGCATCTCCTACCTTACAGGTGTCCTCGCCATCAGTCCTGGTGACAGACTCGTCCAACTCCCCCATCCCAGCCCAAATCGTCACCGAAACCCTCGTAGACCCCAACACACGCGCCTTCTATGTTGCTGCATACACTGGCCAGTTGCCCCAGGAGCCCCAGCAGTCTCAGCAGCAGCCCCAGCAGCCAGGGCAGCAGGAGGGGCAAATGGACGGGGCCCAGCAGCAGCAGGAGGGGCGGCAAATGTCGGTTGTGTTCCGTGCCGAGGTGCCTCCTCTTGGATACACTACTTTCTTCCTCACTGCCGTGCCACCAGGTATGAGCCAGTGACAGTGACAGTGACTGTGACAGTGAGACTGAGAGTGACAGGGACAGTGACAGTGACAGGGACAGTGACAGTGACAGCGACAGTGACATAATCCACCTTGTATTCCCTTAATCCCCTCCCCTGCGCTGCGCTCTTTCCCTTCCTCACACAGTCATGTCATCCCTGTTCTTTCGCCCGTCATATGCCCCCCACACAGGCACACAAGGAGCAGCCGTCATCAGCACTACAGAGTCTGCAGAAGTCCCTGCCCTCAAAGACCCAACCGGAACCCCCAACAGCGCAAGCACAGCAAATTCTCCAGCTGAAAACATCGTTCTAGGGGGCTTTAAAGCCGACTCATCTTCTGCTGGTGGTGCTGCTGGCAAGGGTACTGGTGCAGGCAAGGAGGGAGAGAGTGCACTGCGAGTGACGTTCTCCAAGGCAGCGTATGGCATGACGCAGATGGAGCTTGTCCGACAGACAGATGGTGAACAAGTGACTGTGGTGAGTGCGAGCTAACTGCTTGGGATGGGATGGGATAGTCCTGGTGCTGGTGCCGAGCCTACTGGTGCAGGAAAGGATGGAGACACTGCTCTGCAAGTGACTTTCTCCTAGGCAGCGTATGGCATGACGCAGATGGAGCTCGTTCGACAGACTGATGGTGAACATGTGACTGTGGTGAGTGGGTGTTCTGCTTGGGGTGGTAGGTAGTGACTTTTGAATCAACTTAAAGCTCCTTCAACAAACAGATGGCAAACAGACAGCGAATCGACATCCCCACTCCTGCAATAACCCTCTCACTCCCTGTTCCACCCACTTCTTGCCTTCGCTCTGCCTTACCCTTTTGCGAAAAAAAACCTCTCTGTTGCTTCCTTGCTGCTCTGGCAGGATGTGGTGAAGCCTGTCAGGTCGGACGTCCTGGAGTATGTCACACAAAAGGTACACAGCGGCGGAGAATGTCATGCAGAAGGTACACAGCGGTGGAGTATGTCACACAAAAGGTGCACAGCGGTGGAGAATGTCACGCAGAAGGTACACATCGGTGCAGTATATTATGCGCAAGGTACACGGTGGTGGGATATGTCACACAAAAGGTACTTAGTGGTGGAGAATGTTACACACAAGGTACAGAGTGGTGGAGTATGTCACGCGCAAGGTGCGTAGTGGATTATGTCACAACACAAGCAAGGTATCTGCTGAATCCCCTAGACTTGTGCCTGTCCCTTTCTCCACCACTTGCCATCTCCCCTCCCACCCGTTTTTCCACCCCACTTTCTTGAATCTCCCTCTCACTTCCTGCTTCCTCCCCTCCCTCCCAATCCCCTTTTACCTCTCCTGGAAACCCTCTCAACCCCCCTCTAAACACCCACCCATGCGCCCCTCCCCTCTCCTTGCATATCCCCCCTCCTGCCCTCTTGCCTCCCCCCTACCCTCCCCCCCCTCCGCCTTCCAGGGTGGAGCCTACATCTTTGACCCCACTACTGAAGCAGCCAACCCGACTCAGAGAGACGACCGGGTGAGTGGAATCAGGATCTGTCTGCGCTACTGTGGACGCCTCGGTGTCCACGCTAGCTCAAGCCTGACAGCCAGGTCCTGACGAAGTAAGCGTCCACGTCAGCTCAGCACGACCAGGGTTTGTCAGTTCGATAATTGTCAAACATCGTGGGGCGTTTGTAGAATCATGGATGAGGCTACAAGTATTTGCACTTGACTCAAATGCACAGTGTTTTGTCCTTCTGGTATCTCATGGACTCTCCATGGGATGGAATGGAAGGAAAGCAAGTGTTTGTCACTCACACTTCTGTTTGTGCACTTACACAAACACAATCCTCATGGAACCTCATGCATTCTCTTGGCCATGCTGACGTGTCCAGGTGTCCATCCGCGTTCAACGTGGACCAATCGTGGAAGAGTTCTCTCGACAAGTTGCCCCATGGATTTCAGAGGTACGCCCCTCTGCAGCTCCTTCCGTTTCCTATTTCTCCAGTGCTCTCTCTGCATTCACTTTTCTGCTCCCACTCTCCCCTGCCTCCCGCTTTCCGCCCTCCCCCTTCCCCCCACCCCTCGACTGCTGCATGCATTTCTTTGCAGACCTTCCGGGTGTACCCAGGTTGTGACTATGCCGAACTGCACTATGTGGTAAGTGTCCTTCTCTTCCCTCCCAGACCTAATCATGCTCTTTGACCTGAAAGGTACCCACGCTCGTTGTCAAACCACCTTGCTCGCTCGATGAAGATTCCTATTGGTCGCGCTTTGCATGCCTGTGCAAGTGTCTGTGCTCTCAGTGCTTACGCATGATGGAGTGCTGAAAACACTCCTGTAACGAACACCTTTGAGGCGTTTTGAAAAGTTGCTCAAGCATTCCTTTTAAAGCATCTCCCTGCACCCCACATCACTCCCTTCTTGTGTGCTGCTGTTCATACCCTATTGTGTCTCCACACTCTCTCGCTCCCAAACCACACTCCACAGATCCGGCCTACCCCTTACGATAGCAAGGGTCACGAAGTGGTGACCTGCTTTGTGTGTTTTGATTGGACTCAGAACATATTTCCATTCCCTCCCTCCCCAACCACACCCCACAGATCGGGCCAACCCCCGAAGACAGCAAGGGTCACGAGGTTGTGACTCGCTTTTCAGCCCCCATCAACAGCAACAAGACATTTTTCACTGACTCTAATGGCAGGCGGTACCTCAAACGGGTGAGCTCATAAGCAGGGGCAAGCAGCTTAAAACGAATACTTGCATTCTCAGTGCAGCCACTATCACCAACAACCAACAGTACTTAAAGTGAAACGAGTGAATGCTGTTTGCTGCTTGGTGAGAGCTGCCTGATTGCTCTTTCGCTCCCCTTTCCACCTTATCTGTTTCTTATTTCCACCCATCCATTGTCCCCTCCCCTCTGCCTTCCCACCTTCGCACACTTCTCTTTCCAGATTCTTGTTCTCCCAACCCTCCCTTCGTTTTCCATACTCCCTGTCTCCCCACACCATCCTCCCTGCCCTGTCACCCCCCTCAATCCCATGCCCTCTCCCCCCTCAATCCCATGCCCTCTCCCCCCTCAATCCCATGCCCTCTCCCCCCTCAATCCCATGCCCTCTCCCCCCTCAATCCCATGCCCTCTCCCCCCTCAATCCCATGCCCTCTCCCCCCTCAATCCCATGCCCTCTCCCCCCTCAATCCCATGCCCTCTCCCCCCTCAATCCCATGCCCTCTCCCCCCTCAATCCCATGCCCTCTCCCCCCTCAATCCCATGCCCTCTCCCCCCTCAATCCCATTGCGCCTCTCCCCCCTCAATCCCATGCCCTCTCCCCCCTCAATCCCATGCCCTCTCCCCCCTCAATCCCATGCCCTCTCCCCCCTCAATCCCATGCCCTCTCCCCCCTCAATCCCATGCCCTCTCCCCCCTCAATCCCATGCCCTCTCCCCCCTCAATCCCATCGCGCCTCTCTCTCCACCACAGATCGTAGACCATCGCGCTGATTGGGAGCTTACCCTCACCGATCCCATCGCAGGCAATTTCTATCCGGTCAGTGCACTCCAGCCAATCCTTACTGTCAGTTCAGTTCAACCAATCCTTACTGTCAGTCCAGTTCAACCAATCCTTACTGTCAGTCCAGTTCAACCAATCCTTACTGTCAGTCCAGTTCAACCAATCCTTACTGTCAGTCCAGTTCAACCAATCCTTACTGTCAGTCCAGTTCAACCAATCCTTACTGTCAGTCCAGTTCAACCAATCCTTACTGTCAGTCCAGTTCAACCAATCCTTACTGTCAGTCCAGTTCAACCAATCATTACTGTCAATCCAGTTCAACCAATTCTTAGTCCAATCAGCCAGTTGAGTTGAACCAAGGGTGATGGTGGGTGCACTCATAAGGGTGTTTGATGCGCCTTAACTAAGCTTCCCTGCATCCATGCTCCCTATCCTCCCCCAAGTGACGCTGGGGGCGTTTATTGACGATTTTGAGAAACCTGAAGGAGCCTCCCTGCTTCCTCATTCCTCTCTCCCTCCTGCAGGTGACGGTGGGCGCGTTCATCGGGGATGGCGAGTCACAGCTGTCACTGCTGGTGGACCGAGCAGCCGGTGCTGCCAGCCTGGCAGCCGGACAGCTCGAAGTCATGCTGCACCGGTGAGTGCTCTGTACCAGAGGCGTTGTTTCAGCTTGGGCCATGCTGCACCAATGAGCCTAAGAAGAATCTTAGAATGATAATCTTGACATGCTAAGAAGAATCTTGTTGTAAGGGTATAATACGAACCTTGACATGTCTGGGCACACTCAGTCACTATGATGTTCCATACGAATTTTACCCAAACCTGTGATGTCAAACCTCTGCGTGTGCAAATGCAGGGCACTGGTGACGGTGGACATGAAGGGAGTGGGGGAGATTCTCAATGAGGCAATGAAATTCACATTTGTTTGTACTTTCACACCTCTGTGCGTGTGAATGCAGGGCACTGGTGACAGTGGACATGAAGGGAGTGGGGGAGATTCTCAATGAGGCAATGAAATTCACATTTGTTTGTACTTTCACACCTCTGTGCGTGTGAATGCAGGGCACTGGTGACGGTGGACATGAAGGGAGTGGGGGAGATTCTCAATGAGGCAATGAAATTCACATTTGTTTGTACTTTCACACCTCTGTGCGTGTGAATGCAGGGCACTGGTGACAGTGGACATGAAGGGAGTGGGGGAGATTCTCAACGAGCAAATCGCATTCAATGGCAACAATGAACGCCTCATGGTATGCGCATATGTGTACTATACATGGCATGGCGCAAAAGAGCATGCGACTTCTGAGTCCATTCAAAAGTCACCTCATGGTATGCGCATATGTGTACGTACTATGCATGGCATGGCGCAAAAGAGCATGCGACTTCTGAGTCCATTCAAAAGTCACCTCATGGTATGCGCATATGTGTACTATGCATGGCATGGTGCAAAAGAGCATGCGACTTCTGAGTCCATTCAAAAGTCACCTCATGGTATGCGCATAGGTGTACTATGCATGGCATACCTCAGGACAATGCCCTCGGAAAACAAGCTACATCCAAGAAATGTGGTCAGAGAAAGCGGCCGCCAATGCAAGCAAGCGGGGTTCAGTGCCTGCCAGGCTGCCAGTCGAGTGTGCAAGTGCTACTATTTCCGTCCTTCCTTCTTGATCCCCTTTTCTTCCCCACCCTTCCTCTCCAGGTCATAGGCTCCATCCGCTTTGGCTTGCACCCAGGGGGCAGCACAGGGGTGGCAGATGAGGAGCACGATGAGGAGCAACCTACAGCAACCACTTCTGCCGTTGCCCCTGCTGATGCTGACACGGCCACTGCAACCCCCCATGGAAGGCGAGGGGCTGAGACGGACGGAGGAGGGGGCAAAGAGGAGGCGAATCAGGGTTTCTCAGAGATGGGCCGGCCTCGGGAAAGGCGTGGCGGGGAGAGGCAGGAGGGAGAGGGTGGGGGGAAGGGGCAGGGGGCGGAGTGGAGGAGGGTGCACGCCCAGCGCCTTATTGCCCCTCTGCAGCTGGCGTTTGCTGTTGAGGTGCGAGCATGGTTCTTGTTTGTCTGCCATGTTTGCCCTTAGCGTCTGCGCATGCTTTTTGTCTGTGCAACGAGTTTGTCTGTGCAACGAGTTTGTCTGTGCAACGAGTTTGTCTGTTGACGTTCATTCGTGCCTTTTTTTCCTGCCAAGTCAACCCTATTTCATCTGTTGCAGCAATTTACGAGATCTTGCCAGTTTCCTCCTCTTGATTCCTTCACCCTGTAATCCCTCCTCTTGAACCCCTGCAAGCAACCATATCCCTGTCACAGCTGTCCATCCTTATCAGCCCACGGCATCCCACTGCCTCCCTGTCAGATCAGTTGCTTCTTTGGGAAAATCCAATATCCAACTCACCCTGTCAACCCACCACACCCACTAACCCTTGTTCCCCCACAGACAAAGGAGGCCATAAGAGCAGCGGAGGCAACCCACAGGTGGCGTTACTCCATCTCGCAGGGAGAACGTGCCAGCAATTCTCGCACACCCAAGTCTGCTTACTCCCTGCCACCCAACGTTGCTGTCATCTCCTTCCAGGTCAGCTTGAACCCCCCCCCCCCCCCCCCCCCCCCCCCGCCCCCTAGCTCCTTCCAGGTCAGATGGAGCCCCCATATCTCCTCGCAGTTCAGATTGAACCCCTTAGCTTGCAAATCTTGCTTTATCGAGACAGCTCGACCCTCCTGGCAGCCCCTCATTTCCATCCCGTCTCAATCCTGTTCCATGGCACAGTGTTGTGAGACGAGGACGTACTGTGTTTGTGCTAATGTATTCGTTGTTGAACACTTTTGAGACGCCTCAAAAGTTGTTCCATGGCACGGTGTTGTGAGACGAGGACGTACCGTCTTTGTGCTAATGTATTCGTTGTTGAACACTTTTGAGACGCCTCAAAAGTTGTTCCATGGCACGGTGTTGTGAGACGAGGACGTACCGTCTTTGTGCTAATGTATTCCTTGTTGAACACTTTTGAGACGCCTCAAAAGTTGTTCCATGGCACGGTGTTGTGAGACGAGGACGTACCGTCTTTGTGCTAATGTATTCCTTGTTGAACACTTTTGAGACGCCTCAAAAGTTGTTCCATGGCACGGTGTTGTGAGACGAGGACGTACCGTCTTTGTGCTACTGTATTCCTTGTTGAACACTTTTGAGACGCCTCAAAAGTTGTTCCATGGCACGGTGTTGTGAGACGAGGACGTACCGTCTTTGTGCTAATGTATTCCTTGTTGAACACTTTTGAGACGCCTCAAAAGTTGTTCCATGGCACGGTGTTGTGAGACGAGGACGTACCGTCTTTGTGCTAATGTATTCCTTGTTGAACACTTTTGAGACGCCTCAAAAGTTGTTCCATGGCACGGTGTTGTGAGACGAGGACGTACCGTCTTTGTGCTAATGTATTCCTTGTTGAACACTTCTGAGACGCCTCATAAGTTGTTCCATGGCACGGTGTTGTGAGACGAGGACGTACCGTCTTTGTGCTAATGTATTCCTAGCTGATCACAACCACGCCGGCTTGGTCCAATGTGGCGGCGCCTCATTGCCTGTTGCTTCCCCTGCACTCTTTCTCATGCAGGAACTGTCCCCAAGGAACATTGTGCTGCGACTGGCGCATCTGTACGAGGTATGGCAAGCTTGAGAACAGTGTGCGCACGGATCATTGTGCCGCTCCCCATGACACCATACACCGTACCTGGCATCACTTTCAGAGCTTTCTACTCCCCACTTTCTCTGTAAAGATGCCTCAATCACTTCGTTGTGTTGCCCTAGAGCACCTCTAGAACATATATTGTTCAGGCCCTCGCTTGTGTTTCGAGGCAACTCCCCTCTTTCCACCATCACCACCATCCCCGTAGGCTGACGAGCATCCAACACAATCCAGAATCGAGCGCGTTGACTTAAGGCAACTCCTTTCGTCACAAAAGGTAATGCATCATATCCTATTGTACATTACCCATACACAATCATTTGTGCTGTCTTAATGATGCCCCCAGCTGCTGGTGCACGCCTGTTTTTGTCCCCCCGTTTGTTCACATTAGCTTCTGTGTGCTCTGATTGGTGCAGATACAAGGAGTGACAGAGTTGAGTCTAATGGCTAATCAGAAACGATCGGATATGCGCCGTCCGATGACATGGCATGTCGATGGCGATTCAAGCCGTTCTAAGGAGCATTCACCCCAGGGCGGGCCTGTGGACCCATCTTCCCTTACAGTGGAATTAGCCCCAGGGGAAATCCGCACTTTCGCAGTGCAGCTTCTCACTCAATAAGTTCAAGAATGGGTTGGTTGTGCTGTGTTGGTTTTCCTAGGACTTGCCATGTTTGATGGATTCACTTATTTATTTTTACTTGCAGGGAAATTGAAATGTGTGGCGAACGTGCTACACCGTCCACAAACGCGTCTGCTTGTACTGGTCCATAATGCTCACTGCTTGGCAAAATGTACGCCTCACTTGCGCTGGCGCTCCATTCTGAAACACTCACAACTCAACCCCGCAGCTAGACCATCGGCACAGAAGAACCGGTAGATCAGCACGATCTTTTACAAGGCTCCTAGGCGCCATAAGCGCCATAAGCGCGTTACTCCTCCATGGAGCAAAAGCAGCCACCGCAATGCGCGCTAGACGCGGCTCTGAAGCGATCCGAGGCTGTAGACGACAGCACGCCACGTGTCCGCGGGCACACCTTCCACGAAGCTTCTGTTCTCCCCGCGCGCGAATTTCCCCGCCGCGATCAGCCGCGAGAGGGTAGCGGAATCGAAACCCCCTGTAGCGCGGATGGCGATACTCGAGATAGCTATGCAGTCACGACTGCTACAGCAGAACAAACAGGGCGAGGGGAAGCTTGTAGGGCCGTACCAGCAGCAGTGGGAGTAGGAGGGGCGGGATCGGTGACGGTGGATTACTCGCTGCTGATGAAGCGAATGGTGACGACGGGGTTCCAAGCCACGTGTCTGGGACAGGCGATTAATGAAGTCAACCGAATGGTGCGATCTCGTTCCTCGCGTCTGATGTTCCCCCACGGCCGTCCCTGTGCCTGCTCGTCCCGCGTTAAGCTCCTGTCATTCCGTTCTTTCGTAGTCCCTGAACCCCCATTCCCCATCCCTTTTCCCCCACCTTGACTTTTCCATGTCAAACCCCAAAACCCTGGATCCGTTTTTTTCCAATCTCGTGGCGGCTGCGCGAAGATCATCCGCCCAATACCGAAGTCATAGGGGAGTGGAGGATTCCTGCCTTTGCTACCTCTCCGCCCTACCTCTAAACCTTCAACCCTCAAAACCCCCCTCCCCTCCCCAGCTCGCGTGGCGGCTGAGCGAGCCCAAGGCCGACGACACGGAGGGGGAGAGGGACCCGGCTGCTACCTCTCCGTCCTTCCTTCAACCCTCAGCTGAAACCTTAAACCCGAACCCTGAACCCCCCCCCTCCCCTTCCCAGCTTGCATGGCGGCTGAGCGACGACCCACCCAAGCCGGACGACACGGAGGAGGAGCGGGACCCAGCCTTCCGGTCGTCCCTTCTTACCTCATACCCATCACTCACCCCCTTCCTCCTTTCCCTCCCCTCCCCAGCTTGCATGGCGGCTGAGCGACGACCCACCCAAGCCGGACGATACAGAAGAGGAGAGGGACCCAGCCTTCCGGTCGTCGGTGCGGTGCAAGATCTTTTTGGGATTCACCTCCAACCTCATGAGCTCGGGGCTCCGAGAAACGTTCTGCTTCCTGGCAAAGCACAAACTGGTGGGTCACTGCCTCGTGTGAGTTAGTCAGGGGGTTGTATCACTCAAGTATACCGGGACTCCCGGCCTTCCGGTCGTCGGTGCGGTGCAAGATCTTCCTGGGCTTCACATCCAATCCAACCTCATGAGCTCCTGTCTCTCGGGCTAATGCTCCGAGAGACCTTCTGCTTCCTGGCAAAGCACAAACTGGTAAGCACATCTGTTTAATCCCCTCATTTCTTTCCTTCAATCAATCCTTCTTTCTTTCCTCCTCCATCCCCCACTCCCGTTCGTGTAACGGCCCCTACGCTCAGTCATGCTCTTATTCTTGTTGTACCTTTACATGGTCTTGCTTGCTGCGCTTCTCTCATAGTCAAACCCCTCATTTATGTTTTTTCCCTTACACTCTCTCATCTAACCACGCACCCATCCAGGTGGATGTGATAGTGACAACAGCGGGGGGCATAGAAGAGGACGTGATAAAGTGCCTGGCGCCCACGCTCCTGGGTGACTTCTCCCTGGCGGGGAAGGACCTGCGGGCCAAGGGGCTGAACCGCATCGGCAACCTGCTCGTGCCGAACAACAACTACTGCCTCTTTGAGGACTGGGTCCTGCCCGTGCTGGATGCTTGTCTTGAGGAGCAGAAAACGCAGGTGAGGGGGGGGCGAGGTGAGCGAGAGAGGGAGAGAGAGAGGGAGTGGGAGGTGGTGTCTTGGCAGGACGGTCAACCTGCTCATACTGAACAACAACTACTGCCTCTTTGAAGACTGGGTCCTGCCCGTGCTGGATGCTTGTCTCGAGGAGCAGCAGACGCAGGTGAGGTGAGGGGAAAATGACAGGGGGGGGGAAGAGGAAAGAGGGGAGAAGAGGGGGAGGGAAAAGGAGAGGGAGAGGGAGAAATAAGAGGTGAGAGCTAAGGGGGTAAGGGGGAGAAAAACGAAGGGAGCACCCTTTTCTCCGCATTGCTGCTTGCCGTTTGCCTTTCAGTCAGTTATCATCTGTGTTCGTTCCACATTCACTGCCCTTCCTCCTCTCGTCCCTCATGTGCTCACACACACCACATCAAGCAGGGGACTCTTTATGTCGGATAAGCGGTGTGACATGTGAGTCTAACCGCACGTTCACTGTCCTTGACCTTACCCCTGCCCATGTGTGCCGTGCCGGTCTCAAGCAGGGCGTGGTGTGGACGCCCTCCAAGCTCATCGACCGCCTGGGGAAGGAAATCAACCATGAGGAGTCGGTTCTCTACTGGGCCCATAAGGTCAGCCTTCCCCCGCCTCTAGGTGCGCCTCTTCTCCATCACACTGTCAGCAGTTCAACCCTTGATTAAAAAATAGGAAAATAACAGAAAAGCATATCCTGTGCATCTTTGCGTTTGTGCGCCACCACCCCCCCTGTAATGTCAGAACGGCATCTCAGTGTTCTGTCCAGCCATCACGGACGGGTCCCTGGGTGACATGATCTACTTCCACTCCTTCCGCTCGCCCGGGCTCCTCATTGACCTCGTGCAAGGTGCGTTGACCTGCGTTGACTAGGTTGACTTGGTGCAACGCCCACATGATGCGCAACGGGGCTGGCAACCTCCTTCCCTGACACATCTCCTCACTCAACCCCTCACCATCCCTTTAGGCACCCTCCTTACTCGCAACCTTCCTTATTCACCCTCTTCCCTGAACGCCCCATGGTTCCCCCCATACATTCAGCGGATGAACGGCGAGGCAGTGAACGCCACCCCGCGGCACACGGGAGTGATCATTCTGGGAGGGGGGCTGCCGAAGCACCACATCTGCAACGCCAACATGATGCGCAACGGGGCTGACCTCCCACCACTTGACACCCCCCCTCACCCTTGCCCCTGACACACCCCCTGGCAGCGAATGAACAGTGTTTCCCCCCACCCCAACAACAATTCCACCCCTGCGGCTCCCCTCCTCCTCCTCCTCCTCTCTTCCCCCTCTTCCCCACCTCCCCTCTTCCCCCCAGACATCCGGCGGATGAACGGTGAGGCAGTGAACGCCACCCCGCGGCGAACGGGCGTGATCATTCTGGGAGGGGGGCTGCCGAAGCACCACATCTGCAACGCCAACATGATGCGCAACGGGGCGGACTACGCGGTCTACATCAACACGGCGAGCGAGTTCGATGGCAGCGACTCGGGGGCCAGGCCTGACGAGGCTGTGAGCTGGGGGAAGATCAGAGGAGATGCGAGTGCAGTTAAGGTGAGAAGAGTCCCTTTTGAGAGTCCTCTGAAGCGAGCACATGTGGCGAGGGAAGAGAAGGTACTGGGAGGGTTATTGGATGATGCGCAACGGGGAGGATTATGTGGCTATTCGGAGTTTGATGGGAGCGACTCGGGGGCCAGGCCGGACGAGGCTGTGAGCTGGGGGATGATCCGAGAAGATGCCACCGCTGTGAAGTTGAGAGGGAGAGAGAGAAATCTCCTTTAAGCTGGCTCAATGTCGCCTTGTGAAAGTGTGAGAGTGTGAGCAGACACACATGCTGTGGGGAGAGAAGGCACGGGGAGCAGGTGGCGTATGTGATGGCACTGTAGGGGTAGTGAGAGAGCACATGTAGTGTCGTAATTCCAAGTCAAGCATCGCCTCTGCCATTCTTCCTATCTCATTCGCCCATCTCTGCAGTAAAAGCCTATAATCTGATGGCTTCATTTCACCTGCCTGCAGGTGCATAATGATTTCTCCATCACCTTCCCTCTGCTTTTGAGTTGACTAAGAATTCCCATGTGATTTCACCCATCCCCTCTGCCCTTTCACCCATCTCCTCCATCCTCCATTTTCCCCTTGGCCACCTGCAGGTGTATTGCGATGCCACCATTGCCTTCCCCCTGCTTGTAGCCGAGACGTTTGCCCCCCACTTACAGGAGCGAGTGCAGCAGCAGGAGCAAGCAAAGCAGGAGGTGCAAGCAAAGGAGTAGCAGTAGTGACAGACAGCAGGCAGAGTATGAGGACACTCAGGAGGAGAGCATGACAGGCATGACCACCGGACTGATATCATGCGCATACGTGATTGCGCTCAGGTGGTTGTGTTTAGCTGTTACTCTGTAACCCAGTAGGGTTTGTGTTGTTACAAATGTTTGACAATACACAAGTTTTTTTGCAGGGCTGAAAGGAGAGCACAAGCAGAGACTACGGTGATATTCTTTCAGATGCTACACTCAAATCACGGCCACTATTCAATACAAAATCCAGGAAGGGCTAATGCAGTGGAGCGGGCACATGTATGCCATACCACCCCACCCCATGCCATACAAGGCAAGAAAAATGAGCATTTACCACCACAAGCACTTGGGGAGAACTACTGGGTCTGCTGCTCCCTTCGAACCCTGAGGGGGAGTGATCGGTACTGTATAATGAAATATACGGTATACAGTAGCGCACAAAGCAGGCGACCAGCAGAAGAGGACAGGTGGTTGGAAGTGCTGTATGGGAAGCCTCAATGCCCAGCAGAAGTGACGTACCGGCATGATCCCTGAACACTCTTTATTTCTTTTGAGGCGACAAAAAATGGAACTGTAACAAGGGGAGCCACAATGCTGCAAAGGCTGTAACAAGTGATCATGAGGTGAAGGCTGCAAAGGCTGTAACAGGTGATCATGAGGTGAGGGCTGCCAAGGCTGTAACAAGTGATCATTAGGTGAAGGCTGCAAAGGCTGTAACAAGTGATCATGAGGTGAAGGCTGCAAAGGCTGTAACAAGTGATCATGAGGTGAAGGCTGCAAAGGCTGTAACAAGTGATCATGAGGTGAAGGCTGCAAAGGCTGTAACAAGTGATCATGAGGTGAAGGCTGCAAAGGCTGTAACAAGTGATCATGAGGTGAAGGCTGCAAAGGCTGTAACAAGTGATCATGAGGTGAAGGCTGCAAAGGCTCACAAGGCACCTCAATCGGAGGAGCTGAGAGCCTATATATCCATGGGCTCACACGCTGAACCTGGCGGCTCATCACTAGCGGAACCACCTGTAGTATTGGCAACAGCGGGAGGAGCGGCCGGTGCATCAGTGGCAGCAGTTGCAGCACAGGTGGGAGGGCTCCCCCCACTCTGACCGTGTGAAGCGGGCAGGTTGGAGAACGGCAGCCCTGCTGAAGCTGCCAGGGACGCTTGGAAGCTGAGAGCGTCTATTATCGCACTGGCGTCTTGTAACGAGGATGGGTTCATCTGCTGTAGTAGCTGCTCTAGGGAAGCTTCTAGTCCTGGTAGGGTTGCTGCTGCCGCTGCTGCTAGTGTGGGTGCTGCTGCTGCTGCTGGTGCTGCTGCTGCTGCTTCTGGTGCTGCTGCCCCTTCGTTAGAGCCCCACTGCTGTACAGTCACACCTGGGGTTGCACCTGCTGTCGCCTCGGCCCCTATCCTTGCACCTAACTCTGCTGCTGTCCCAACTCCAGCTGCTCCCGCGATAGAGCCCCATGGCTGTATAATCACGCCTGGGCTCGCTCCGAGCCCTCCGAACCCATTTCCCGTTCCGCCCCCCCCTGCAAACGAGCCCCACTGCATTACAGTCACACCTGGGCTTGCTGCTACCCCTGGGCGCATCCCTCCCATATAGCCCCACTGCTGCATAGTCACACTTGGACTGGCTGCTATTCCTGAGCCCATCCCTCCTACAGTACCCCATTGCTGCATAGTCACACCTGGGCTGGGTCCTGTTCCCAAGCCCATCCCCCCTATAGTACCCCACGGCTGTATAGTCACACCTGGGCTGGGTCCTATCCCTGAGCCTAGTCCCCCCATAGAGCCCCACTGCTGCATAATCACACCTGGGCTATCACCTGAAAACCACCCTGCTATAAGGTCAGACATGGAGGGATAAGTGATCTCAGGTGCTGCAGAGGTTATCAGGCTCGGACGGGTACTTTCGAGGTTTGGAGGGCCGTTCAAGAGGCTCGGCAGCACGTCTGGAAGGTTCGGGACGGATGGGTTTGACTGGGTGGCAACAGGTTGGGGCGGAAGATTGGAGAGAATCCATTGAGAGGCAAGCTGACCAAACGGACTCGGGCCGAAACCCGAAGCAGGGAGAGTGGAAGCAGCCTCGGCAGAAGCAGCCTCGGCAGAAGCAGCCGTGGCAGACACAGGCGGAGGTGGGTGTACAGGGGAGAGGGCTGCACTGATGGTGTTGGGCGTTGCACCCGTGCTTGCAGGCGCTGTGACAGCAGCAACAGCAGCAGGAGAAACTGGCGGTGGAGTGGAGGCTGCTGCTGCATCAGCACCACTGCTGGCTCTGCCACTGGCTGCAGTGTCCAAGTCATAGTCACCCGAATCCATTGGTGCGTTCGTGGGCTCATGATAATGAGACGCACTAGGCTCGGAATGAACAAGCTGTGCACTGGGATACTCTGGCTGGGTGGGGTTGTGGACGTGCGAGTAGGGGTGGGAGGGAATGGTGGTGGTGCTGCTGCGGGTGATGGTTAGGCTTGATCGCACACCCATGTACTCATACACCTCCTTGTGCTCTTGCACCTCCTCCTCCCTGTCCTCCTCCTGGTGCTCTTGCAACTCTTTTCGAGGCGCCTCACAAGTGAGGCTTGATCGCACACCCATGTATTCATACACCTCCTCGTGCTCTTGCAACTCCTCCCCTTCCCCGTCCTCCTCATGTCCCTCCTCCTCCTCCTCCTCCTCATGTTCCTCCCTTCCCTCATTTTCCTCCTCTGCATCTTCCAGCTGCTGCTCTACCAACTGCTGCTGTTGCTGCTGCACATGAGTATAATCGTTATTCTGCTGCCCATGCCTGTTATGCTGCTCGTAATCCTGCTGTTGCCCTTGCCGACCCATCCGCTCGTCCTCCCTAAGAGATGCAGTGTGTGCAGCACCAGTAGCTGCACCAGTAGCTGCACCAGTCGCAGCACCATTGAACTCCATGCTGCCTCCTGCTTGTGGAATGGACTCAGAAGTCGCAGCACCAGCATCCTCCTCCTCTCTGCACGCTGCAGCATCCCCACCATCAGCCTTCCCACCATCTTCCTTCCCACCATCTCTCAACTCACTAGCTCTGGCCTCACTGCCAGTAGCGTGTCTCTCTCTCATATCGGCTTGACTCGCAATGCCTTCAGTCACGCTGGCAAGATGCTGCCCCCCTCGTCTTCCACTCCACTCCTGGACGAACTTCCCCGACCACACACTATCCATTCCCTCTCCCCCACTCGACCCCTCTAAAGGATTCACCTGAGTCCCGACATCCCTCCTCTCAAACACCATATCCTCCATTCCTGAGGCTGCTTCACCTTCGGTCGAATCAGCCGCAAACTGTCCCGAGCCTGACGCCGAGCCTTGGCTCCCGAAGCTAGAGCTCCGGAGGGCAGGGGAGAGGCGCGGGCGGTCCGGAGGAGGGAGCCGGGCTGACTGGCTGTGTTTCAGAATTCGCTTAGCAGGACTGGCTGGGTTGGCTGCGCCGGCCTGGTATACAGGTGGATCTATTGCTGCTGGCGACCTTTGAGACGTCTCAAAACTGGCTGGGTTGGCTGGGCTAGCCTGGTATCCAGGTGAATCTATTGCTGCTGGCGCAGCTAGTGCTGGCGCTGCTGGTGCTGCTGCCGTTCCCAGTTCTGGTGCTGCCACTGCTGCTACACCTGGCTCTCCATAAGAAGCAGCACGCGATGGTGCTTCACTTGCTCCCAGCACTGCGCCACCACCTTCCACCGTCACATCGAGTCTCGGCCGATCCAGACCTGCAGCTGCAGCCGCTGCTGCTGCTTCCACTGCGGGCCTGTCCACGCCTGCTACAATTGGTTTGACCAGACCTGCACTCGATTTCTGTGCCTCAGCACCCGATGGAAGCGCTGCTGCTTGAGGCTCCTGAGGCGCTTTAAATACTGGCGCCGTTTTCTGTGGCTCACGTGGTAGTGGCGACTTCAAACCCCAAGGCCGGGCAGCAGCAGCACGGGGAGACGGAGACAGTACCGCATCTCTTTTCTGCGATTCACCTGGCAGAGGGGATTTCATCCCCCAAGGCCGGGCCGCCACGCCAGGAGATGGGCTGGGGTGTGGAGACACGGCGAGCACAAGGGGATTTGAAGACAGGGGGGCGGTGTTGCCGCGGGTGGGGAAGGGAGCAGACGTGGAGAGGGGGTGAGGGGAAGAGTGGGCGGAGGGAGGAGGGGGGAAGGAGCCACCACCGTCGAGGAGGGAGAGATCGCCGACGAGCTGGATTGTGCCGTCTATGACGGCTATAGGCGCGCCTGGTAGGGGTCCCGCCATGCTCCGCTTGAGCATGGGACGGGTGCGCATGGGTCGTGGCGGCGGGCGGTCTTGGTTGTCCTTTTGTTGGACTTCTTCCCCCTGCTTCTGCTGCTGGTGTGGCAGCTGCTGCTGCTGCTGCTGTTGTTCACATTGCTGCTGCGGCTGCTGCCAGTGGGGCTGTTGCTGTGACAGCTGCAGTTGTGGTGGCTGCTGGCTCTGCTGGTTCTGCTCCCTTTGATGCTGTGGGCTGGGACTAGGGGTGCTGGGATCAACGCTTGTGATCGGCCGCTTCTTCGAGATCAACGGTCCAGATTGTCCACTGCTCAAGCTGCTCCTTTCCGACCAGCTGCCGAGCCTCCCGGTATTCCACCGCCGAACCACCTGTAGCTGCTCCGGGCGAGGGGACCGCCTATCCAAACCAGTTTCCGAACCAAGCCTGCCACCACCATCACTGCAGCTTCGGCGAACAACAGGATTCCTATCCCCCTGCCTGTCCCCACTGTCTTCTCTACCACCCCCCTCCTTGCCCCTTCCTTGCTCCCCCACTCCTTGCTTTTGAGGCGCCTCAAAAGTCGTCTCTTGCTCCTCGTCCCCTCCGTGCCCACCCTCCTTGAGTGTACCATCAACATCCATTCCTGTTGCTGCTGATTCCCCTTGCTCCTCCCGTTGGCCCTGCTGCTGCTGCTCCTGCTGCTGCTGGTTCTCCTGATGCAGGTTCTCTTGCTGTCGGTTCTCCCGCCGCTGCTCCTGCTGCTGATGTTGGTGGTGGTGGTGCTGCTGCTGCTGCTGCTGCTGCTGCTGCTGCTGCTGCTGCTGCTGCTGGTGCTGCCGACCCTGCTTCTGCTCCTCTTGCGGTTGGTGACTGTTCTTCTCAACTGTTCCCTGTACATCACTGCCCCGCATATCGTCCTCCTGTTGACCCACTTTCTCCCTTGGAACCTCTTCCTCCCTTCGAACCTCATCACCGGCAGCACCCTGTCTCTCATTCTCGCTGTTTCTCACAACAATACCCTCCACCCTCCCTCCAACCATTTCTTCTCCTTCCTCGTACTTTCCACCAATTCCCACACCCCTGTCAGCAGAGGGAATGGCATGCACTTTGTCAGTGGCTGCCTCAGCTCTTGTATTTCGGCCAGGAATCGACGGTCGGTCTCGGGGAACCCGAAAGCCCTCGTCGTCCTTCCCTCTTGTACCTTGAGGGCCCTGGGAACAGTCCCCTGACTCTCCAGTTGACTTTCGAGTTGACTCGAAGGTCATCGTCGGCCGGTCTTGTGGAATCCGAAAGACCTCGTCGCCCTTCCCTCGTGCACCTTGAGGGCCCTTGGAACGGTCCATTGAGTCTCCAGTTGCTGCTACCATAGGTGCTGTTACAGGTGCTGCTACAGGTGCTGTTGAAGGTGCTGCCACAGGTCCTGCCACCGGTGTTGCCACAGGCGCTGCCACAGGTGCTGCCACGGTTGATGCCCCAGGTGCTTCCTCAGGTGCTGCCACAAGTGGAGTAACAGGTGCTGCCGTAGGTGCTGCCGCAGGTGCTGTAACAGCTGCAGTGACAGGTGTAGTGACGATTGCAGGGCCCTGGGCTGACTGTTGAGTCGATCCAAACTCGCCCCCCAAGCCACCAGGCACAGCAGCAGTGGCCTCCAGTCCCCCCTGGCTCTGCATGCCTTGCCCGCTGCGACCCCCCTCCAGCCACTGCGATCGGATGGGGCATGCAGTGGATGGGGACAGAGAGTGGGCGTACAAGAATGATTGAATGGGCATGGAGATGAGGATGGGGATGGGCATGGGGATGGGGATGGGGATGGGGATGGGGATGGGGATGGGGATGGGGAAGGGGAAGGGGATGGGGATGGGAATGGAGATGAGGATGGGGATGGGGATGAGGATGGGGATGGGGATGGGAATGGAGATGAGGATGGGGATGGGGATGGGGATGAGGATGGGGATGGGGATGGAGGTGAGTCGACAGTGGGGCACGATCGGAGCAAAGGTCACATGTTGGCGAAAGGACAGAGAACGAGAGGGAGGGGGATGGGGAAGGGTTGGGGAAGAGGGCAATGGAGGGGGAAACAAAGGGGTTGTGTAGATTGAGGGAGACCAATGCAGAATCGGTGCAGAGGGCGCGGTGATGGTGCAGCGGGGTTGGTGATGGTGCAGCGGGGTTGGTGATGGTGCAGAAGGTGTGGGTATGGTACAGAAGGTGTGGGTATGGTGCATACCTGTTTCAGTAGTGCCAGTTGCTCCTGCGTTAGGAATTTCGGCAGCTGGGAGAAATTGGGCAGTTGAGAAAAATCGGGCAGCTGAGACGGGTTGGGCAGCGTATCACAGTTGTCTCTATCTGCGGCACGAGCAGCAGCAGCAGCAGCAGCAGCAGCAGCAGGAGCAGGAGCAGCAGCAGCAGCACCACCACCACCACCACCGCCATCAACATCAGCAACAGTAGCAGCAGATGCAATATTACCAGCAGGGACAGCAGCAGATGCAATATTACCAGCAGGGACAGCAGCAGATGCAATATTACCAGCAGGGACAGCAGCAGATGCAATATTACCAGCAGGGACAGCAGCAGATGCAATATTGCCAGCAGGGACAGCAGCAGATGCAATATTACCAGCAGGGACAGCAGCAGGAGAAGTAGCGAGAGGAAAAGGGAGAGCAAGAAGATGGTTGAGATGTGGAGAAGGGATTACAAAACCGCCTGATCCAATGATGTGTGCACTGCCAGCACTACCAGAGGCAGCAGGACGAGTAGCAGCAGCAGCAGCAGCAGCAGCAGCAGCATCACCAGCAGCAGCAGCGCTACCAGCAGATCCGGTGGTGCCACTGCTTCTACCAGTCCACAGCTCACCGCCCTCTAGACGCCCTGTGGTTGACACACTAGACACGTTTACCTCCCCTCCTGCCATCCCTGGGTTCTTCCCCCCAGCCCAAGGAGCTCGGGAAGAGGATGTGAGGGGAGGCGGGAGGGTAGAGAAGGCGGGAGGTTGACTTGGGGCAGGATGGTATGGGGATGGGAGATGGGGATGTGGATGCTGGGTCAACGGTGCCGATCTTCGCGTAGCATCAGGAATGGACGGTTGAGATGAGAAGGATGGAACGGAGGGGGCAGGGAGGATGTCCGAGCGCATGAGCGCGTCGAAAAGATTTTGCACCCCACTCGCAATTTCAGCTGCCCGGGTGGTCAGACCGCCGGCTGCTGATTGGTCGGAAGCTGACACTGTGGCGAAGCGAGAGAGGCAGGGGAGGGGGTGATTGGTGGGTGCAGCAGAGGAGGTAGAGGGAACAGAGATAGAAGCGGAGGTGGGGAGAGGAAGAGAAGGGTTGTGCGGGAAAGGGTTGATAGGCTGGAGTGTATTTGGGAGAGAATTAGTGAGAGATGACAAAGAGGGGGAAAAAGCAGGGATTCGGCCTTGAGGGGTGGAGAAAGAGCGGGGGAATGTGGTGGAGAGCGGTGCTGGGGAAGGAAAGGGAGGGAATGGGGGGCGAGAGGAGGGGGCAGAACGGGGGGAGGAGACGGTGGAGGGAGAAGCAGGAGGGGCACGAGTGGGGGCAGACGAGCACGGAGCAGCAGCAGATGTAGAAGAAGTAGCAGCAGCAGCAGAGTGAGCAGCGGCAGCAGCAGGGAGGCCCATGAGCAGGCCAGCAGAGGAGAGTGCGTCCAGTTGAAGCATGGCCCTCGCTAGCTCCCTCTGGTCGCCCATAGCCTTTGCTAGATCCCTCTGGTCGCCCACACTCGTCTGTGCTGTCAATGTTTGCCCCACACACATCTGCTCCTGCTCCACCAATGGCTGCCCAGTGCTCATCTGCCCTAGACACGCTTGGGTTGCATGCTCCTGTCCCAGCATCGCCTCCCTTGCACCTGTGGGCTGTCTCCTTGGGTCAACCCCACTGGGGCCTTGGAATTGCCGTGGGTTTGTTTCCCTGTGCCTCTCCCCTGTGGGCTGCATCTGCCCTAGACACGCTTGGGCTGCATGCTCCTGTCCCAGCATCGCCTCCCTTGCACCTGTGTGCTGTCTCCTTGGGACAAAGTCAAACACACCGGGGCCGTGGTGTGGCTGTGTGTTGTTGTTTGCTTCCCTGTGCCTCTCCGCTGTAAGAGCAACGGCAGGTGCAGCCCCAGTTGTTACACTAGCCTCAGCAGGAGTAGCTTCGCTTGAAGCAGCGGCTGCAGTGGCAACAGTGGCAGCAATGGCAGCAGCGGCAGCAGTGGCAACAGCAGCGGTGGCGGCGGCAGCAGCAGCGGAAGCAGTAGTGTTGGCTGTGGGAGCGTTTGGGAGCGAGCGGGAGAGGGGCCAGGAGGACGGATTTTGAGACGTCTCAAAAGGCGAGGGGGGCCAGGTGGGCGGGAGGAAAGCGGGAGCGCGGGGGAACGAAGCAGCTCTGAGAGAGACATGGGAGGTAAGGAATTTTGAGGGTGAGGAATTTTGAGGCGCCTCGAAACTGGGGACACGGGAGGAGGAGAGATGTGCGTTGCCGAAGGAACGCGAGCGCAAGGATGCTGCTGCTGCTGCGGCAGTCTCTGCGTTTTGAGTCGACTCAGAAGTCACTTGGGAGGGGAGGCGAGTATTGCTGAAAGAATGCGAGCGGAGGGACGACGCTGCTGCAGCAGCAGTCTCTGCGTTTTGAGTTGACTCAAAAGGGACATGGGAGGAGGAGAGGCGAGCATTGCTGAAAGAACGCGAGCGTAAGGGCGACGCTGCTGAGGCAGTGTCTGCACTGATCGAGTGTCGAGTCGTCTCAAAACGCGGATGGCTGGAGGAAAGAGCGTGAGAGGAAGAAGCTGCTGCTGTTGCTGCAGGTGTGGTGGTCTCTCCTTGAACCGCTTGTGCTGCTGCCCTCCCTGCTGTTTGTGTGTGTGCTGCTGGGCTTCCTGCTGTTTGTGTGTGTGCTGCTGCGCTTCCTGCTGCTGGTGCTGCTGCGCTTCCTGCTGCTGGTGCTGCTGCCCTCCCTGTCGCTGACGAGCCTCGAATGGAAAGGCTGCTGCTGCTGTGGGACGTGACGTGGTGGGTCTGATGGGGCACGGGAAGGATTCGAGGGGTAAGGGAGGGGATGGGAGGGAACGGAAATAGTCAGCAGAGTAAGCGTGCAAGGATGAGGACTGATGTTGGATGGGATACATGATGTTGGATGGGACACATGAAATTATCAGGTTTTTTAAATCGTTTACCCATTCACCCCCCCCCCCCCCCCCCCCCCCCCCCCCCCCCCCAATCCCTCTTCCCCCCTCCTCTCCACTCACATCAATGTCCATGGAGACTGCATCACCTATATCCTCTGCTGCCCTGGCTCCACCCTCGGACCTTCCTCTTCCTCCCGTCCTCCTCCTCTCCTGCCTTTCCTTCCTCTCCTTCCCCTCCTTTCCCTTCCATTCCTCCTCCTCTTCCTCCTTCTCCTCCTTTCCCTGCTTCTCCTCCTTCCTTGCCCTTGTCTGTTGAGGCAACTCAGACGTCTGCTGCTCCTTCTCTTCCTCCTTTCCTGCCCGCGTCTGTCTGCCCGTGTCAGGCCCCACCTTTTCTGTCAGACGCATCTGCTCCTCTCCCATTACTTCGCTCCTCTGCTCCTCTGCTCCTTCGCTCCCGTTTACATGGGACTGCCTCACCCCTCCTTTCCCTTCATTTGCTCCATTCGCAGCGTCACTGCTTGCCTCTCTACCATTGTTGGGCCCCTGTGCTACTTCTGCATCCACCTTTCTCCCTTCTCCGTCCCCCAACCCTCCTCCTGATTCCGTCCCTTCCCTCCTTTCCTTCTCCCCAACTTCCATCTCTTCGGTCTCCTCTCCTGCTCGTTCCTCTTCTATGCTCTCCTTGTCTTTCCGCGTCTCTCCTGCCCTCTCCTCCCTTGCCTGTAGCTCTTTTCCCCTTTCCTCGCCTGCCCGTGTCTCTTCTGTCTTCTCTCTTTTGTCTTTCCCCAAACCATTCTCTTCCTCTCTTCTTAAAGCTGGCCCTTCTCCTTCTTTCTCCCTGTGCCCTGCATCCCTAATACCATTCCCGTCCCCATCCCCATCCCCACACCCATCCCCATCCCCATCCCCATCCCCACCATCTGCCATCCCTTCCCTCCCTTCCCTCCCTCCCTGCATGCCTTCCACTATCTCACGCTCATCTTCCTGTCCCTTTACTCTCTCCTTCTCTCCCTTCTCTCCCTTCTCTCCCTTCTCTCCCTCCTCCCCTTCCTCTCCCGTTCCTCCTCCCTCTCTCCCACCTCCCTTCTCTTTCCATCCGTCCTTTCCCCCATCTCCCTTTCCCTCCTCTCCTTCCTCCCCCTCTCCACCCTTCTCCTCCCCTCCCTCTTCCGCCTTCCCTGCAGCCTCCTTCCCCCGCCCCCCATCCTTCCCCCCCGCGCCCTTCCCCCCCTTCCCCCCGCCCCCATCCTTCCCCCCTTTCAACGACTGTATATACCTCAGCAGCAGCGTGGGCTTCCCCCCAACCTTCCCCCCGGTCCGCCCCACGTCCTCCTTCCGCCTCACAGTCGAATTCCAATGATTCTTCACGTTGTTATCCGTCCGCCCAGGCAGCAGCTTCGCAATCTCCGCCCACTTGTTCCCCACGCGCTTGTGCGCCTCTATCAGCGTCTCCTCCTCGTCCTCCGTCCACGCGTCCTTCTTGATCCCCAGCTTCAGGTGGTTGTGCCACCGCTCACGGCACTGCTTCCCCGCGCGCCCCTTGAGCTGCGCTGCTATGGCGGACCACCGCCGCGCCCCCCCCCTCTCCACCAACCTCCTCAGAATCTCGTCCTCCTCCTGTTGGGCCAACAGTGGGGGGTGAGAAGGGAGGGGAGGTGGGAGGTGGGAGGGGGATGGGGTGAGGGAACAAGGGCGGGAAGGGAGAACCTCGAAAAGGGGAGAGGGGAGGCGAATTTTGAGTCGACTTGAAAAGCCGGTGTGGAGAGGGGAGGCGAATTTTGAGTCGACTTGAAAAGCTGGTGTGGAGAGGGGAGGCGAATTTTGAGTCGACTTGAAAAGCCGGTGTGGAGAGGGGAGGCGAATTTTGAGTCGACTTGAAAAGCCGGTGTGGAGAGGGGAGGCGAATTTTGAGTCGACTTGAAAAGCCGGTGTGGAGAGGGGAGGCGAATTTTGAGTCGACTTGAAAAGCCGGTGTGGAGAGGGGAGGCGAATTTTGAGTCGACTTGAAAAGCCGGTGTGGAGAGGGGAGGCGATAGGCGGGAGCGGAAGAGAGGAGCCTTGCAAGTAAGCTGTTACTATTACACTCCTCTACCATAGTCCAAGCCTGGCAGTGCACACACGCTCCGCACCATCGAGCACTACCCTGCAACACAGGCATGGTCGATTATCAACCCCTACCCTGCAATGCAGGCACGTAGCATCAGCTATGCTTGCGACAAAGGCACGTACCGGCGTCCATTGGCCTTTCGCGTTGGTGCTGGCGTAAGTTTTGAGTCGACTCAAGAATCAATGCAGGCCCGTACCATCAATCACTAGTCTTGCGACGGACACAGCCACGTACCGGGGTCCACTGGCCTTTGGCATTGGTGCTGGCGCGACTTTTGAGTCAACTCAAAAGCCAATGCAGGCACGTACCACCAACTAATGCACCTTGCGGCGCACGCACATACCGGGGTCCATTGGCCTTTCGCGTTGGTGCTGGCGCGAGGGGCGCCATCTCCGCCCTCCTCCTCCTCCCCCGACCCCTCCCCATCGCTCTCCCCTTCCGCCATCCCCGCGCCTCCTCCCCCACCCCGCCCCCTCCGCTCACACAACCCCCGCCCACCATGCCCCCGCTCACGTACCCTCCCCCTGTGCTTCCCCCTCCTAGCCCAGACCTGGGGAAGCCGCCATGTGCGCTGCTAGCGCCACCCTGTGCGCTGCTAGCGGCGCCATGTGCGCTGCTGGCACCAGCGGCGGCGGCAGCAGCAGCCAGAACTGCAGACAGGTCGTGGCAGCCCGCTAAAACCCCCAACCCCTCGCCCGCCGTCAGTCCCAGCCCCTCACCAGCCGTCAACCCTAACCCCTCACCTACCGTCACTCCTTCTAAACCCAACCCCCCAACCGCCCCCCAGCTTCTCATAGTAGCTTGCTGCCCGCGATCTTGGTTCCCCCGCTCGGAATTCGTTGCCATCTGCCCGGGCTGCCCGTAGAAAGACTGCAGCGGCTGATTCCTTGTACCAGCGTAAGTCATGTCGAAGTTGGTTGGTAGGCTAGCTGAGTGGTATCCGCTCCCGGTGCTGCTTGATACAGTACGGTTGAGAGGGAGGCTACTAGCGAGCCCTGACATTCTCATCAGCTCAAGTAATGCCATATTCCCACCTGCACCAGATCCCACCTCCCTGCTTGCAGGTGACACCTGGGGAGCTGCAGGCTGCCGCTGGAAAGTACCTCCTCCCGCCAGCGCCTGGAAAGCCCCTCCCCCAAGTAGCGCCTCCGCCAGCAAGCTTTCCAGCCTCCCCTCCGCCATCCCCGCGCCTATCATCGTTGCGCTGTCCGCGGTGTATCCTACGCCTCCCCCTGCTGCTGCAACCCCCGTATTTCTTCCGCCCCCCAGGCCTGGAGGACCAATAACTCCAACAGGCAGCGCGGGCGTGGCGATTCCCCCCCGCCTTCCCCCAATCCCTTCGCCAAAACTGCTCCCCCTCGCCATTCCGCCACTCATTCCGCCCACCATGCTTCCGGACGGGGAAATAGGACCATCAGCGGAAACATACCCGCCAAAGGACCCTGTAGCTTGGCCTAGGGGGGTGTTGTTTGTTCCCGTTTCGTGTTGTGCGAAAGGTCTAACTTGTGCGACAGCGCTTCCTTGTGCGACAGCACGATGCGACCCTTGCGACTCCCATAGTCGTTGGATGTCGCGAAACTGATCGTAAGGCATCCCGAGGGAGCCGGAGGTGACGTTTCCTGCCCCTACTGTGGGCGCATTGACCGCATTGAACGAGTTGACCGACGCGTTGACTGCATTGACTGATTGTTGGGACTGCGAAGGCGCCCCTCTCGAAAATTGCGCCCGGGAAAGCGACTGCTGCTGCTGCTGCTGCTGCTGCTGCTGGGGATAATACCGTTCACGCATTGCATTGGCGGCGATAACGCAGTTGTGCTCTTGTAAAGAAAGAATATGCGCTGAGTTTCCGGAAAGCAATTTATACTCGAGGATCTAACACCGCCGAGTACTCGCCAGAACTCGCGCTTCCGCGGGGATCCGACGGTAACCCTATTCGCAGTTGCAGTCGCAGCGAAATGTAACGTCATCATTGCGTGGGGATCATAGTAGTCGGCTCGAAATCTGTAGTTTGACTCACTTTAGGATCCTCGACAGGGCGCCACGCCGGTCACCCAAAGGTGCACGCCCCTTGCACATTTCCTACCAAATTCATTCACGCGGTTTTCACTGCTGCTCGACTTTTAATCTCGCAATTTCCAGGTTCTGTTGTGGCATACCTGTCCACTTCAGACTATCAGGGGCGTATTCATGAAGCCGAAAAGCCAACCACTTCTGTGAAATTACCGTCACTCTACACTTTTCAGTCGCGATTTCGACAACGATAAAATGTTCCAAGTAACAAATCGTGCCAACAATATCTGTTTCAAACACGCTCTGGAATATTGTGCTTGACTCTGTGACGGGGGCACTATGACCATGCGTGGATTGGCGGGAACTAGAAATCTGTGATCTCACTGGCTGGTCTGCGTGGTGAGACCTGACATGGCATGTCCCTTGAAGGTCTGGGCTTTGGCGCCAGGCAACCATTGGTGAACGCGAGGGCGTAAGGTTTGATTGGATGAGATGAAAGCAGGCGAACCGTGTTGACTGGGTATCGTGTCGCGCACTGTACGACTGTTGTGTGCACTTGGGCTACTGTAATTTGATGCTGACGTGGTGGACGAGAGAATCTGGTCTGAGAATTTGTGCAATACAGTACGTTGCCTACACGTGGAGGAATCAGAACCCCCAATGCTAAGCGACAGCTACCGTTACTTGATAAGCAATTGTTCGAGGCTTCGAAGACGACAAATGTAGGCGACCCATTGTTTTGTCTGTATACGGCTATAACGGCCGTCACTGTCCAATCATTTGTCTCCATATATTTTTCAAGTTGAAGAACCGTCCAACGGTCTTGCTAGGAGAAACCACACAATAAGAAACTACTAGTGTATTGTACACGTTTCCCTCCATGTACATGTTTTTTTAGCTGCCGTGTGTATACACCATACCTGTCAAATAACCAAAATGCTGCCATGAAATCCAAGGACTCCCCCTCCCCAATGGGCTTTCGCACTGCGGATGAATCCTTGATTCCACGATGGCTGGTAAATGGGATGTAAAAACTGGCGGTTGACGAGAAAGCAAATTATAAGCCAAAAAACACCATTCAATCAAGATTTAGGATCTTCATGGGGAGAGACAGGATGAGGGGGTGGCTCTGGATTGTCAAGGTCCATGTCTAACGCTGCGTTTGGCTCTAGATGTGAAATGCGAATGGTTCCTAGAAGCTTCTCCGGGAGCTCCGCGTCTGTGTTTCCCTGCAAGTAACATAAATAGCGTACACCATAAGCAACTTTGTACAAACCACCACAATGCAAACAGTGGATCAATAGCACATAAATAAATAAATAAATAAATAAATAAATAAACAAATAAACAAATAAATAAAAACTTATTGAATGCGTACAATACCTGGATTAAGAATGCCATGTCGATGATGAGTGTACGGACGTATCCTAGCACGAATCTCACCACCCCATTGGCCACAGCTGATGACCCAATATCCACATCCACCTACATTCCAGTGGTGTCATAGGGAGAGTGTGGAAACAGCACAAACGAAACTCACTTCATCCATTCAAAGAGTGCCCATGCGATACAGACAATGCCACAACATGACAAATAAATTTCCATCACATATTTGCAGATCACTGTACCTCAAAGCAATGTACCTCAAAGTAGTGTACCTCAAAGCACTGTACCTCCAAGTACCGTACCTCTAAGCAGTGTACCTCAAAGGAGTGTACCTCAAAGCAGTGTACCTCAAAGTAGTCGGGTCCTTTGAAATATTGCACAGTGAGAGCACCAGCAATGATGAGCGGCGTCGTCCCCACACTTCTCTTCACCACCCATGCGCCCTGTCATACACCAGCGCCAATGGCAAAAAAAAAAAAAAAAAAAAAAAAAAAAAAAAAAACACCTCACATCACAGAATGGCCAATACATGGAGGCATGAGAGGGTGAATGCACAAGCAAGGCAGATTAAAGTGGCACATGTCTGCTGCATGGACGGTATAGCAGAGCACACAGGTCACACAGGTCACACAGAGCACATAGAGCACACAGAGCACACAGAGCACACAGAGCACACAGAGCACACAGAGCATACAGAGCATACAGAGCATACACACACCACCCACCTGGTGGATGCGGGGAATGAGCTTGAAGCGTGTGTTGCGGAAGATGTCATCCCCGTTGATGAACTGCCCCAGCATGGATGAATCTGTGGGCGGCTCCTCCATGGCCCAGTAGAACACCATGCTGTACTGCTGCGCTGCCGGCACCTGGTGGGGTGAAATTGATGTAAGAGAATGGGTGACAGGCAGAGCAATGAGCACATGTCCCCACACAGCACCCCTCCATGGCCCAGTAGAACGCCATGCTGTACTGCTGCGCTGCTGGCACCTGGTGGGGTGACATATGTGAGAGTGAGAAGTTAAGACGCGTGACTAGGCCAGGAATGAGCAGCATTGTCCCCTGCACCCTCCTCCAAGGCCCAGTGGAAACTGCTGCGCTGCTGGCTGGCACCTGGTGGGGTGAAATTCATGTAAGAGAATGGGTGACTGGGAGGGCAATGAGCACCTGTCCCACTGCCCCACTGCCCCACATCTTCTACTCCCCCACAGCCCCACTGACCCAATCACCACCTCCCCAACAACCACTGACGCATCCAGCATAAAGAGCCCCCATTGGACCAGCCTCCCCCACGGACCCACCGACCTCCACCCCTCCCACCGCCCCACCACCCAACCACGCACCTGCATATTCACAATGAAGAAGTATGGCCGCGACGAGGCGTCACTGCTGGCCATCAGCTCGCGCATGCCCTGGTGAAAAAGGGTGGGGGTGGATGGATGGGCGTGGCATGATGGAAGGGGTGGTCATGCATGAGAGAGAGGGGCGAGAGGGAGAGGCAGGGGCAGAACACTCACATCCAAGCACGGGTTCACTTCAACTCTCCCACCACATGGTCGATCCTCTCCACACGCTTCAGCCAATCCATTCCCGACCCGAAGCCACCAACAGTTGCTTCTAAGACAGGTCGGGCATGGATTCCCACAGGCGCATTAAGCGAGATCTTACTCACATGCAATGCACGGGGGTACGCTTGAGCTCCACCACATGGTCAATCCTCTGCACGCTCTTCAACCAATCCACAGCCACCAGTGCCGGTCCATTCCCACACACAAGCATGGAGGTCAGCACAACTCACATGAATGGTGACTCACACTCACATGCACAGGTGCCCGCCCAACTCACATGCACAGGTGCCCGCCCAACTCACATGCACAGGTGCCCGCCCAACTCACATGCACAGGTGCCCGCCTAACTCACATGCACAGGTGCCCGCCCAACTCACATGCACAGGTGCCCGCCCAACTCACATGCACAGATGCCCGCCCAACTCACATGCACAGGTGTCCGCCCAACTCACATGCACAGATGCCCGCCCAACTCACATGCACAGGTGCCCGCCCAACTCACATGCACAGGTGCCCGCCCAACTCACATGCACAGGTGCCCGCCCAACTCACATGCACAGGTGCCCGCCCAACTCACATGCACAGGTGCCCGCCCAACTCACATGCACAGGTGCCCGCCCAACTCACATGCATAGATGCCCGCCCAACTCACATGCACAGATGCCCGCCCAACTCACATGCACAGATGCCCGCCCAACTCACATGCACAGATGCCCGCCCAACTCACATGCACAGATGCCCGCCCAACTCACATGCACACATGCCCGCCCAACTCACATGCACAGATGCCCGCCCAACTCACATGCACAGATGCCCGCCCAACTCACATGCACAGATGCCCGCCCAACTCACATGCACAGATGCCCGCCCAACTCACATGCACAGATGCCCGCCCAACTCACACGCACAGATGCCCGCCCAACTCACATGCACAGGAGTCCTTTTCAGCTCCACCACATGGTCAATCCTCTCAACGCGCTTCAGCCAATCCACTGCCACCAGCGCCATCCCCGGCTGCCCCGCACTCTGCTTCATCTTATCCCTCAAATAGCTCTTCGACCGCACTGTAAAGTTCCGAACCTCCGCCTCGCTCCAGCAGTTAATCCCCCCCATCGGCGACCCCCGGGCCAGGTTTCCAGTCTTGTACGCCCATGCCCAAGGGTCTACCGAACCTGCCGCCCTTGCCGAACCAGCTAGTCGAGACCCGGTGGAGGGTCGGGAACCTAGCTGCCAGAACCGAGGAGAGGCCACAGGGAGAGTTTCAGTCAGGAGAGCCTTAGCAGCAACTGCTGCGTCTCCTGCTGCTGTTCCAGCTCCTCTTGCTCCAAAGAAACTGCTAGTGCCTGGTAAGGGCTCTGAAACTGTGCTCCCGGCATCGCTACCGCTGAACTCACCACCCATAACGTCCCCACTGCTGCCTCTCCTTCTCTCTCGTCCCACCCCCTCCACCTCATCAAACCCCTCCCCTCCCCCTTCTGGTATCGGCCCGATCCGCCCGTCCTCCCGATCCCGCCTGCTGCCCTTCCTCCCACCCCCTCCAAGCTCCCTCCCTTCTGCAGCCGCTACAGCCGCGGCTGTAGCAGCAGCTGTAGCCTGCTGCGTGTCCCTCAGACCCAGCAGCGCAGCCAGCGAGTCCCCCCTCGTCTGCGCGAAAAACTCCCGAATGCCTGCAACTCTCGACAGCAGGTAAAAATGCACTTCGGTCGCAACACCGCTGCACATCGGCAGCAACCCCTTTGCATCCATCTGCAACACGTGCATCACTACCGACCGTCCGATCGCCGACGGCCCCGCTGGGGCGATGATAAACCCTCCGTAGGTGAGATTGGCGCGAACGCAGCCCATGACAGGCGGGCATAGGGGGTGCTCCATGGACTGATAGAGCACCACGTAGCACCCGTCGGCCGTGCGCTGCCAGTAGCGCCGCAGGCACACGTCGCGCGCTGTGAGGGTGAAGGGGCCGAAGCCGACTGGGAGCGGTCGGAAGCGGTAGTGGATGCAGTCTGTGTGACCGTCCTGAGCTTCTACCATTCGTGCTCCTCCGTATGCCACGTCCCACCTGGTGAACGAGAGGGTCGGTACACGAAAGGGCAAGAGAAGGAGGATGGGGTCAGGGCAATGGCAGAGGGCAGAACCGGCATTGGACGCAGTCGGTGTGGCATCAGAGAGAGCGTCAAGATGACGGGAGTGAGCATCTTGATGCTCAGAGACTTATCAAAGCAGCAAGGGGAGTTGAGTTCACGGGGCTGAGGGGTGACAGGAGCAAGATGCTTTTGAGTCGACTCAAAAGTCAACTTGCTCAGAGACTTACCAAAGCAGCAAGGGGAGTTCACGGGGCTTAGGGGTGACAGGAGCAAGATGCTCACTCGTTGCGCGAGGAGGAGAGGTCGAGCACGAGTCGAAAGACGGCATCGCTGGGGGCGTCCACCGTTCCCACGGCGCTCAGACACGGCAGGCTGCCACACATGCCCGCCTGCCCGCGCTCCTCGTTCAACTCCTCAAAGAAACGCAGCCCTGTGGAATGGGCCATGGGGAATGGGCCATGGGGAATGGGCCATGGGGAATGGGCCATGGGGAATGGGCCATGGGGAATGGGCCATGGGGAATGGGCCATGGGGAATGGGCCATGGGGAATGGGCCATGGGGAATGGGCCATGGGGAATGGGCCATGGGGAATGGGCCATGGGGAATGGGCCATGGGGAATGGGCCATGGGGAATGGGCCATGGGGAATGGGCCATGGGGAATGGGCCATGGGGAATGGGCCATGGGGAATGGGCCATGGGGAATGGGCCATGGGGAATGGGCCATGGGGAATGGGCCATGGGGAATGGGCCATGGGGAATGGGCCATGGGGAATGGGCCATGGGGAATGGGCCATGGGGAATGGGCCATGGGGAATGGGCCATGGGGAATGGCCTGGGAATGGGGCTATGGGGAATGGATGGACGTGTAAATGGAACGATTTCATATGCCGTGTGCAGTGTGAAATACTTCATTCACCAGTGACAGGGTGACTTTCGAGCTGACAACTCAAAAGGCATGTGCAGTGTGCGATGCTTCATTCACCGGTGACTGGCTGCGGCCACATCTGCCCGCCTGCCCTTACCACTGGATGGACAGGGCCATTACTCACCGTTGGATAGCTTGATGAGGCGCCAGGAGCCGTCGGATGCGATGCCTGACGCCGTTGACGCACTGCGCATTGCCACCATGGCCTCGAGCATGCCGCCCAGCTCCATAGGAGGCCCTGGGGGCAATGGGGACGAGAGTTCAGTTTATTCACTGCACTGCAGCGCACTGCCTTGCACTGCATTGAGCCGCACTGCACTGCGCATTACCACCATGGCTTCGAGCATGCCACCCAGCTCCATGGGGGCGAAGAGAGTTCGATTTACTCACCGCACTGCACCGCACTGCTTTGCCATCATGGCCTCAAGCATCAGACCTAGCTCCATGGGGGGGGGGGGCTGGGGGGAAGTAAGAAAATTGGAGAGAGAGAGAGAGAGAGAGAGAGAGAGAGAGAGAGAGAGAGAGAGAGAGAGAGAGAGAGAGAGAGAGAGAAAGAGAGAGAGAGTGCAACACAGGGAAAGGAAGGCACGACGTGGAGCATGCCTTGAGTGTGCATTGTGCCGACCATGTTCTCAGGACAGTGGTGCTTGAAAGCCATGTGGAGGCATACCTACCGAAGCCAATGGAGCCTCTTCTATCGAGCAGAAGTCGCTGCGGTGTTGGCAAGTCATCTCGTGCCATCTCATCCCCATCCCCATCAAAAGGCTCACTGCTGTCCATGGAATCACGGCAGCTGGTGTGAGAGGGAAAGGAAAGGGGAAAAGGAAATGGCTGTACGGAATGAGAGGGAACGGAACGGAACAAGTGGTGAGGCGGAAGAGTAAGTGCTGTGCCCTGAAAAGGTGAGGGGTGGAGCGGACTTTTAAGTATCCTGCCTTGAACAAATCAAATGTGCTGGTTATAGATTCGAGTGCATGCACAATGACATGTGTTTGCATCGACCTTGTAACACCCTATAATGAGTACAAGGACCGTTCGAGAGGGAACGCACGAGGTCATCATGTTGGGGTGCGGTGGCGTTTCTCCCTCCTCCTCGTCTGATAGGCTGTTGGTGCTGGTGGGGCGGGTCAACGGCATTCTGATTGTGGGCGCCACGTTCTGCCAAGGGAAGAGAGAGGGGGAGGGAGGGGGGGAGATGGGAGATGGGAAACAGGAGAGAGGCGGAGGGAGCGGAAATACGGAGGAGGCGGAAGCAGGACACGAGATGGCGGGAAGAATTGGAAAGCGAGGGGGCAACTGACCTGTGGAAGAAGGCCATGGGAATTCGTATTCAGACGGTCACAAAAGCACAATCACGCGATGTGGATGCAGGATTGAACCACTAATTCTTCCGCTGCTGTGCTCACATGTTCTATCGTCCCCCGAACGTCTTGCATCCACACCATCACGAGCTTTGAGACGCCTAATAGATGCACAATATGCACCACCAATGCTCACATGTTCGATTGTCTCTCGGATGGCTTGCATTGCATCCACACCGCCACTAGCTCTGAGGCGCCTAGTAAACGCACAACATGCATCACCAAGCCAAACCGTCTACAGCTGTGCTCACATGACCCATTCTATTGTCTGCTGTGCTCACATGTTCTATTGTCTCCCGAATGGCTTGCATCCACACCGCCACTAGCTCTGGGTCCTTGGTTCCCACCTGGAACACGATGGGGCACGGGATGGGCACATAGGACGTGCAGCAGAGTACGGGAGGGGAAAGAGGAGTACGGGAGGGGAAAGAGGAGTACGGGAGGGAAAAGAGGAGTACGGGAGGGGAAAGAGGAGTACGGGAGGGGAAAGAGGAGTACGGGAGGGGAAAGAGGAGTACGGGAGGGGAAAGAGGAGTACGGGAGGGGAAAGAGGAGTACGGGAGGGGAAAGAGGAGTACGGGAGGGGAAAGAGGAGTACGGGAGGGGAAAGAGGAGTACGGGAGGGGAAAGAGGAGTACGGGAGGGGAAAGAGGAGTACAGGAGGGGAAAGAGGAGTACGGGAGGGGAAAGAGGAGAACGGGAGGGGAAAGAGGAGTACGGGAGGGGAAAGAGGAGTACGGGAGGGCACAGAGGAGCACGAGAGAGGCATGAGAATTCAGCGACAGCAGATGCATGGATAGTGTCAATCAAAGGGGGAATAACGGATGACAGAGTATGTGTTAAAGCATTAGAAGATCAATAGGGTCAGAAGACCATAAGCAGGGCAAAGAAATCGCGCTTCGATTAAGGCGCAAGGCGGCTCGGCACATATGAGCTTAAAGTCGTTCGAGGCAGCGTATGTTTGGCACCGCTGTAGAGTGCATTACACAATAAAGAGTGTGTCCTTAGCAAGTGCACCCACCAAACACGGCTTGGGAAGCTCTGGGTGTATACAAAAGGTGTAGAGCTCCTGGCGAATGACAAAAAAAAAGCAACAGGGGAATGACAGAAACAGTAGAGGGTGCAGAATACAGGGGAATGTCAGGAGCAGCCCTGAAAGGGTCAGAGCTATTGAGGCATAAAGCTCCAGAGTTTCATAAGCAGCGCAAACACAGGCAGCGCACACGCAAGCATCACACGAACGTGCAGCACAGAAACAGGCAGTGCGGGTGTGACCTTGGTGACCTTGGTTCGTACCTTGGTGTTGGTGGAAATCCGGCCTGTGTCCTCCACACGACATCTGGGCGTCAGATCAAACTCCTTCACTGGAATCTGTGCGACACGTTTGGCAGGGAACATTGATGCGGGAGAGAAGGGGGCGTTGGGGGGGAGGAGCGGGGAGGGGGCAAGGGGGAGGGGGAAAGGGAGAGGGGAGAATGGGGAGGGGGATATGGAGAAAGTTGGGAGAAAGTTTGGGGGAAATGGTTGGGTTGGGGAAGGTGTTGATTAGTCTTCCCAAGGGGGACCAAGGGATGGTGCAAAGCGGTCAGCTCGTATTGCCCCAGAAGCTATCCTCTCACAAGTAGTAGCCCTATCCTTCCACCACACGCGTACACGTGCTGTCACGGCAGGCTGCGGGAGTGGCTGATTTGCTGCGCGCGCAGCATGAAGTTTCTAGGTTTGAGACGTTCTCAGAACTCATTACCTCATCCCATCTCCCCCTCCCCCCCCTTCCTTCCCCCGGGCTACGCGCGCACCTCATGCTGCCATGGCAGACTGCGGAAGTAGCTGATGCGCTGTGCGTGCAGCACGGAGTCTCTAGGTTTGAGACGACTTTTGGGCGCCTTGATAGACGACTTTTGTGGCGACTCAAAAGCTGATTCGCTGTTCGCGCAGCACGGAGTCTCTAGGTTTGAGACGTTCTCAGAGTTCGTTACCGGATCCCATCCCCTCCCCTCTCTGCCCCCCCCTCCTCCATCGCGCACCTCGTGCTGCCAGGGCAGGCTGCGGAAGTAGCTGATGCGCTGCGCGCGCAGCACGAAGTAGCGGCGCGCCCAGTGGTGGCCGAACGGCCGCGACTTGGACTGCTTGTACAGCCACCCCATCAGCTTCACCTCCCGCGACATCTGCTCGATCGCTGACGTGGACAACCCGCCGCTGGGTCTCCGCCGGGTCCTGCGGAACAGGTAGGCATGAGGAGGGGGGAGAAGGGGGGTGTTCCGGATTTTTAAAGTTGAGACTGCTTGTACAGCCACCCCATCAGCTTCACCTCGCGCGACATCTGCTCGATCGCTGACGTCGACAGCCCGCCGCTGGGACTCCGCCGGGTCCTGCGGGAACAGATAGGTGCGACGGTGGAGGGGAGGGATGTTTGAGTGTGGTATCTGGTTAAATTTTTATCAAAGCTTCATCTCCCGTGAAATCTGCTCGATCGCTGATGTGGACAGCCCGCTGCTCGGTCGCCATTGGTTCCTGAGGAAACAGATAGGTGTGGAGATAGAAGGTTGCTGAAATGCAATATCTGATATAACCAACCCCCAGCTTAATCTCCCATGATACCTGCTCGATCGCTGACGTGGACATGCCGCTGCTAGGTCTCCGTTGACGTCTGAGGAAACAGAAAGGTGGATGAATAAGAAGCTTGTATAATGGTTCCCTCTGATAACCCTAGTTACTGATTAGCGATCCGGAAAATCGCAGAGAATTGCAAACCAGAATGGATAATTTGATTCCGCATAAATGCCTAACTCGCAAAAGATTCTCCGATCCCCCTTTCGGTTCTGTTCAATAATCACCTTCGGTCGGATCCCGGCTCTGACTCGCCGCGAGGGAGTGATGAGCTCCTCGCCCTGTCTTCCGCATATCCCGCCGCTGGTGTCGACTCTAGGCTCGCCATCGTCACCTCTGTACAGTCTCCGTAATGAGTCCTCTACACCCGAGGTCGTATTACAAGCATCGCGATCTCCCTGAATGGAGCTATCATGTCGAGACGTCAGGAACCTGGTCTCGCTCACGGCGGACTAGACTTCGACAGGATGAGAAATGAACTGAAGAGACCGTCTGGAGAGGATAATATTTTAGGGCTTGCAGCGGTCGGAACAGAATCAAGTGATACTTGGGAGAGGACAGACTAACTGCTCCGGAACGTCGATACCTTCGGATTGCAACTACGATGCCGTTAGCTGGCTGATAACAGACCAACTCTAGGCGGGAGCCACCAAAAAGTGTTTAAGCCTTCGGTTCAGTACGTTTCTGGACGATTTGAAAATAGTCTCTGGACATCTGAAGCGGTTGTGATGGACCAAATGAAACATTTGGGATCGTTCAGCCAAAAAGTGCACAGGGAGTTCCACAATTGTGGGACAGGGCGGGTCACAGCGGCGACGATCCCGAGATGGAGACTCTTGCCTTGAACCGGATCGAATGGCCGGAATTCATCAGATGGGTGGAGTTCCTTAGGGTGCGTTCCTGGCTCGTGTCAAGCTTCCGGTCTTCCCGGGATGACACGAAGCTCGCCCCACAGCTGGCCCCACTTCGGGTCTTCCCGCAAAAAATCGCCCCTGGCTCGGAAAACATGAAGTTTGACCGGAAGTTTGACATTAGCCAGGAACGCGCCCTTAGGCGCACAGAGTATTGGCTCCTGCTTCGGTTTCGTGAATCGTGAAATGGGTGTTTCCTGCACTTGGCTGGTCCCAGAAATAATTGTCGGTGACTCGGCAAAGTCAAACTGGTTCTGTTCAGGAGGTTAGTTGTCCGGTTAAAAAGGAGGATACTCGAGAAGGTAGAAAGCACGAGCCTAAAGTGGCTAGTAAAAAAAAACTATGCAGTTTGGCGTTAAAAAGGCGCAAACACTCTTTCCGTTCTTCAACGGCGACTCGCTTCAACTCTGAGCTCCCTTCTGCGTTTAGGGTTAGTGAACACTGAAATCCTCGCACTTATGGACGTTCACGATATTTACCTCGCCATGCAGGCTTCACTTCAGCTCGGAACCCCGTTTCTGGTCCTCCACGTCTGCAGCCATAAAAGGCGCCAAAGTTGCCTCGTAGAGCTAGTGGCACAGCCACTAGTATCAGCATTAATAAAAACATATCATACAGCGCAGTTCACTTAGAAAGCTTCAGGTGGAGAGTTGGACAAAGAGAGTCCTAATTTCCATAGGCCCGAGTTCCACAATATAAGTGGAATTATCAATGTCACGGCCTGTTATAGCCTCCACATCCACACCTCCTTCACTTTCATCAAGCTGCCAAGTTAAAGGGGGTCGCATGCTTGAGCGTTCTTGGTTTGCCATGAGACTTAGCTCGGTCACCTTCAGAACCTGGGGTAGAGACAACAAGAAAAACAACACAATGGTATGATGGTTGCATGTTTGGAAGATAAAGAACACAGGCCAGGGTGACGTGTAAATCCTACAACAATGACATAACACTCGCGAATGGAAAATGGCAAATCCTTTATCACATAAGGCAGCCTACCTCTCGACCGGCAAAGAGCTGCCGGAGTTTTACTGCTGCAAGCCGAGAAAACACTGGGTGCTCTTGAGCCTGTGGGAGTAAGTTGTATGTTCGCCAGGAGGGAGAGAGCGGGGAGGGAGGGTGGATGTGATGGGTGAGGAAGCAAGAGAGGTTGGAGGGGGGATGACTAGCCTTGCAAAGGCACTAACATAATCGAATATTCAGGATGTGTATCAGCGAGGGCTGACTGAAGTGCCACATGGTATGCTCCTAGCGTAGCCTTCACATACCTCGTACAGGTGAGCCAGTCGCAGGAGAATTGCTCCTGGTGATACCTCCTGTTGGACGAACACGTGGGCGGCGAAGATGGGAGCAGGACAAAAACACACACAAACACACAAACAGAACTGTAACATACACGTGTATTGGAAGCGAGCTAGGAACAACATGGACGGAGGGATATAAATTCTGGCAGAGGATGTCTACTGGATATTATTAGCAACTTAAGCTATTATTCTCATCAAGTGTACCTCCAATGTCGTTATAGCCACATTTCGAGGCAGCTGGTAGCTAGCTGAGGGTGCTGCCGCCTTCCCTCTGGTGCTGCCACGTGTTCCTGCCCTTGCCACCTCCTGCTGAGCGCTCTGGAAGAGGGAGTGGCGCCACAAGAACCCCGTCGCTCCTGTGCTGTCAGCAGCAGGTTCAGCAGATGTGCCAGAAACGTCGGTTGCAGCAGGGTCTGGAGTGTCAGCTGCAGCAGTGGCAGCAGCAGCTGCTGCTTCTGCTGCCTCTGCTGCGTCCACTGCTTCTGTTTCTGCTGCTGCCAGATCCTCAGTCGACTGAAGAGACGAAGGAAATTGAGAAGAGAGAAGAAGCGCATGAGGAGGGAGTGTGGAGGAGAGCAACAGGCAGAGGTGGACACAGCAGTGAGTGTGAACCTTCCGCCCTCACCTCCCTCCCACTGCATACGCTGCCTTGCACACACACACACACACACACACACACACACACACACACACACACACACACACACACACACACACACATCCCCCCTTCTCCCCTATCCCTTGCCCTCCCCTTCCCAACCACACAAACCTCAATCTCTCACCTAGACAGAGAAAACGCTGCAGGGGAGAGAGCAGGCACTGAGTGTGGTCGCCTGATGCCTGCTGTGACATGTGAGTCAACTCAGAAGCCATCCCTCACCTCCTTTGAGTCGACTCAGAAGAGATCTCTCACCTGTTTTCGAGTGGACTAACAGCCCATTTCTCACCTCGACAGCGAAAGCGAGCTGCAGAGGGGACAGCATCCGCTGGCTGTGGTCTCTCCACCAGAAGGCCCCCGCTGCCGCCCCGCCTGATACTTGCTGCGACCTTTGAGCCAACTCAGGAGTCACTGCTCACCTCGACAGCAAAAGCGAGCTGCAGCGGGGACAGCATCCTCTGGGAGTGATCTCTCCGCCAGAAGGCCCCTGCTGCTGCCCCGCCTGATGCCTGCTGTGGGGGTGTGCCTGGCCGTGCCCGTGTGTCTGGCAGCACTGCGAAGCGGAGTGATCCCACCACCTGGACGCCCAAGGGAGGGAAGTGACTTTATCTCCGGTTTACGGGCAAAGAAACAATGTTGACTCGGCTCAAAAGGTGACCATCACCGCGAAAGGTGACCTCAAAAAGAGAGAACGATGTTGATCAGCGTCCAATGTTCAGAATTTGCGCTTAAATGCCAAATGATTTTTTGTTATATAGGCGCATTGGAACTTACGACAAGGTGGTAGCATTTATCCTCCACACAGACATCTTCGTTTAACGGCTCTCCAACTCCCTTGTTGTCCACCGTATCCAAGCGGCTGGAAATTTGGATAGGGGGATAAAAAATATATATATATAAAAACGACAAGCATTACAAAGGTTGCACGTATCACAGCAGAGGCCATTTTGACTGCATTTTAAACAGTTGACCCAGGCTGAAAACCAGGCCTCTGCTACAGGCGCTTAACCTTGCAGCATGAGTTGGGGATCTACGCTGAAACAATGCCGCTAGTATGCCGATACTTCAGGGGCTCACCGGTGCAGCGTGAAGCTCATCAGTGCGGTGTGAAGCTCACAGGTGCAGCATGAGTTGAGTTGTAGGCTCACCGGTGCAGCATGAGTTGAGTTGTAGGCTCACAGGTGCAGCATGAGTTGAGTTGTAGGCTCACCGGTGCAGCATGAGTTGAGTTGTAGGCTCACCGGTGCAGCATGAGTTGAGTTGTAGGCTCACCGGTGCAGCATGAGTTGAGTTGTAGGCTCACCGGTGCAGCATGAGTTGAGTTGTAGGCTCACAGGTGCAGCATGAGTTGAGTTGTAGGCTCACCGGTGCAGCATGAGTTGAGTTGTAGGCTCACCGGTGCAGCATGAGTTGAGTTGTAGGCTCACCGGTGCAGCATGAGTTGAGTTGTAGGCTCACCGGTGCAGCATGAGTTGAGTTGTAGGCTCACCGGTGCAGCATGAGTTGAGTTGTAGGCTCACCGGTGCAGCATGAGTTGAGTTGTAGGCTCACCGGTGCAGCATGAGTTGAGTTGTAGGCTCACCGGTGCAGCATGACTTCGAGCTGTCCGGCTGCCAGGCTGGCAGCACCGGCTGCTCGGTCCACCAGCAGCGACAGCTGTGCCTCCCCATCCCCGATGAACGCCCCCACCGTCACCTGCAGGAGGGAGTGAGGGTGAGAGAGGGGCGGGAGTGAGGGGTGGGAGAGATGGGAGAGTGAGGAAGCAATAAGGACTTCTGATGTGCCTTGGGGGAGAAGATGCAATAAGAACTCACTGGGTAGAAGTTACCTGCTATGGGGTCTTTGACTGAGCGGAATTTGGAGCTCAATACTGGCGTGAATTGCTTGAGAGAGGACCTTACTTCTGAGCATTTGTGAAAGTGAGTTACTCACGGGGTAGAAGTTCCCTGCTATGGGCTCCTTGACTGTGAGGGTCCAGTCAGGGCGAGAGTCACGAACCTGTAGGACAGCACAGTAGGTAGGAGCGAAGTGAGAAGAGGTGTAGGGGGCGGGAGAGGTGTAGGGAGGGGGAGAGGTGTAGGGAGGGAGAGAGGTGTAGGGAGGGGGAGAGGTGTAGGGAGGGGGAGAGGTGTAGGGAGGGGGAGTGATGGGCAACCGGCAGAGAGAAGGTCAGGGGAGAGCCGAAACCAAGAGGATGATACTCTTTTAGAAGAGAAGTGAACAAGAGGCTGTACAATCTACAGAGGAAAGGCTTACTCTGATATATTTGACCTGTTCGTATCCTACCAATCCGCTCTATGATATATCCTCCATATAAGCTCACTCGTTTGAGGTAGTCACGGCCGTTGGAGTCCGTGTGAAAGATATCGCCACTCTGAATGGAAGAGGAGAAGGAGGCAACAACCTCTTTCCCCAGGGACCCATCCTCAACAAGAGGCCCTATGGAGTAGCCAAGCTCGGCGTAATTCTCCCCCGGGTAAACTCGATACACCTGCAGGGGAGACATGACACAAAGTGACAAAGGTATGACGCGAGCACCCAAGTTCCAGTTAGTTCTTTCTAGAGTAGGTACGATGCATACGCAGGGAAGACGACATATCAGTCAGTTAAGAGGCATTCAGAGACGCACACCCCCAATCCAAGGAACTCAAGCCCTCCACAATCCTTCCCTTAGAGGCAGAGAAGCTTAGAGGCAGAGCACCTTAGAGGCAGAGCAACTTAGAGGCGGAGCACGTTAGAGGCAGAGCACGTTAGAGGCAGAGCACCTTAGAGGCAGAGCACCTTAGAGGCAGAGCAGCTTAGAGGCAGAGCAGCTTAGAGGCAGAGCACCTTAGAGGCAGAGCACCTTAGAGGCAGAGCAGCTTAGAGGCGGAGCACGTTAGAGGCAGAGTAGCTTAGAGGCAGAGCACCTTAGAGGCAGAGTATATTAGAGGCAGAGCACCTTAGAGGCAGAGCAGCTTAGAGGCAGAGCAGCTTAGAGGCAGAGCACCTTAGAGGCAGAGCACATTAGAGGCAGAGCACCTTAGAGGCAGAGCAGCTTAGAGGCAGAGCAGCTTAGAGGCAGAGCAGCTTAGAGGCAGAGCAGCTTAGGCAGAGCAGCTTAGAGGCAGAGCAGCTTAGAGGCAGAGCAGCTTAGAGGCAGAGCACCTTAGAGGCAGAGCAGCTTAGAGGCAGAGCAGCTTAGAGGCAGAGCAGCTTAGAGGCAGAGCACCTTAGAGGCAAAGCACCTTAGAGGCAGAGCACCTTAGAGGCAGAGCACCTTAGAGGCAGAGCACCTTAGAGGCAGAGCAGCTTAGAGGCAGAGCAGCTTAGAGGCAGAGCACCTTAGAGGCAGAGCAGCTTAGAGGCGGAGCACGTTGAGGCAGAGCACCTTAGAGGCAGAGCACCTTAGAGGCAGAGCACCTTAGAGGCAGAGCACCTTAGAGGCAGAGCACCTTAGAGGCAGAGCACCTTAGAGGCAGAGCACCTTAGAGGCAGAGCAGCTCAGAGGCAGAGCACCTTAGAGGCAGAGCACCTTAGAGGCAGAGCACCTTAGAGGCAGAGCACCTTAGAGGCAGAGCACCTTAGAGGCAGAGCACCTTAGAGGCAGAGCACCTTAGAGGCAGAGCACCTTAGAGGCAGAACACCTTAGAGGCAGAGCACCTTAGAGGCAGAGCACCTTAGAGGCAGAGCACCTTAGAGGCAGAGCACCTTAGAGGCAGAGCACCTTAGAGGCAGAGCACCTTAGAGGCAGAGCACCTTAGAGGCAGAGCACCTTAGAGGCAGCGCACCTTAGAGGCAGAGCACCTTAGAGGCAGAGAACTTCCTCTGCATCACCTCACCTCCGACACGTCACGAGTCACCTGCCAGCTAAACTCCTCCACTATGGGTCCTCGCAGCACATGGATCGGCACCCTCTTATCCGCCTCTTTTCACTGCACCTCGGTTCCCTGCTGCTAGCAACAAGCGCCCATCGCAGCAACCACTGTGAGAGAGACACCACAATTGCCTCTATTCACCAAATCTCTTTATTTGATGCTTTCCTGCATCTCTATTCGTCCCCATTCACTCCATCCCCTCACCTCGGACACGTCACGGGCCAACTGCCGGTGAAACTCCTCCACGATGGGCCCTCGCAGCAACCACTGGCACCCCAATCGTCTCTATTCAATGCATCTCTATTCGCTGCTTCTCAGTAGCCATCTCCTTCCACTCACTCCATCGCCTCACCTGGGACACGTCACGCGCCACCTGGCGATGAAACGCCTCCACAATGGGCCCTCGCAGCAACCATGGTGCTGCAATAACCGTCTCTATTCACCGCATCCCCTCACCTCGGACACGTCACGCGCCAACTGCCGGTGATACTACTCCACGATGGGCCCTCGCAGCAACCACTGGCACCCCAATCATCTCTATTCGCTGCTGCTCAGTAGCCATCTTCTTCCACTCACTCCATCGCCTCTCCTCCAACACGTCACGAGCCACCTGCCGGTGTAACTCGTTCCACACTGGGCCCTCGCAGCAACCATGGTGCTGCATAACCGTCTCTATTCACCACATCTCCTCACCTCGGACACGTCACGCGCCACCTGGCGGTGAAACTCCTCCACGATGGGCCCTCGCAGCACGCGGATCGGCACCCTCTGCTTCCTGCGGAACGGCAGCGCACCGTCCGCTGTGGGCTTGAAGATGTACGCCCCTGACTGGAGGGGGTGCGGTTATGATGCAAGGAGGGGGATAAGAGAGAGTTTTTCTGAGAATATAAACAATCATACTGCGAAGGCCGGAACGGCAGCGCACCGTCTGCTGTGGGCTTGAAGATGTATGCTCCTGACTGGAGGGGTGGGGTGGGGGGGGAGTAGGGGATGCAAAAAAAGGGGGGGTGTTGAAATATGTGCAGAGTGGATTGTGACGGGGACTGGAAATAAGAGGTGAGGAGAAAGTAAGGAGGTGCAAGTGATGTGATAACAGAAGGCGGATAGAGGGGGAAGGGAAAGTGAGGGAACAGTGGCATGCAACAGCAGGAATTAACACGGAGACTGATGCATGAGCGTGTAGGAGGCGGGGGGGCAACTGACGTGGAGGAGGTGGACGGGCAACTGACAACTGACAACTGACAATTGACAAAGGACAAGTGGAGGGCGACAACTGACCTCTGCAGATGAGTAAAAGAGCGTTTCGCTGCTGATGTTGGCTGCTGCTAGCTGATAGCACCGCAGGGAGGCATCAACCGGGGCATAGGGAGAGAGGGCACAGGGAGAAGAAAAACAGTGTACTGCCAGCAAGAGTGAAAGTTGCAACACATTGGATTCTAAAGGTGCAATGGCATGTCAAATGGACGGGGCATGGCACATGCAAAGACATGGCACATGTAAGGGGCATGGCACATGGAAAGACATGGCACATGGACGACATGGCACAAGGAAAGGCATGGCACACATACCGTGGCAAAGGCCTTGCCATTCGGCTTGATGAGCTCAGCACGTGTCATTCCACGAGCAGCCTTGGAGAAATAGACACGCGCTGCTGGCCGACCAGCCACCACCCCCCCTAGAACTATCTCATCCCCCTGACCTACACCATAGCCCACCTCCTCCTCCTCCTCTCCTTCCCCGCCTTCCCCTCCTTCCTCCCCTCCAGCATAGCCCTCCTCCCCTTTTGCCTCAACCCCTTCCTCCTGCCCCTCCTCATACCCTTCCTCTTCTGCCTCCCCTTCCTCCCCTCCCTCCCCTCCCTCTCCTCCTTCCCCCCCCTCCTCATAGTCATCCTTCTTTGCCTTCTTCTTTTTCTTCTTCCCCTTCTTGCTCCTCGTGTTCCGTCCCCTCTGCTTCTTTGGTCCCAAGATCCAGTCACTGCTGCTCACTGCTGCCCCCACAGCTCCTGAAAAGGGGAGAATTTGAGAGAAGCATTGTAACAAGAGGTGAGAGGTTCAGAAATCGAAGATACCCACCTCTGAGAAAGCTCAGCGAATGCCATACCTGGCTGGGCTGCAACGAGGAACAAAGTGGAATACCACAGCACGGAACATCACTGACATCACCCCCTGCTGCTTCTTGGGAGGAGGTGCGCTGGCGCCTGCATGCGGTGCTGCGTAGAGTGCACAGATGATTCACTCTTGACCAAAAAAAAAAAGAGTCAAACCTGGCTGGGCTGCAGTGAGGAAGAATGTGGAGTAGCCCAAAGGAGGCACCTCAGCACGGAACACCACTGACGTCACCCCCTGCTGCTGCTCCACTGGAGGCACGCTGGCGCCTGCATGTGCTGCTGCGTAGAACGTGCGGATTACTGGACGAGGGAGGAGGTCTGGGATGAGCTGTGATGGGATGGGCTTGTGGGTCGAGTCTGTGACAATGACCGAGGGAGCGGAGACCTGATGGCAGGGGGTGATGGGTACGGCGAGGGGAGGGAGAGGGAAGAGAGGAAGGAAGAAAGGGAGAGCGGCGGGAGAGGGGAGGAAGGGAGAGCGGCAGGAGAGGGGAGAAAGGGGGAGCGGCAGGAGAGGGGAGAAAGGGAGAGCGGCAGGAGAGGGGAAAAGACGAATGGAGGGCAGGGGAGGGACATGCTTGGGTGGGCAGTAGCGGATGGTTGCAAGAAGGAAAACTGAGGGATGAGGTGTAATAGCACAGACTGGTGGGTAAAGTTGGTGGGGATGATAGAGGGAGTGGAGTGGAGAGCAGAGAGCGGATGGCAGGAGGGCGTGAGGAAGGAGAGGGTACTGAAAGAAGGAGACGAGGGGAATGTGGGATGGGAGGGGAAGGGGAAGAGAATGATACTGGGAAAGGGTGGGAGGGTGCGAGGAACAGTGGAGTATAGTGAGTTAGCACTTGAAAGCAGGTGGTTTTCGGAAATCAGAGCTAACACAGGGAAGGGCTCATGGCTTGAATATTACCTGCTGAAACTCAAAAGGATGCTGGAGATAGGAGCTTACTGGAATGCGGATGATTTCAGTGCGACCCCAGGCAAGGGGATTGAAGGCGACCACCACCTGATGCAAGGGAGGATGGGGGGGAGTGGTGGTGGTTGGGGATGAGACAAGCGGTGGTGGGATGGCATGGCATGGCACGGCATGGCACAGCATGGCACAGCATGGCAGCAGTGTGCCGTCAGCTGGCTGGAGCATCGGCTGTTGAAGCACAGCTAACAGTCACAATCCTGATGATGAGCAACGTGCCCCATGCACAACGCACCAGATGAGGTGGTGGGACTCACCAGAGCGTCAACTCGCTAGGGGGTCAACTTAAAACGGGTAGAGGTTACCAGGAAGATTGACTGATTGAGGACTCACCAGGGTCTTGCCGGGTTCAAGACCAGACTGCGAGGGTGGGCAGAAGGAGATGTTCAGCAGAGGGCACTGCAGGGAGCAGGAAAAAGGGGAGAGGAGGAGGGAGTAGGAAGGGGAATTCTCTGTTGAAACATGCACAAGTTTAAAGCAGAAGTTTCCAGACATCTGGGAGAGATGACAAGGAAAACAGTCCCATCAAGGGTGTAAGAGCTGCTGAAACATGCAGCTCTTCATCAAGAAAGAGGCTCGACACCAAACCAATCTCTTCCATCACCAATCCTCCCACCAACCACACTTCAATCCCCACTCACCGTCTCGAGCAGCAGCTTCGGCTTCTCCTGCAACCGCCTCCCCCTGTTAATACCTTCTTCCTGCAATGAGCCCTGTGTTTCAAGAGGAGCACGATGTGGCGTTGCGCTGGTGTTTGCAGGCACAGCCGCATCTGGGGCAGCAGGCTCGTCACCAGCAGCAGCAGTATCCGCACCAGCAGTGGCAGGTTCCTGGGGAGTGACACTAGGAGCAGTGGCGGCGGCGGCGGCAGCGGTGGCAGCAGCACCGGTGCCAGCTGCAGCAGGCCTATTGGCGGGAGTGGCAGCAGGCGCCGCATGGGTGGGACCTGGTGCAGAGGAGTTGGTGCCGGTGGGAGGCGAGGGAGAAAGAGGAGGCGGCGGGTGCAGAATGAGGTATGCCAGGGCGCTGGTGAGAACAGTGGAGGCCTGGCGTGGGGAGAGGAGGGCAGGTGAGGGGAAAACAGAGTCAGAGCTTCAGGCTGGGGAAAAGAGGAGGAACAGGAGAAACAAGGTGGGGGAACAAGTGAGGGAAAACTGTGGAAAAGGGGTTCAGGGATATGCATAGTGTGCGATTCCTTGGTCTGAGTGCGCTTACCACCAAACAACCTCCCAATTCCTCACCTCCTGTGCTGCTCTGTCATCTCAGCCCCCTTCTCCCACTCCTTCCAACACCTCCAACCTCCCAGTTTCTCACCTCCTGTGCTGCTCGGTGCAGGCGGAGTGTGTAGTCATCATTCACGTGCTGCTGGGCCGTGCCTGTGATGGCATCGTGGTGCTGCACCACTGCCACTGCCTCCCCCAGCGATGCTGTCGACGCGGCCCGAGCCTCCCGGCTCCCAGCACCAGGAACACCACCATTACTATCCCCACCACCACCACCACCGGCACCAGTAGCAGCAGCAGACCCGTATCCTGCACCAGCATTGCTGTCTCCGCCGCCACTCCCACCCTCCCCAGTTGCCACACTAGGCGCCTCCGAGGGATGGAAACTCGCGACCATCATTCTGCCAGCGCCAGATCCCACAAGATTCATCCCGTCGGTGTCGCCTCCCCATGCTTGCAGGGCCTCTCGCCCCACTGCTGCTTCCAGAATACTTGCTGCTAGCAGCAGCGCGCTGCAGGAGCGCACGTAGCGCTTGAAGGCTGGGCGAGAGGAGTAGAAGCCGGTCCAATAGGCGTGCGGTGCATCAGCATATCTGCATGGTGGGGGTGTGGGTGGGGAGGGGAAAAGAAGGGGGTGGAAGGGTGTTAAGACGTCTCAAATCTCAGAAAACGCTGCACACGCGCACGTAGCGCTTGAAGGCTGGATGGGAAGAGTAGAAGCCGGTCCAGTAGGCGTGCGGTGCGTCGGCATAGATGCATGGGGGAGGAGGAAAGAACGGGGTGGGGAGGTAGGGGGGAAGAGGATGAGAAGGAGGAGGACGACGAGTCTTGTCAGCATGCTGCCTTGCCTCAAGAGCAGGCTGCATTAGCATGAGCACTGCAATGCATGCACTACTCACGGGAAGAAGTCGCCAGTCTTGACCGGCCAGGTCTCCTCAGCTTGCTGCTTGGCGTCCAGATAAATTGAGGGCGTGGAGTAGAGGGCGTTGACCCGACCGTCCTGGCAGGGGTGAGGGAGTGGATGAAAACACACGTTGCAGAGGGGACGTGCATGGCATGGCATGGCATGGCATGGCAGAGCGAGTAGAGGATGTTGACCCGACCATCCCGGCAGGGGTGAGGGGGTGGATGAACACACGTTGCACAAGAAGATGGGCCTTTTTGAGTTGACTCAAGCCCCAGGGCAGCGTCGACTCCCCTCACAGCCCCCCCAAAAAGCGTCGACTCCCCTCACAGCCCCCCCAAAAAGCGTCGACTCCCCTCACAGCCCCCCCAAAAAGCGTCGACTACCCTCACAGCTCCCCCAAAAGGCGTCGACTCCCCTCACAGCCCCCCCAAAAAGCGTCGACTCCCCTCACAGCCCCCCCAAAAAGCGTCGACTCCCCTCACAGCCCCCCCAAAAAGCGTCGACTACCCTCACAGCCCTCCCAGAAAGCGTCGACTCCCCTCACAGCCCCCCCAAAAAGCGTCGACTCCCCTCACAGTCCCCCCAAAAAGCGTCGACTCCCCTCACATACCATACCCTACGTCGCATCACACCATACCACACCACACCACAACATGCCACTGACCAGGTTGACTTAGTGAATGAGCTTGTCCATGTTCTTGAACCACATGAAGCATTACCCTACCGCATTGCATCACACCACACCGTGCCACTCCAGCATACCAGGTTGACGTAGTGAATGAGCTTGTCCATGTTCTTGAACCACATGAAGCATTACCCTACCGCATTGCATCACACCACACCGTGCCACTCCAGCATACCAGGTTGACGTAGTGAATGAGCTTGTCCATGTTCTTAAACCACATGATGGCGTTGGAGTAGGCAAAGTCCTTCCCCATGGTGAACATCACATGGTTCGACCGCGTCACCTTTGCCTGCACATGAGGGGTTGGAGATAGGCACAGGGAAGAAGCGCATCCTGACAAGGGCTGTCACAGCTGTGAGCATAATGTGGTTGGTCGGAGCAAGCATGGATGGACATGTATTTCAAGAATCACAAAGACGTTGTTCAGGCATGCACATTTGCAGTGCAGCAATTGACAGGAGACGCTTTACGCACGAGCATCCAGTCATACCTGCTCCCAAGCTTGCTGGACAAACAGGCCGACAAGCTTCCGGATGTTTGACTCCCCTGATTGCGGATCATCCTGTAACGAGGAGTCCAGGAAGGGACCAAAGCTTAGAGCTGGCGGACAAGATCATCACAGAAGAATTTTTTCTGTTGCCGAAGTGCGGGGGAAATTGGGGAAACTGAAAGACAGGCGTGTTGGCATGTGTCTTTGCCTGACACGTGCCCCACATATGCCCCACACACGCTCCACACATACCACACACACACCACACACATACCACACATGTCGCCCCACACATGCCCGGCATGTGCTTTGTCTTACCTGGACAAACGGTGGAAAATTAAGGTCCTCACAATCAAGCCCGGGAGGAGGATCGTACATCCAATAGAGGTGCCCACCAAACACCTGGTCAAGACAGCCAGGTTGTAAAGATTCTTGAAAGTGGGTACAAGAATAAGAAGAATATGGTGTGACAACAGCAGTCCTTACATGCAAGAATGCCATGAAAGCCCCGACTTTGCAGAAGAGTGCTTACCTGGGCCGATTTCCCAAATGTTTTAGATGCGCGCCACACAAACTCTTCCTTCTTTTCTTGTTGTCGATTGGCAACATCTTGATAGTCTGCCCGGGAGAAAAATATTCCATCAAACCCAGCCTGCTCATATGCGAGGCTCAACAGTATACAGGCACAAACAGCAGGTTAGAAAGATTGAGGAAGCGCGTGGGAGGTGGGAGGAGGCGGAGAGGGGGCGGATCGAGTTGAGGGGAAATGTTATATTTACAGAGGGAGGTCCGTGGAGTCAAAAGGTACTACATGGAAAGAACAATTATGTAACGTGGGTAAACCAGAAACCCTCCTTCCTATTCCCCTTCCCACCTGAGCAGTGATGAGACTGGCTTGAGTTGCCGAGTGGCCGAACGGGTCAATCTGCCATGCAATGCGCGGCGTGACGTTGAACTCGGAGCGCAGGAAGCGCAGCCCCAGCGACATCTGGTGGACCATGTCGGTGTAGTGTGTGCTGGCCTCGTCGTGCATCACCCACCCTCCGTTGCTGCACGCACGAGGCAAGTGAGGGCATGGGAGGGGGGAGTGGGGGAGGGGAGAGAATGAAGCGCAGCCTAATTGACATCTGGTGGGCCATGTCAGTGTAGTGTGTGGTGGCCTCCTCGTATATCACCCACCCTCCGTTGCTGTCATGTAAGCAGGAGCAAATAGAATAGACAACAAGTTACTGCAGATTCAGACGAAAAAAACTTCAGTGAAAGATGACTTTCACTCTTATTGATTATCCGTTTTTGTATCCTTTACCATTTTGAAGGCAGGTAAATCATTAGAGCCAACAATCAAAGGAGTAGATTCTAAACGATGACAATGAGAATGAGGTTAACTGGCGTACACGAATTCGAGTTGACCTGATGCAACCAGAGCACGCACTCTCTTGCGCATGACCTCTCGCTGCTGCTGCCACCATCGATAGAAGAATGCCTGGAACGAAAGGAGGGAGCGTTGGAAAATTATCCTGGTTCACCTCAGATTGTTTGATGTGACAAGGCTATTCTGGAACTGAAGTCATGATAAGTTTGAATGTGCGACATGAACAGCCTGAGATGGATGGTTAGCCTAGAATCAAACTGACAAAGGTTGAATATCCCAACGACATGTTTCTCCTGAGATTAATGAACACTTTTAGCCTGAGATTAGTATGAAACGTTTCACGGTTAGTTAGACTGACATGGTCAGCATTACAAAAACACACTGTTGGTTCCCAACGCTGGCCACTCTCACCTGCTCCACCTGAATGAACTTGCGGTCAGGGTTTGCCTCAAGCTGGTCAATGACAGTCTCGATAATGTACTGTACTGATGTAACCTGCACACATTCACAATAAGATTTTCAAAATGAATAATATCGTGCATTAGTGTACCAATCTGAAAGTCACAGATGACTGTTACACAGTGTGATAATCGTTTTCACGAGAACAGGCTCAGTTCAGGGGAGTTTCTGGACCTTCTGGGAGAGGGAACTCACGTAGTACTTGTCAATGGTGCTCGTCCATCCCAGGTCATCGTGTGAATGTGCTACCAGATGCACGTTCAGCTTGCTTTCTACAGGTCCTGCGTCCGTGTTATAACGAATCTCTTCATTAGCAGCGAAGATCGAAGCAGAAGAGGCCAGCCAATCAGGGTTTCCCACGTGTTGGGCGACGGATTGGTTGTCTGGATTCATGAAAGCAAAGAGGGACGAAGAAGCGATGGGGAACGAAATGTTCCCTCCGGTCATAATCTGCTGAATTGTCAATAACGTAGCGCCTGCCAGAATCCCTATCAGGAAAGGCAGAGCGGCCGAGGCCGTACGACTCAGAGGCATGGCGGCTAAATCGATGACCGCCTTCGTTATAGCAATCAGATACAACACAACGTAGGTCAGGAGCTTTGTCTCCGTTAGAAAAACCACGGTGCAGGATAGGCCATCACCCCATGGACCCTGCACAAACAGCTGAAAGCTTCACGGTCATAGCGTTTGAACCATGATGATCATGAACTAGCTCGACCAACCGTGAATCTCGGGGGTGCTACGAGGATGTTCATCAGGTGGAAATGCTTGGCGCTGGAAAAATGGTCGATGTCCCGCCTCCATCGATGGCCAACCAAATTGCTCGATACAATCGAAAACACAAATAGTTACGCAACACTGTACTAATGTGCCTCGCATCAGCTAATTCTAATTCCAAACAAAACCTATTGCTGGATTCTTTACTGGCTTCATCAATGGCAATTTCTCCTTGTGTGTGTACTCAAATCTGTAGGCGTAATCGGTGCTAATGCAAAGCATGATTCATGTCACGTTTTGCTGCATTATTTTCAGCCCTATAAGCAATGCTATAAGCATGGCATAGACCTTCGAAACTGTACAGAGTTTCTCAATGCGTACAAACCATTCACCCTTGAGATGAGAGTGGGCGGGCACACTGTAGGGGGCCAGATCCTCCCAACACGTGATTGGCTCCGGTTTGGTCGAATATATTTCTTCCAAACCACAGGCGCAACAGCCAACTGAACGGCGCATCTGATCTACTTCCCCGACAAACAAATAGGACCAAAACAACCAGAGACAGTACGGTTCAGCAAGTTTTTACGTGTCTGAATGGCAAAGCACACAGAAAAATGGACAAGTAAAAGAGCAGCATGGATGCCTTGAGTAGATTCGGTTCAGAGGACAACTGACCCACCCACCACAACGATATCCCCCACAGATCTTGTGTAGTTGGATACCTAAATAGCTGCCGAGCAGGTCTAAACTCGGCATTACCGGGCATTTGTCCAGTCTGCTTACGAATGATGTTTCCGCGGAAAGGCCATGTGACGCTGAGCTGTATCGGCTTGTCCGCTCTCTCACGTCAGGCGGTGTTAGTTAAGTGTGTCCCAGTAGTCGCCTCAGCTTCTTCTTCAGTCCCTTCCAGAAGCATCAGCGATCCAATCCCCAAACTTCCACCAGACTGTCGAGTGGAACATCACGTGAAGCGACGAGGCCCATGACGTCAAGCACGCGATTCGGGGCGCTGCTACTATCAATCCGCGGGTCGCGGCTGGTTACGACGAGCCAGCCGGTTTCAAGTCTGAACTGTCGTCTGTCGGTGCTAGTACAGTCTACGCAATTTGTGGTTTTAAATTCGCCATTTATCATGGCGGGAATATCGTCAAGCACAATGATTCGCCCCGGCGGAGAAGCCACTGTGCATGCTGCAACACCATCCAGGACCTCAGGTCCTCACACCCCCACCCACAGGTTCAGTTTCAGATAGTTTCATGCCCCATTTTGCGGACACTAGAAATGCTACTAACAATCTTTTTCTCGAATGGCAATCTCGAGTCCGCTCATGTCCTCACGATTTAGCAACAGACTGATCTGAGCAGTCATTTGCGCCGAACACGGAGCTCTCACCCACTGCATCAACTCGGAAACTCGTTAGTAACGATCCACTCCGTGACAGTGGCTTTTACTTCCCCTCCGCGTGACCCACTGCGTCAGCCATTCAAGATGATTCGCATTTGCCTGCCCTCCGCGTTCCTACGTCTCGCGGACGAGCACGAGGGGGAAAACCGCGCAGCCCCCTTCGCCTCCTCAGAGCGCCGCGTTAACCCCTCCCACTCGCTTCCCCGGGTCGACGATCCTGCTCGCCCTCAGGGCGGCGAATTCCCTGCCTTGGCGGTAGCAGCGCCTTCGAAAGACACGCTTCCATCATCAAGAGACGCGTCACCGTGCAACGGGCGTGATCTGCTGACTGCTGCTGCTGTTGAGCGGAATGATGCTGAGAGGAATTCTGCAGGGTGGGCTGATCGCGTTTCTCTGGAAGCAGGCCGGGCCTCTTTGGACGCGCAGCAGCAGGGAATGAGCCGCATGCCACCCCGCAGCCCCAGCGGCAGCGGCCGCGTCTCCCTGGAGGAATCTTGCTGTGGCCGCTCCTACCGCTGCGACAACATGTGCTTCCGAGGCCTGGAGGCGTTCCCGGGAGAGCCCACACGACGATCTGATGCCTCCCCGCACCCTTCAACGCCCAAGAAGCCGCTGGGAAGGAAGTCATCGAGCAGCATTCCGCGGGTCATGAGCGACGTTGATCAGATTTCGGCGCGTTATTCTGACCCGGTTCACATTCGTGGCGAATCTGATCGGTATCGCTCCCAGGGAAGGACTTGGGGCTCTGCTCGGGACACTGCTTACAGCCAGTCCGCCAGTTTTGCCAATTTGGGTTCTCTGAGCGCCACAGGCAGTTTCTTGGAGACGCGTGATTCAAATCACCGCAGTGCGTCAGGTTTGGGTCTCTGCACTCGCTTGCAAAGCAGCCACAGGCACTCCTTGGGAGCGTCTCTCTCGGAACTTGCTCTGATTGAGGAGGCCCTGGGTCTCTCACAGCAAGACAGCCTCCACGCAGACGACTTGAGAACAGAGGACCATTCTGATCCGGGTCATGTTCATGGGGATTCACTCTGTGGGGGGTGTTCTTGGCGTGCTGCTGAGCTGGCATGCAGCCCGATGTGGGTGGATAGTGCCAGGTCACGGATTCAGGAGGCAGCACTGGCTGTGGTGGAAGCACAGCAGGCAGCTGTGGAGTTGAGTGCGCGGATTGATGAGGCAGAGGGACGTGCGACAGGAGGGCTTGCAGCGAGGGGACTACCAGGATTGCCCTCCCCTGTGACAAAGAGGAGCTTTGATGGAGTGGGAAGTCTAGGGCATCGGACAATGGAAGGAGGTATCGGTTCACCCAAAGGAGCCTCACTTCTTGCAGCCAACAGAACAAGAAGTGAAGGGTCGTACATTGGCAGAAGAATAGCTAAACTGTTCAGCATGACAAAGGTTTGAACTACACGATATTTTTCAGTAGATGAGTTCTGAATCTCTTGCACTATGACAGTTATATTTACCATTGAGCATGATTGAACTAGAGAAAGTTATTAGATTGTGTTAATCAGTAGATATTCAGAGAGTGTTACGGGTGCAATGAATCGAAGTAGCGAGGATTGCACTAAGGTGTCGAATGAGTACAAAGATGTGAGCGAAGGCATGAGCGAACATTTATATGCGAACATGCAAACGGTAACGCGGTGCGTGCGAGCTAGCTAGTGCTACGCTGGCAGCGAGGCTCGGGCTAGTCCCGAAGCGTAGGCCGACACGGCCGGGCCAGCAGTGCGAGGTTTGGCAAAACAGTGCGCGCGAAGTTGGCGAAGTCCCGTTAGCAGTAAAGGGTGAACAACGGCTGTTGCTGTACGCGATGTAGTCGGGCCCCGTAAGGAATGCCGAGAAAATTCCTAGTCTCAACTCCTCCCCATATCTAAAGCTTTGAAATAAAATGCACAAGAACCGTGTTAAATCGCGAGAAAACTGACAGATTCGTGTACTCGCAGAACACCTCCCTATCCTGTCTTCACTCCCCCATACCGAAACAGCTGGCAGGGAATGCGAGAATATCGTGACATGGCAACCACCAGAACTGCCCTGCACAACCGCTCGTAACACGTCATGCGACACGGAGACCTGAGTCACCTCACACACCAGTGGGGTGCTTATTTCCTAACTGGCGTATCCATGTTTCTGGCTCTTCCCGCTTTCCCGCCACTTACAGCTGTACTTGCCCTTGTTGAGATATCCCACAAGGGGGGCCAATAACAGCGCTGACTGTGTGCATGTCCATTCCATACACTTCGACCATTCACAAATTCGATTTTGATCCTGCACTCATTGCCAGTCCGTAGTGAATTCTGCTCGGCCCCAACCTCGCATTTCACTCACACACACCAAGCTCCCAGTCTCGAATTCTTGACAGAGAGCCGCCGGGAGTGGGGGACTGGCGTCCTGCCGACCGAGGGGGTGTGTTGCGGAGGGATTATTATGGGTTCCCGAATGAAATACGTATGAAATCTTTGACGAGAATGGGAAGTGTGGTAAAGGAAACTTCAGGGGAAGGGGGATGAGGGGGAGGGCCTGCTAATGTCTACAGTACTATTCTACTGTATACGCGCGCGGGGCTTGTCAGGGAGGACGGGTGCGAAATGTTCCCTTCGTCCGCGATTGGTTCTTCGCGTCGGTATTTCGAGAAAATATCGCTCCCGCCAATGGCGCTCTAAGCACGTTCTTGCACACAATGACAACGGCGCGTGAACCGGGACTGAACGGCGTGTACACACCACACTGTACGGTCTGAAAAGGCATGCAGTTCAGTGCACTGCACGTACGTAGGCGTTATCCCTTAGCTGTTCAGTCCCGTGAGCACGGCTGTTACACCTTCACTCCAGTCCTTCAGTGCGCGCCGGTTCATCGTCTTTCCAGCTGTCTCCAAGCCATCCCCGCAGTGGCCATGAGGCAAATGGGCGTGACATGAGTTTTTGGGCTAGATTCAGACGTGAACGACAGTGATTCAGCTCTTCAACCCTTCACTGGTCATTCTCTATGATATCAATGTAGTGGTCTGGTGTGTTTCTCGTCCATTCAGTTACTTTCGTAGCTACAAGCACCACCCGCGGTTATTCCGTGCATTGGCAATGGCGGCGGAAACCTTAGGTGGCTCCACGTGGACGATTGGCCGTTTAGGTGCCTCCAAGAATTCCTCGCGCGATTTAGCTATGTCGTGGGAGCACGACGGTGCGTGGGAGCTTCGTTGCGACTGTGGAGCTCGTTCAAGTAGTAGTAGCAACTTTAAATGCGACACTCCAGGCAGAGACGACGGCATCGCCGACGGGGTGCGACCAGCCAGCCTCCCGTCGCACGTGTTGTACGCTGACGTAAGCCTTCTTTCCCGCCGTTCCGACGAAGTCAGCATGCGACAACGGCGCTCGTGTTCCCGTCGCACGTCGTCGTGCAGCGACATCAGCATCCTGTCGCCCGTGTCGTCCGTATACTCGCATGACGACGCGAACCGGACGTTGATGTGCGTGGAATGCTCGAGACTAGACGCGGAGCTGGCATGCGATCCATCGTGGATTGACAGCGCACGTGCGAGAATTAGCGGGGCGGCATTGGCTGTCGTGGAGGCGCAACAGGCAGCGGAAGAGCTGAGCGCGCGCGTAGACACAGGCGCAACACTCCCCGCGCGCATAGGGACCCCTGTTAACCTCCGCCAGCTTTGCATGGGAGAGGGCCAGGGATCGAATCTCAGGAGTGGTGTTCAAAGAGGGGTGAGGGGGAAGTGCGGGGAGGACATAAACAAAAGTTTAGATGCTGAGAAGTGCACAGCTTTATTTGATCAGATGGTGGACGAAGAAGAGGAATTTGGAGGTTCAGTAGATGATAAGGTGACCAAGCTGAGGGGGCTGGGTCTTGGGTGGGGGGAAAAGATGGTGTTGGATGACAATTGTGAAAAGGGGTTTGCTAAAAATCATTGTGAAAGCAATGGAACTCAGGACAAGAAAGCCAGCCGAAGAAGGCACAAGGTTAGGTTTATTATTGGTTGGTTTAGTATGGTGGTCAAAGATTAGAATGTAAATAGAGAATACGTGCATTCTGTGCATAATTTATTATAAGCCTGTTTAGATTGTTATGGTAGCTTGTTGTTCATGCAGGTTCATGATGGTCCTAAGGACGCGTTGAAAGTGCAAATATCGCAGGATCGTCTGCATATATTGATCCCCAAAATCGAGTGAGCAGATCGTTTGGCGAAACGTGGCGACCGCGAGGCTGTAACGATCGCGGCTGAAAATTTACAGATTTCCCGCGAACAGTGATCAATCGCATCTCACACTGTACAGAAATTTTGACCAGAAAGCGTACTGTAGCATAGTTTACAACAAAGCTAATAGGGTAACCGATCCGCAAATCGATCGCTACTGACGATCGATCGTCTACTTTCACCGCGTCCTGAGGCTTGTTTGTTCTGGATGCATCCCAGCAGAATACCCGATACCGCCGTAAGGGCGTGTGTCCTTCGGATCGAACTTTGGCAAAAGTTCGATTTTTTAAAGAGGTTCTACACGGTATAATACTTTAAAAAAAGGTTTTTCCACGTTTCAAAGTGGTTAAAGTTCGAACTTTGACAATTTTGGGCCGAAGAACACACGCCCTTACGAGATTGTCGCCTTTGCCGAGATTTTGCTTTCGCCAGAAACCCTCCTCCCTCGTCTTTCCTTGATCCTCCCAAGATTGCGGATCATACCACTTATCAAATGGATTGGGGAATACACCGCATTCCACCGTTGCGCACCAGAGTGAACCCACCAGTCAACCGTAAGCCAACCAAATGATTCCTGCTTAGTGCTCACATCATTGGCTTTTACCTAGAAAAATCATGACTTCAGCACCTGGTGTCTTCGCATACCAGTCTTCAACTTACTTTGATCGGCCTGTGAATTGACTTAATATCTGCATGCGAGCTTACCTTGCGCGATTTTTAAGGAGGTATGGCGGATCAATGGCAGGCAGCGCAAGCAGGCGCGTCGCAGGCGGGAGCCATGAGCGCCGGGAGCGAGCCGGCCAGCAGCACAGGTGCCTATGCGCCGTCACACCAGGTGCTGCCGCCGGAACCTTCCACGAAACGTGGTTGCGTTGCATTTATCTGTCCTCTAGATCCTCACTTGATGGTTCCATGCGTCGCGTCGCGCGTGAACCCTCTTGTTTGGTGTCTTCCGTGTTTCGGGATTGAGCCTCTTTTTCAGCAACCATGATTGCTCGCTCTGTTTCCGGTTCTTACAACAACGCAAAAGAAGAAATTCTGAAGAAAAAAAACGAGTTACGGAAGCCCTCAGGCTGACATGCGTGGTCGCCGTGTTTGCTTCTGTTTCAATCTGACGCATGATGGCGTCAGCAGGGTTGGGACGCGAGCGGAGCGTGGGGTTACCAGCAGCAGCAGCAGCAGCAGCAGCAGCAACAGTCGCAGGAGACTCAGCTTGGCGGTATTGTCTTTCCGCTAGTCTTCCGGATTCTTGATTCGCCTCGTAAATCGTTTTCGCCAAGTCCCTCTGATGCGTCGAAATCGCTTTACAATAACGACTTGTTATCTTCCATGTGCGTCAAGTCGAGTCATATTGATTTGTTTTGCTTCCATCTCCGTGCGTCATTACCCGCGTCGCGTGTCAGTGAATCGTGCATCGCCTTATTAATGGCTCCGTGGATCCGTGCATCAACCCGTTTATGACACTCTTAAACTCCTCATGACTCCCTTGAACGTTCACGGCTCCCTTGAAGTGTTCACGACTCCCTTAAACCGTTCATGACTCCCCCACCCCGTGTATCAGGGGCGGAGCTCGACTGGGCGGCCAAGGCGCGGCTCTGGGCGGAGCAGCGGGCGGCGCAGGAAACGGCGGACGCGGCGGCGGCGGCAGCTGCGGCGGCAACAAGTAAAGAAGCAGCAGCTAACGAGGACAAGGAACCGCCGAAGCAGGATATTGCAGCAGCGGATGCGGGGGGGGGGGGCGCCGGGAACGCAACTGCAGGATGTGGGTGCGGGGGGCGGGGGAGGCGGGGGAGGTGGATACGGGGGGTATGTTGCTGCTGATGGGACGTATGTGGGTGGTGGGTACGGCGGTAGCACAGGGGCGGAACAGCAACAGCAGCAGCACCAGCAAGAGCAGCAGCAGCAGTACTATCAGCAGCATTACCAGCAGTATTACTACCCCCCGGAAATGCACCAGCAACATCAGCAGCAACAGCAAGAGCAGCAGCAGCAAATGTACATGTACCCACCTCCGCCTCCTTCCCACGGCCCTCCTCTCCCTCCCCACACTCTCCCGCCTGATCCCGCGTCGTTCTACCCGCCGCAATTCCCCCCTCCCCAGATGCAGTATCCCCCTCCGCCCCCGCAATTTCCCCCTTCGGGTCCCGGTAGTACGTACAACGGAGTGTACTCGGGATATGGGGATGCCAATGCGCCTGACGCTGCTGCAGCGTCAGCAGCAGCAGCAGGAGCGGCGGCAGCAGGCGGATTCCCCCCTCAGCACGCGCACGACCAGCACTACCCGCGCCTGCCCCCGCCGCCTCCCGCTCCGCCGCTCCTCTCCGCCCCGGCCCCCGCGCACGCCTCCGCGCTCCCCCCTCCGCCCGGCCCGCCGCCGCAATACCCCCCACCCGCAACACCAGCAACAGGGGCGGTAGCAGCAGCCGCGTACGTGCCGCCAGCCAATCAGGCAGCAGACATGTCAGTACTCTCACCAGCAGTGCTGGCGGCGGCACAGGCGGCAGCAGCATCTGCAGGAATGTATTTCGACCCGGCTGTATATGACATGGGCGGGGGTGGCTCCATCACTCCCGGCGCTAAACCAAAGAAGGTGGGCTGCGGGTGTTTGGGTTTGAAGGCGTCTCAAATTTGCAGGGATGTGCTTTGATCCGGCTGTTTATGACATGGGCGGGGATGTCTCTGTCACTCCTGGGGTTAAACCTAAAAAGTTGAGCTGCTATCGTCTGTTGAGGCGCCTTAACAATTCCTCTTACATGTATGCTTGTCCTCTCCCCGTTCTCCCCCCCACAAACCCCGCTTCCAATTACCACTACAAATGTCTTAGTGCTCCCCCCCTTCCCTCTTTCTGTTCTCGTTCCCGTTCTCTCCCTCCTCTCCAGCCCTTTCCTGCGCCCTCCAGCCTTGGTGTTTTCATAATGAAAGACGTTCTTTCTCACTCTTTCTCTCTTAAACTCTCCCTTCATCCCTCTCTCCCTTCCTCCCTCTCTCCCCCTCTCCCTCTTCCTCTCTCTCCCTTTCCCTCTCCCTCTTCCCCCCTCCCTCCCTCTCTTCCTCTCCCTCCCTCCCCTTCCCTAACCCATTCGCTCCCCTCGTAGTTATTGGACGAGGTCGTCAAGAAGAAGGCAGCCCTAGCTGCTGCTAAAACGCCCCCTGCTTCTCCTCTCCCTCATCCCCTTCCCCGTTTCCCGTGTCTCCATCTCTCCCCTCAGTCGCTCCCCTCATGGCTTGTGGACGAGGTCATCAAGAAGAAGGCAGCCTTAGCAGCAGCAGGAGCGGCAGACTCACCTGCCAAAGCCCCCCCCAAGGACAAATGGTACAACGATAGAGGCCCTCTCGCGGGAACTGGTGCTGGCGCTGGTGGTGCTGCGCGTGGTGCCTCTGGTCGTGGTGGTGGGGGGAGAAGGGGTGTGGAGAGTGATGATGAGGAAGAGGACGAGGAGGAGGAGACAGAGGTGCAGCGGAGGATGGCGATGAATAATGAGATCAAACGCGTGCTCACAGAAGTGCTGCTCAAGGTGGGTGAGATGTTGAGGTGAGGTGGGTCGCGTGGGTGCTTTGAGGGGATGGTGAAGAACTGTAACGTGCCCTATAGAGGATGGCGATGAACAAGCGCGTGCTGACACAAGTGTTGCTCAAGGTGGGTTCGATGTTGAGGTGGATGTGAGGTGGATTGGCCAATACTAGCAGGCTCGGCCACTATGGAGCCACCCTGAAAAGTAAAACGGTCTTTTCAAGAAGACCCTTCCTCCTGCAACACGGAATGTTTGCAGATATTCTTCTGCCGGCCAACAAAATCATTATAGCAACAGGGTGACGTTATATTGGTTTTTTTTGGCCGGCAACAGGAGAATATTTGCGAGCATTCCGTGTTGCAGGAGGGAGGGTCTTCTCGAAAAGACCGTTTGATTTTTCAGGGTGACCCCATAGCGGTATTGTTGGCCGAACCTGCTAGTATCAAAAATAGCTCAGAAATGGCATGTATGCTTCTTTCATCACGTTGAGAGCACACCCGAGGAATAGACCTCTTGGATGCAGCTTTTGAAGTTTCCCCTGCTTTTACGGTGTTGCTCGTATTTATCGTGACTTGGCGTAGCGAAGGACGTAATGAGTGGAAAGGGGAGGAGAGTTGCAGACGTTGCTGTCAGGTGCGTTGAGGATTGATGAACAAGTGCTCACAGGAGTGCAAGGTGGGTGAGAAACAGAGGGGTTTGCATGCGAGGGGAATCGCGTGCGAGGGGGGTTGCGTGCGAGGAGGGTTGCGTGCGAGGAGGGTTGTGTGCGAGGGGGGTCACATAAGTCACATGCTGAATCGCCTTTTTTTTTTTCAGAACATGTCCAAAGTCCTTTCCACCCCATTCCCACCCCCCCACCCTGCACTCTCCCCCCACACTCTCCCGCCCCCTCACACTCTCCCCTCTGCCCACACTCTCCCCCCCCCCTCACATTCTTCCCTCTGCCCCACATTCTCCCATCCGCCCCACCCTCTCCCCGCCCTCTCCCCGCCCCACTTTTTCCCATCCGCTCCTCACTCTGCGCCCTGCCCCATGCTCTCCCATCCGCCCCGACCCCTTCTACCTGCCAACAGGTGACTGACGACATGGTGAGGCGGATTGCCAAGGATGCTCTCAGGGATCCCCGCGAGGAGGAGGACGAGGAGGAGGCGGAAGAGGAGGAGAAGGGGAAGAATGTTAGTGGAGGGAAATGGGTGACAGTGGGTGAAGGGGAGGAGGATGAGAAGGAGAAGGAGGAGGAAGAGGAGGAGAAAGGGACCGGGGGGGAGAAGGATGGAAACAGGGGTATGGAGGTGGAGGAGAAGGAAGATGGGACAGCAGGTGAAGAGTCAGGTGAAAAACCAGGTGGGGCAGGCGTGGTTGAGGAAAACAGGGGGGTTGTGGAAGGAGGGGCAGGTGAGTTTGGGAGGAAGGGGGTGGTTGAGACGAGCAAGGCAACAGGTGCCGAGAGGAAGGCGAAGAGTAAGAGGAAGAAGAAACGGGCCGGAGGGGTTGGAGGGTTGTTGGGTGGAGGGCTGTTGGGGATTGCATATGGGAGCGATGAGGATGATGAGGATGATGAGGATGAGGAGGGGGAGGGGGAGGAGGAGGAGGAGGACGACGACGACGAAGAGGATGAGGAGAAGGAGGAGGAGGAGAAGGAAGAGGAGGAGGAAAAGGAGAAGGAGGAGGAGAATGGAGTTGTAAGGGATACAAAGGACAGAGGGGTTGATGGTGGTGATGGGGGTGGGAGTGCGGTGCCGAGAGACGGAATGGGGAGGGAGGAGCAAGTGAAGGATGGTGCGTTGGAGGAGGGGAAGGATGGGGAAGAAGGGGATGAAGGGGCGAAGATGGAGGGAAGGCAGGAGGAACGGGGCGATAAGAGCATGGGGCAGCAGGAGGGAGGGGAAGAGGTGCGCACAGGGGCGGATGATGAGGGGGAGAGGGGGAGGAGGAGAAAGTGTGGCGAGGATGATGGGGTAGGGAAGGGAAAGAAGACAGGGGAAGGGCGTGGGAGGGCGAGGGGAGAGGACGAGGGAGGGGAGGAGGAAAGCAAGAAAGGAAAGTCGGGCAGGAGGGGTGAGAGGGAAGATGATAAGGAGAAGGATGGGGAGAGTGAGGAGAGCGAGGGGAGGAAGGAGAAAAATAGAGGGGAGCATGAGAGGAAGGAGGGAAGTGAGAAGAGGCATAGAGAAGAGAGGGATGGGAAAGGGAAGGGGGGGGATGATGAAGATGGGTTGGGGTCAAGGAGCAAGCAGAAGAGCCGAGAGGCAAGGGAGTCTCAGGAGAGGAAGAGGGCGAAGGAGAAGGAGAAAACTAAAGAGAAGGATAAAAGGAAGGATGAAGAGAAGGATGATGGAAAAGAGAAGGAGAAGAGGAGTGGTAGGGGTGAGGAGAGGAGCAAAGAGAGGGATGAGAGGAGGGGCAAGGAGAGGGAGAAGGAGAGGAGTGTTGTGAAGGGTGGGGAGAGGGAAAAGGACAGAGACAGGAGGGGGAAGGAGAGAAAGAGGGATGGAGATGAGGAGGGGAGCAGGGACGAAAGCAGGGAGGAGGGCGGCAGGAAGGAGCGTAAGGAGGATGGCAAGGAGAGGAAGGGATCTAAAGGCGAGAAAGAGGAGGAGGAGGAGAAGGAGAAGGAGGAGCGTAGGAGCAAGGAGAAGCGTGAGAGGAAAGACAAGTCTGAAGGCAGGAGGAAGGAGGAGAGCAAAGAGAAGAAAGGAGAAGCTGATGCTGATGCTGACAGTGACGAGGATAGGAGTGGAGAGCGGGAGAGGGGAAGCAAGCACGGGCGATTGGAGAGAAAGGAGGCAGGAAGGAAGGGCAGGCATCGCAGCAAGTCGCGGTCCCGGTCCCGGTCCTGGTCCCCTCAACCCGAGCGCTCTTCCAGTGATGGGGACGAGGAGGGGGAAGATCGTGGCAGGTGAGCATGGGAGATGTGGGCATGTGCGAGTGGGCATGGGGGGTGGGGATGGGATGTGGGCGTGGAGGGTTGGGCATGGGGGGGGGGCATGTGGGGTGGGCATGTGAGGTTGAGTATGTGAGGGTGGGCATATGGGGGTGGGCTTGTGCAAGGGTGGGCGTGTGAGAATGGAGGGCGTGTGAGTGAGTTGTCTTGCGCTTATTAATATGTCTCTTGTTGCTGTTCCATTCCTACGGATCCATTTTTATCCGCCCTTGCATGATCCGTCCGTCTACCTGTCTTTTCTATCCTCCGTCTGAAACCCAGGCATGGGAAGCGTGGGAGCAAGGACAAGGGGAGGGAGCGAGAGAGAGCAGAGAAGAGCAGCGAGAAGGAGAAGGAGAGTAGGAAGGGGAAGGAGGAGAGGCGGGAGAAGGAAAGCAAGAGGGACAAGGAGAAGAGGAAGGACAAGGAGGGGGGCAAGGGAGAGAGGCATGGGGAGCAGAGGAGGAGCAGGAGGAGGAGTCGCAGTGTGAGTCGCGGCAGGAGCCGCAGCAGCAGCAGCCGCAGCCCAACTCCCAAGCGACGGTGTGAATTCTCTTTCTTTCTTTCTTTCTCAGTTAGCTGGTCTTATGTTAAATGCGCGGCACTAGCATCGAGCACACATGCCATGGCACTCTGCGTGCTCATACCCTTCGATCATACGCCATAGCGTCGATTATAGAACTTTCACCTGTTGCCTCTGTGCAAGTCTGAGCGTGAGTCTGTGCATATGTGAGTGTATATGCGTGAGCATTCGAGCGGATGCACCTGCACTCTCTCTGCAGTGCTGTCCCTCCCTCCTCTCACCCTCTTGTCCCAGCCCCCCTCTGGGCGGACCAGTTTGTCCTTCCTGTGCCGCCACTGCTTTCACACAGAGCAGCGCACGCCTCTCAGCAGACCAGCTCCCGTGCGCGGTGGCACTTTCTCAGCCTAACAACCAACACCCCCCCATGCGCGGTGGCCTGTGGTCGTGTTTCCGGGTCTGCGGGTTTCCTTTCCCTCTCCCTCCCTCCCACTTCTCTCTATGGTTCCGATCCTCCTCCCTGCAGGTATGCCCTCTGTCCATTCCCGATCTACCCTCCTCACCTCATTGCTCACTTCTCGTCCTTCTTTGTTATCTTGTTTCTGTCAAGAAAATTCTTGTCCTGTTGTTACGCGCACGAGACGGTGACTCTCACGCACGCGTGTGTCAACAGGCTCACATGCATTGAGCTTAAACAGTCAGCTTCCCCCCTTGCCCCCATGCTAGGTACCGGTCTGAGCGATAGGAGCCAGCGCGTTGTGTGGAGGCACAGGACTGCGCGTTCGGATCAAGTGCAGAGAGAGAATCGGATCTTGGGATTCTCGGTGCTAGTAGCGCTGGGCTGAGATGAGAGCAGATGGTAGTGTTGTTGTTTGCTGCTTAGGGAGTGGAACCTGAGTCTGGAACCAGTCAGATGTGTCTTGCATCCATGTTCTTAGGTTGGGACCGGAAGTTGGAGTGGAGGTGGAAGTAGGGGTTATTTGTGGGAGGAGAGGGGGTTCGTTAATGAAGAGACAGACTGTTGTGTGGTGTTTTGTGTGTCACTAGTGCACTACTGGTGTTGGTCTAAAATCTATTAGCATACATGATCGTTTTTGCAGTTAGTCCTCACCCGGAGTGTACATGAGCAGGAGAAACTGTACGAACAGGATCCAGAGTATTGCAGGGTGAAGAGCAGGTGAGCTGAGCTGCTTCTCAGCCGAGATTATTGTACTCCAATCCTAATATTTAGCACCTAATGTCCAAAAGTTCCAACCTAATTCTATCGTCTTGCTTTTACCTCCCCCCTTTGCCCCTCTCCTGAACCTGCCTGCGCTCCTTGCTGCACCCTCCCCTCCTCCTTTGTCCCCTCCTTCCTCCTCTCCCCTTCCTTCCTTTGCACCTCCCTCAACTTCTCCCTGTCTTCCGCCCTCTGCCCCGCCGCCCCTCCTCGCCTCCCCCTCCTCACACTCCACCTCTCATTCTCAAGCACAAGATACTCTCCTGATCGCGCTAGCAGCCGCCACTGCCGCGCTACAGTAGCAGCCTCTACAGTAACGGTGCAATTTGGCTTCATGCGGTCGTGCACTTCTACTGCCATCACCCGCACCTCATCCAACCACGGCCTAGGGTCGTACCAATCAGATTTCCTGCTGATGTCAGCTGTGCTACTGGTCCTGCTGCTGCTGCTGCTGCTACTGCCACCGCTGCTGCTGCTGCTACTGCCGCCGCTGCTGCTGCTGCTATTGTCACTGCCATTGCTGCTGCTTATTTCACCAGAGGCAGAGGAATCTGCATTCGATTCAGTCACATCCGAGTCGGATGCCATTGGTGGCATGGCCAGCACTTCAGCCTCGGAACCCTCAATATCCATCTTCACGAAATCAAATCTCGCCAACCCAACCTGCTTTAGCACATCGCCTACAGTCACAGCACGGATAGTAACACCCCCCTCAGCTGCCACCGTGCTTGCCACTCCGCTGCTGTTGCTGCTCTTCGCTTCACCCTCTACTCCCTCCTGAACATGCTCGTTAGTATCACCTTCGTTTGTATCACCGCTGCTATTAGAGGGCACTGGCGTAACCACATACTGCCACCCCTCCCTCGTCTTCGTTTGTGTCCCATTTCTTAGCAGCACCATCCCAGAGTGGTTAAACAACCCCGCATGCACCGCATAAACGTTGCGCAGGCGATACGTGTTACGGCGTAACACCTCAAAGTTCTTGTCGCTCGCCTCTATGGCGACCACAGTAGCGTTGGGGAAGAAGGTGGAGAATATGAGCGTCGCATACCCCACGTTGGCTCCTGGGAACGAGGAGAAAAACCAGCGGACGAAAAACGTGACGACGGCTTATCGGAAGGGCCAGAGGGTACAGCCGTATGTGTGGCGACAACCATAAAGCCGTCTTGTACTCAAGACTTGGAAGCAACAACCGGTTGAGTAGTAAAACCGGGGACCCGCGCATACCTGCGTCCAGCACAGTGGCCGGCCGGAAGTGTTTGATGAACCCGAACTCGTCCATCTCGATTAGCTGCTTCAGCACGCTGAAATCCGAGTAGTACGGGCGAATGTGCAGGGTGAGGTGACTTTTGAGTCGACTCATCAGTCAATCGGGAACCTAGGCGTACCTGCATCCAGGACAGTTCGCGGTCGAAAGTGTTTGATGAACCCGAACTCATCCATCTCGACGAGCTGCTTCAGCACGCTGAAATCCGAGTAGTACGGCCGCACGTGCAGGGTCAGCACGCACGGCGCGTGCAGGCACGGCACTTGGCCGTGCACCGCCGCCAGCGCGCACACGACGGCGTCGCGTGGTAACTGCTTTCGCACGATCTCCAAGGCGAGGTAGAGCTGCCGGTTCGTCTGCCACCGCCCCGCGTACCAGTACCGCGGCTCGTCTGGCGCGGAACGCGGAGCGACGGGGGCGATATAGCAGGCGCATTGGGGGGGGAGGGGTCAGAACCAAGGGGAGGAGGGGGACGAAAGAAGGGATGCGGGGAGGTAGGGGGAAGGAGGAAGGGGAGGGAGGGTAAGGGAGAGAAGATGTGGGGGAGAGAGATAGAGCTGGGACTTAGCCATGAGGCGGGAGTTACGAGCATGGCGGATCGATCTGGCGGAGAAAAATGGCGCGGAAAAGGGATTGGGGAAAGGGCGCTTGTTCAAGAGAGGAAGCGTCAGTGCATCTTACCTCGCCGCCACCCATGCTCTTCCGCCATGACACTGCTCAGCTCCATCGGACCCCACTGGACCCCTTTGGATCCCATTGAACCCACGTCGAGAGTTCTCAAATTGATACAAGCGCGTCAGTGCATATTACCTCGCCGCCACCCATGCTCTTCCGCCATGACCCTCTCAACTCCATTGGACCCCATCAGAACCACTTTAAGAATTCCCATCAGTGCCTCTTACCTCGCCGCCACCCGTGCGCTTGCGCCATTATGCTTCTCAACTCCATCGGACCCATCCCACACACGTCGCCCACGACTCGAATCCTCGCCATCTCCGCATCCGATATAGTCGCAACGTCGACCCCCGCGAGCGAGTTGAGCTGGCGCACCAGTCCCGTCGCTATAAGCGCGAGCGCGAAGAAGGAGAGCAGCGGGAGGCTGTTCGCGGCCCACGCCCACGACCGCCATGGCTTGCCGCCGAAGAGGGAAAAGGAGGAGGAAGGGGTGGAGTAAGGGGAGGTCGGAGGTCGCGGCGAGAATCCCGCCGAAGGGGGTCTAACGGGGGCTGAAAGGCTTCTGGTCGGCGTGCAGTGTATCGATTTTACGGGCGTGGTGGAGCCTTCCATGATGAGCTAAGCCGAAAGGGAGGATTTTTTTTTTTTTTTTTCCCAGTGGAATGTACAGCTACTGCAGCGTTTAGCGAGTATAGTCTCACAGCAGATGTGGATCTGGGGAAGCAACTAAAATGGCAGGCCGTGCGAATGGGAGTGTCTATATTCGTTGGATTGACTTTGGCGGAATGGACGACCTGAAGTGTCGCCCGGCGCAACTTAAACGGCAAGCGAGCGCCTTGCAGGATAAATAGACGATCACGCGGGCTCCTCTGTGGTCGACAAACTCTGTAAGATCGCTTGTAAGATGCTTCAGTGAGGTTTGGTATTTATCCTAAACGAAAACATTTCCATCAGGTTCGGCACAGAGGTTGCGCGGCGGAGGTTTCGCAACGTTCACCGCAAGACTTCATTCTCTGCGGTCTACTCTCTAGGTATGGAGGTTAGGGACAAGAACAGAAGCAAGAACCTGAACAAGAAGACAGCGCCGACTGTGGCGAGGATTCAGCAATCACAGTTACAACACGAAAGAGACTCTGGTTGCGAATCCGCCGACATAGCTGCGTGAAACTTGTGGTAGAGGCCAAGAGATGAATCGAGGCCAAAGAGGGTTGAAGGGAATGCTCTCTCTTTCTGAGTGAATTTGAGAAGAACAAATGTTCCTGCCACCAGCAGGAGAATGCGACGCGACCGATTTGTGCGGTGCGGGTCTGACTTCCTCGCAGTCAAACGCCTATTGGTTCGGAAAAATCGAGCGCCGTGTCCGGTGGTCTGCCCTCGTCTGAAGGGTTTCGGGATTTCACGCTCATTGGCCAGCGGGAATGTCGGGGATCAGGTTGTTCTGGCAGTGGTGTGACTGTATGAGGCTGTCTGGTGTCTAACAGCTCTGGTCTGGTTGGCTGCGGGTGCTGTACATGTTGTCAGAGTGCTACCTGTCATGCCACACATCTCTCGGCCAGAAGGGGGTGTACCGACCAAACCTCCCTCTGTGTGGTTCGCGAGATGGGCCCTACCTGCGGTCCTCTGGTTACTCCGAAACAGCAGATCGCACCTAGTCGTCGAGTTACCATCCCCATTTGACTTCGCTGAGACAACTGCGAAGCCCTCAAGCTTGCCAGGGTTGTCCTGTAAGCTGGAACCAATTTGACCGTCAGACGACCCATAAAACATTGACATTTGGCAAGAACATTGAAGCGAAAGCTTTGTGATTGGATAAATCGGCGTCTGTATGCGCTGGCACATCTTTCTGGATTACCCTGGCCTCTAGTTCCTTCTCAGCACATTCTCAAACTTAGCCCCTCATTTGCATTCACAAATCTCCATTAACATTTCAGATTGTAATCAGCCACCCGCAGGTTTAGTCTCCATTTATTTTAGACTCTCGGCTCGGTAGTCCCAAGAGAAAGGGAGGCAGAGGAACCGTATTCCACGCTGTACTCCTAGCGTTTAGCATCGGTGCTTCTTGGCAAATCAAACTAGTTTCTGAGCCATGGCATCCAGCACGCTAAGTGGCGTTCGGTTAATGGGAGTCATAAAAAACCATGGCCTTTCGAGATCATCAGGTCGGCATCATATGTCTCATCTCATTATCGCGTGAAGATTCGTTCATGTTTCATTCATCCCGTCGCCCACGCTTTCATGCTCAGTCATTCTCGGTCTTGACTGCACGGATTTCATAATACCATGTCAATTCTCACTATGGTGCCTCCAGTTTAATTGATTTAGCTCTTCTGTTTCTCTTCCTGTTACCAGCAGTCATGACCATCAGAAGCAATGGCGCAGTCAACTTGGTCCCTCTGCGTCTCCACACAGTTTCTAGCGCCTGTGCCACGTCATCTGCGTCACTGAAAACGAGACGATTTCGGTGCAGGTCTGTCACGGCGTCAGCAGGATCAGTATCGCAGGAAGAACAGCAGAGTGGTGCCTCGGATCAGCCACCCCTGGTGGTGGCGACGCGCGAGAAAGGCAAGAACGGCAAGCTGATGAAGGCACTGGTGAGTGTTGACATTCTGAACAGTTACTGTGTTCAAAACACAACGCACAGCGCTGAAAGTGCTGATGAGAAAAGGGCAAAGTCTGAGCTACAACTTTCTTCGGGAAACTTCGGGAGACTGCCATGGATGCACCCTCGTTTCTCGCCATGTGATGAACCTCAGTTGCAAATGCTCACATCCCAAATGAACGTCTCGCGCATTTGAGGTTGAGGGATGTGCCAGAGATAGAGCTGCCTGATTCAGCACTCAAGACGGGACCGCGTGTGTACAACAAAAACATTCAGAACGCAGCATTTCTCTCTGCTTGTTGTTTCTGGCAGAGTGCGAGGGGAGTGTCAGTGATGGAGCTGCCACTCATCCAGCACTCAGACGGGTCCGACACCCACCGACTGCCAGCCGTGCTTCAAGGTCACTCCACACGCCTCCCCGCCTCCTTGTCCCAGTCAGCTTTTTCTTTCCCCCCCGACCTTCCCTGTCCCCCCTATTTTTCCCTGTCCTATCCTCGTTCCTGCTTCTTTGAGCCTCCTAATCGTGCCCCTTTCAATCCTGGGTGCTTCCTCAGCGGTTTCTCATCCTGCTGCTTTTCTGGCCCGTGTCCTCTTCACTGCAGAAGAGGAGTTTGAGTGGATTGTGGTAACCTCGCCAGAAGCTGCGTCAGTGTTCCTTACTGGATGGAGGTGAGGTTGCATCACCACGCTGACATGCTCCGTTCCCGTCTTCGCACCTTGCATCTGCATCCTGCAATGATTTCACGCTAGTGCTCTCCCATCCCAATCGAGTCTGACTCCTTATTTCTACTGACTGCACACCTTCCTGTCATAACCCATCCACGCCACATCTCCTTTCTCCCTTAATGACACGCATGTTTTTTTAGAATTCTCAAAAAACACGCGCTTAATGACACGCATCAACGCCACCTGCCTCTCCCTTCCCCCGTCGCCTCTCAGAGCCGCAGGGTCGCCGGCGCTGAGGCTGGCAGTGGTGGGGGGCGGCACAGCGGAGGTGTTCCATCAGCTGGGCGAGCGTGAGAAGCACCTCCTGCCCGTCCAGTTCGTTCCCTCCATAGGTAACCGTCTTCTTCTCCCTTCAAAATTGGTGTTTAGAGTCGCCTGGCTCGGTAGAGTGCTTCTGTTGCAACTATGTGTGCATTTCTTATTTCCCCCCTCTCCTTCCTCTCCTCGCTCTCCACCTCCCCTGCTTCCCCAGCCACGGCCAAGTACCTGTCTGCTGAAATTCAAGGCGGCAACCGCCGGGTGCTTTTGGTGCAACTATGTGCGTTTCTTATTTTCCCCCTCTCCTCCCTCTCCCCCCTCTCCTCCCTCTCCTCCCTCTCCCCCCTCTCTTCCCTCTCCTCCCTCTCCTTCCTCTCCTCGCTCTCCACCTTCCCTGCTTCCCCAGCCACGGCCAAGTATCTGTCAGCTGAGATTCCAGAGATTCAAGGCGGCAACCGCCGGGTGCTGTACCCCGCCTCGGCCAAAGCCAGCACGGATCTCCGTGGGTGCTCTGGCCTGGGATGCAAGGAACGGGGGAGAAGGGGTGGGGGTAGGGGGGAAGAGGGTTGCTTGATTCATGGTCTGTAACTAGTAATTTTTTTTTTTTTTTTTTTTGGTCGGTGCTTCAAACATTTCTGTGCTTCTGTGTTTGACTGCAGAGAATGGGCTGGCAAGCAGGGGCTTCCAAGTCACGCGGCTCAACACATACTCCACGGTACGCGCCATGGCACTCACCTCGTTCTGTTACAGTCACAGCACTTCCCTCTGTCAGTTAAAACTGTTGGTTTTCCTCTCTGAAGTTGTTTTCATGTGCCAGAGAAAACCCCACGCATCGCTTCAACAATCTCACAGAACCCCCTTTTTGTGCCGGCTTTCTTCTGTCCCGCTTCCTCCATGGCTTGATCTCTCTATGTGTGTTTGGGCATGTGGGCATCAGGAGTCGGTGACCAGTGTGGACAAGGACACCATACAGAGAGCCGCCAGGGCTCCTGTTGTTGCTGTGGCCTCTCCCACTGCTGTCAGGTGAGCAGCATCGCACTCTCAACCCAAAGACAGACCATCTCCAGTCTCGCCTCTCCCCGCTTCCCACCTCCCTTGTCCCTCGCTCCTCTCCACTCTGCTTATCGCTCTCCTTGCCATTCGCCCCCTTCAACTCTCCCCACTCCCCTTGCCCTTCTCCCCCCACCTCCTCTTCTAACGTCCCTTGCCCCTCACCCCACCCTCTCCCTGTTACCCTAACCCCCCTCCCCAATCCCCACTCCCTTCGCTCATTGCATCTCCCCTTCCCTCCTCGCCCCTCGCCCCTCGCCCCTCGGCCCTCGGCCCTTGCCCCTCGCCCCAGGGCGTGGATGGAGGTGGTGGCGTCGCGCACGCAGTGGGACGGAGCTGCAGCATGCATCGGGGGAACGTCCGCCGAGGCTGCGAGAAAAGCAGGGATCAAGAGGGTGTTTGCACCAGATAGTCCTGGAATTGAAAGGTGAGTTTGTTCAGGACCACGCGCTACTCACTCTCTACAATAACCTCTGCTGTATCAATTGTCTCCTCAAATTATTTGCCTGCTCCTCGGCTGGCTTTTCTCTGCCCCTTCATCTCCCTCTGTTTCTATTTGCAGCTGGGTGACCAGTGTTATGGAAGCACTGGAAGCAGCACCTGCTGAAGCACAAATGTAGAAAACCAATTATTGTATTGTAAGCAAGATGTACTAAAAAACGCTGTGTTAAATTGATGAGTACGATTTGATGTGGTGTATCATGTGCCTTTCCACAATCATTTATTGATTGTCACTTCGGAAAGGGATTATAAAGCGGTGGGAGTGGGCCTGCAACGAGCTGTTCTCTGCGGAAATGGTCAACGAAACTCGAGAATTATGTCACTAAGGGCGCATTCTTTAGTTCCCACCAGCAGAAGTTTCTTCACGCGACTCGTATGTGTTGACGTGGCATTACTTCACATTTGAATGCTCCCTCACGCGGTCTGAGTTTCCCCACGATGACTCCAACCGGCCACGGTCGATATGACTGCTTTGTCCGTCATTGTCCGACATTACCGCACCTGCCACGTTTGCTCAGTTTTGACACTTCACTCTCAACTCAAACGACTGCTTCAAGCAGATCGACCTCAAAATACATTTCGCCCGCTGCCCGATAGGGAACCATTAGATGAGGGATGGCGAGGTTGGCTTGCTGTAAAGTCGATGAGGCTGGATTGTGTTCGGTTTAGGTCAAGCGGGAAATCTTTTGGGCAGGCGTGACCGTCAGGCTTGGCCGTTTGTGTTTTGCCTGACATTCGTCGTCGAGCCATCCGTATGCGAGCAGTGGCGCGAATTTCATTGGAGGCGAATTCGCTTCGATTGGATACCTTACATACGAACCCGGCGACCCCAGTCGCTCGCCAAAATGAGGCTCGGTGGTCAGCTTTGAAAAAATCGGCCTGGTGGGGGGAACTTTGATGCTGGAGGAACTTGAGACCGCGGTTTAATATCGCATCAACTGCCAGCTCAACTTCGCGAACACGTCCCCGAGATCGCCACGCCTGCCAACTCGACTTCGCAAAAACTGTTGGAGAATCGAGTCTCTGCCGCCCCAGCCCTTTGCACACAAGGAGCAGCAAGAATGTCGGCGACGGATTGAAGGCTTCGCGAAAATTCAGAAACTTCCGCAGCAAATCAGATTGCAGCCGAAGACTCGATACAGTTCGGGATTGCTCTCAAACAGAAGGGTCGACAGTTTCTACAAGTTTCTACAAAACAGAATCAGCTATAACAGTACATTCCAGAGATTTCTTATTCATGCACCTCATGTGGCTCTCAAGTCACTCAAGGATCATAGAATCTGAATTGTGCCCAAGTTCCCAAGGAATTTGCCTTGTCTAGCAGCCTGGTTTGAGCTATCAATCTGCATGTTTGTAATGCTTAACAAGTTGTGCTTTAGTGGGCTTATTAACCTTGTTCATAGTGAAGTTTTCTCTCATCAAGCCAAGTCCAGCAGCTCTGTTGAGCTTTTCCAGCCAAGTTTCCAGCCTACCAGTCATCAAAGCTACTCTGTTTTGCAAGTAAAACGTCACTAACGGATCCACTACATCTCGCTTCGCTTCGTCAGCTCGGACTGGTCCGAGAAATTCGCCTCCGTACGCTCGCGTTCGAATCCTTCTGTTGGCGGGAGATGCGTTACAGGAGCCCTCCACGTACGCTTCTGGACTGAGATGATGTTAAACGACTCCGTACACGTCAGAAATAGGAAAGCAGACACCTGTCCAGATGTGAACATATACGTCCTCCCGCTGTCCGCTTGGACATGTACGGAGCGAGTCGCCTGTCCTTGCGCGTGTGCTGTCTGGATGACCTATCCCGCATCACGTGAATGTTTTCAATGGCGGGTCGACGACGAGACGATCCGTCTAAGGTATCACCAACTACCCCTAGGAGCACCACCCGCATGACTTCTAGCAGCAAACTTGGTTGTTCTGAGCAACGCGTTATCTAGTCCCGCCCCGCCTCTTGTGAAACCTGAATGTTTTTACGGCCACTCGTAATGTTATCAACGGCTCGTCTCTCCGCCTCTCTTATCATGGAGCGCACTGCGTTTTTTGGGGTACTAATATATGAGCGCCGATTGACGTCGTTCGCGAAATGCATCCATGGCTTTGCCGGTCAAACCCCTTCTGACTCAGCTCGTTTTGGCATGATCGGGTGGTGCTCTGTGCCGTGTGCAGTTGTAACGCTCGTCGCGGCGGGTGCAACGTCTGCAAAGTCATCGCTCCCAGCGATACCCCAAACGTCACCTTCAGCGTCCCTCGCAGGATTACTCCCAGGCGCGTCGCTGTCTGTCGCATCCTCAACTCGGGTGGTGAAAGGAAAGGCGTTCCGTAAGTGCTCCCATTGTGCCTAGTGTCTTTCTGAACTCTAAAAAAGCGCCAGAGCACATCAATGCTTCCTCGAAAGTACTTTGATTGTTTTCTTAACTTTTGTGATGCTTTCCTTGGTTATTGCACCCCCATTCTCTTTCCAGTGGGCTATGCGGCCAGGCTCACTCCTACTCGTAGCAACGGAAAAGTGGTAGGCGACCGGGGAGCAAATGGAAGAGTGGTTTTGAAGGGTGTCAAGTAAGCTCTCTGTTCTGTAACCATAATTCAGTGTATCCCTGCAAGTCCTGACAGCAGTTTGTTCATATTTTTCTTCCCCAGTTAACTAAATGCAGATTGAACGAGTTTCAAAATTCGTGCATTAAATTTCATGTAAGTGTGAGAACGTGGTGTATTCTTCCACTCTTACACATATATCATGTGAGGGGTCATGAATTCTACAGCGGTGCTCCTCTCCCTCATAATCTCCCTTGGTGACAGGGCCTCTGCAAGTGCCTTCTATGTTGTGTACAACATGCATATCAAGAACATCCGCTCTGAAGGGGCCAGGCCATCTTTGGACACCGTCTTGTCTTGCCTTGCTGGCAAGTATGAGGCAAATAGTGACTGGACGAACGCCACGACTACCAGATTGGTCGGCGCAAGCGCTACAGCTTCACCAGCTACACTAGTGAGGGCCCAGGGTCGAAGGCTGCTGTTCGAAGTTTTATCAAACAACGTATACAGGAAGCGTCAACTGGCTGGTTGGTGTTGTCTCATCCAAACAACAACTACGCACTTTGCGGGAAGTTGAAGAAGCAATCGTAAAAGCTGGGGTGTGAGCACTGTAAACAGTAGGAATGTAAAGAACATTGCAAGACTGTACCACAGATGCATGGCCTGGTCTGCCATCATGCCATGCCACCCCTTATATTGGCTTGAATTCTACCATTAGAAGGTGTCAGATGATTATATTACTGATGCATATATTTAGGCTGTAGTAGGGTAGCCCATAGGGGGTACAACCCAATTAGGGTTGGTACTTGTACTTGTTTCATTTCATAGTGCACTCATTCCTCGCCTCTATCTCAACATGGTATCGAGCAGGTTCCCTAGTGGGAACTGTTCCTAGGGCCCACCTACTATTCCGTCCTGCCCGGAGCGCGCTCTGCCCTAGCCCGAGTCGCGCTGGGCCTTTTTTTTTCCTTTGGCGGCCCGATCGCGTCGAGCCGCCCGCGAATTTCTGACGCGCCACCTACGCGGCCTCGTCGCGCCGCCCCTAGACGGCCGCGCCGCGTCGCGCGTGCCGCCCTCCAGTCGCGCGCCGCCCCCCCCTCTGACCCTCGCGACGCCGGCGCCGTCGCTGACGGCCCCGCGATCGCCTGCGACGGCCCCGCCGTCCCCTCTACCGGCCCCTCCGCTGCGCTTGACGGCCCCGCCGTCCCCTCTGCCGGCCCCGCCGCTGCGCTTGACGGCCCCGCCGTCCCCTCTGCCGGCCCCGCCGCTGCACCCGACGGCCCCGCTGTCCCCTCTGCCGGCCCCGCCGCTGCTTCAGACGGCCCCGCCGCTGCACCTGACGGCCCCGCCGTCCCCTCTGACGGCCCCGCTGCTGCACCTAACGGCCCCGCCGTCCCCTCTGACGGCCCCGCCACTGCACCTACCGGCCCCGCCGCTACCCCTGACGGCCCCGCTGCTGCACCTTCAGGCCCCGCCGTCTCACCTGCCGGCCCCGCTGCTGTACCTGACGGCCCCGCCGCTTCACCTACCGGCCCCGCCACTACCCCTAACGACCCCGCAGCTGCATCTCCCGGCCCCGCCGCCCCAGCAACTGCGCCGCCCCAGCAACCGAGCCGCCCCAGCAGCCGAGCCGCCCCAGCAACCGAGCCGCCCCAGCAGCCGAGCCGCCCCAGCAGCCGAGCCGCCCCAGCAGCTGAGCCGCCCGAGCCGCCCGAGCCGCCGAGCCGCCCGAGCCGCCCAGCAGCCGACCCGCCGAGCCGCCCGAGCCGCTCGAGCCGCCCGAGCCGCCCGAGCCGCCCGAGCCGCCTGCACTGCCCTGTCTGGTGAGCACTGAGCTTTACTCTGCGCACTGCCCTTACCCCACTGCTGTCATGGCTACCCCCAGTGTCCTCACCTTCGACGCTGAGGGCAGTACCATCGACTTTGACGTGTGGGTAGACGACCTGCTGCTTTTCCTACAGTGCGACAGAGCTGACGGCCTCTCTCTCTTTGATCTCACTTCTGGTGCCTCTCCCGCCCCTGCTGCTACTGAGGATGCCACTGTTCGCTCACAGTGGGCCACACGCGATGCTGCTGCACGTCTTGCTGTGCGTCGCCACCTCCCTCCCTCTGAGCGTGCACACTTTGGGTCGTACAAGAGTGCTCAGACCTTGTACGACGCCGTTATTGCACGCTACTCCACCCCTGCCACTGCTGCACTGAGCCGCCTCATGCTACCGTACCTCTTTCCCGACCTTGCTTCTTTTGCCACAGTCGCCAACCTCATTACCCACCTGCGCACTAGTGACGCTCGCTTCCGCGCTGCCTGCTGAGTTCTGCGCCAAGAACCCCCCCCCCCAGTACTTCACTCTCTACTACATTGTCACCCGCCTCCCTGACTCCCTCCGCGGAGTCAGGGACGACTTACTCTCAGTCTGCCCCACCACTCTCACTGTTAACCTCCTCGAGAAGTCCCTCCTAGCAGCCGAGAAGAGCATTCTCGCTGTAGGGGCCTCTCGTGGTGACCCGCGCACCCCCATCTTTGAGGGGTGTTCCCCCTCCCCCCTCCTGCCCTCTGTCGCCTCTGCTGCTACGGCCGACCTAGTTGGTTTTG